TACCCTGCTCTATAGGATCGGACAATGGTCCAGCTTTTGTTCATCAGTGCCTACAACAATTGACTCATATGCTTGGTATAAAGTGGAGGCTTCATACGGCATATAGACCCCAGAGTTCTGGTAAGGTAGAGAGAATGAATAGAACTATTAAGAATCAGTTGGCTAAAATGTGTCAGGAAACCCAACTTAAGTGGAACGTTCTCTTGCCCATAGCTCTATTGCGAATCCGTAGTACACCTACCAGAAGGATGGGCCTCTCTCCTTTTGAAATCATGTACGGGCGACCACCTCCCGTGCTTGGTAACTTAAGGGGGGATTTGAGTCAGTTGGGAGAAGGAATTACCCGGCAGCAGGTTGTAGAGTTGGGTAAGACTATGGAGGAGGTACAGAAATGGGTACAAGATAGATTACCTGTGAATATTTATCCCCCAATTCATAGTTACCACCCAGGCGACCAAGTGTGGATTAAAGAGTGGAATAATGTGCCGTTAGGGCCCAAGTGGAGAGGTCCTTATGTTGTTCTTCTGTCTACCCCTACAGCGATAAAAGTAGCCGAAGTGGCTCCGTGGATACATCACTCCAGGGTTAAACCAGCAGCAGCCGATTCCTGGCAAGTTACAGCAAATCCAGAGAATCCCTGCAAGATCCGGTTAAAACGCACGACTCAGTCGGAGTGACGAGGAACCTTGTAGATTACAAATTTTATTGTTTCAGAGACTTGGTAAGTGAGTGAGAAGGCCATAATAAAGCCTGTCCACTCACCAACGAGTGTATAAGTCAGGGAAAGTCTTGAGGGGACCCCTGTGAAGACGAGCAGAACTCCATTCCCTGCAGTCCTTACATCCTGGAAGCTGAGGTGCCTTCACACGGACGAAGACTGAGGATGACGACGAAAGATGTATTTTTAATAATGTTTATTTATGTGTATTTTTATATTCAGGAAGGTAGAGGTACCAACACTCCTAGCTGTGAGGTATGCATTAAGACTACAAGAACAGGTAACCATATATCCCAGACCCTAATTTGGCATTCGCAATATGAGTGTAAAGGAGATGTATCAAGATGTAGATACTTAAATATAGAATATAGTGTGTGTCATTTAGGAGTAGGAGAACCTAAGTGCTTCAGTCCTGAGTATCAACCCCGTACAATTTGGTTGACTCTCAGAAATGGAGATTCTCAGGGGACCCTAATTAATAAGACGGTATTAAAATCCGTATATTCTTCAGGTGCTCTGCTATTTGATGCGTGTAAAGCAATATCAAGTGGTAGAAAGCCGTGGAATGTATGTGGGGATCTTAGATGGGAGAGGACGTATGGGTCTAACGATAAATATATTTGTCCCAGTAGTAAAAATAAATATGTAAGTCCAAGATGCCCAAATAGAGATTATAACTTCTGCCCATATTGGTCTTGTGTGGGGTGGGCGACTTGGGGACAGACAGCAGACAAGGACATGATTGTGACTAAGTTGCCTACTAATCCATATTGTAAGTCTATGGAATGCAATCCAATCCATATACTTATAAATAACCCTGACAAGTTCTTAGATAAATATGGTAATTTATTTGGGTTTCAAATATATGGGACGGGTTTAGACCCTGGGACAATATTGTTTATAGGGATAGAGACTGATACGGTAACCTCCCAAACTCATCAAGTATACCATTCCTTTTATGAAGAGATGAGCATAGATAATAAGATCCCCCATAATGCTAAAAACTTGTTCATTGATTTAGCCGAGAGTATTGCCGGTAGTCTTAATGTTACCAACTGCTATGTGTGTGGAGGTACTAACATGGGAGACCAATGGCCTTGGGAAGCAAAGGAGGTAATGTCCGGTTCTGAGGCAGTTGACCAATTAATATCTACACAAGCCGACTATCATATGAGTGTTAGAGGTAAATCTGAGTGGAGATTGAAGACCTCCATCATAGGTTATGTTTGCATAGCGAGGAAAGGAATGATGTATAATACTTCTGTAGGAGAATTAACTTGTCTAGGGCAAAAAGCTTATGATGATGATACAAAGAATACAACTTGGTGGTCGGCTTCAAATGTCTCAGAACCATCTAACCCGTTTGCAAGATATGCCAATTTAAAGGACGTATGGTTTGATCTATCCATCACATCTAACTGGAGAGCCCCAGCGAATTTGTACTGGATCTGTGGTAAGAAGGCCTATTCGGAGTTACCACAGGACTGGGAAGGGGCATGTGTGTTGGGTATGTTAAAACCATCCTTCTTCTTGTTGCCTATTGAAACAGGTGAGACTTTAGGTGTTAAAGTGTATGATGTGAATCATAGGAAGAAAAGGGGACCCATAGAGATAGGTGCCTGGGAAGATAATGAATGGCCTCCCCAGCGTATTATAGATTATTATGGGCCAGCCACGTGGGCAGAGGATGGTACCTTTGGTTATAGAACCCCTATTTATATGCTCAACCGCATTATAAGGTTACAGGCGGTGGTTGAGATCATTACTAACGAGACATCACAAGCGCTCAATCTTCTAGCGAAGCATAATACCAGGATGAGGACAGCAGTTTACCAAAATAGATTAGCCTTGGATTATCTTTTGGCAGTAGAGGGAGGTGTATGTGGGAAGTTTAACCTGAGCAATTGCTGTCTTCAAATAGATGACGAAGGGCAAGCAATAGCTGAGCTTACTAGCCATATGGTTAAACTAGCGCATGTGCCTACTCAGGTATGGAAAGGGTACAATCCAAGTAGTTGGTTTGGTAGCTGGTATGAGTGGTTTGGAGGGCTTAAGGCAGTGGTAGGTGGAGTCCTACTGATTTTAATGTTGTGTCTACTCCTGCCGTGTCTTATACCCTTAGTAGTTAGGTCTGTGCAAAGCCTGATAGAAAATATAGCAGAGAGGAAGGCTGCTGCACAGATAATGGCAATTTATAAATATAAGGCTCTAGATCAGGGAGAACCAATGCAGGAAGACGAGTGTTGAAGATTCACATCATAGGATAAGTCTGGTCTGGTTCAAAGGTAACTTGTGGTGTATGCAAACCAAGGTTAAGTGATGCCTCAAGTAATTGTAAAATATCAAGAGGCATCAAAGGGGGGAATGTGGTGGAATCTCGGTAAAAATAAATTTAGTAGGCCGAGATTACCACGTGGCATGTGTACGTGCATATGCTGACGTATCGATCAGTTGGTTGCACGAGGCAAGATACGATCAGTAGTGTACGGAGCATGTGCAAGAATACAGGATGTAGTATTCCCCTCCTCCATTGTGCTGGACAAGCCATGCGGTCAAGCAGGAAGTTAATTCTTATTTGTAATGATTGGTCAAGAGAATGTGCGGGTGGAGCTTAATATGGGAGGAGTTATGTGCCTATATAGGGAGCCTGCACTATTGTTCAGGGCTCAGAACTTGCTGTATTTTTGGTGACATTAGTCCCTCTGAGTCCCGATCGGTGATCCAATAAAGAATCTCTTCCTTCCTGAAGAAACCTGTGTCCATCCCTCGGTGCTTTGCTTCCGTCAGTTTCTCCGGTATCAGCGTATATATATATATATATATATATACATACATATATACACATACATACACACACACACACACTGCTGTGTGTAGGTGCTGTGTGTGAAGGCGCTGTGTGTGTGAAGGTGCTGTGTGTGCTTTGTGTGTGTGGGTGAGGGTGCTGTGTGTTTAAGGGTGCTGTTAGTGTGTGCTGTGTGTGTGTATGTGTAAGGGTGTTGTTAGTGTAAGGGTGATGTATGTGTGTGTGCTGTATGTTTGTGTGTAATGTGTGGGCGCCATTTAGTTAAAATCCCCCCTCCCTTCTTACCATATATAGGGAGGTGGGACCGTACTCCTGCCTTGGCCTGGTGGTCCAGTGGAGAGTGAACTCTAGCGAGATCTGAGCGTTGCCGCAGTAACCGCGCGAGAGGAACCCGGCAGAGCTGCTGGCAAGAGCTCCCCGGGTCCTTTCCTGCCTCCCTCCCTGCATGTGGGTCGGTGAGGGAGATCAGAGATCTCCCTCACCTGCCCACGGAGGGAGGCACATAGCGCGTGCCGTGGGGATGCTCCATCCCGTGCGCAGGCCTATGGGTGGAGGTGGTGCTGGAGGGAAACACATAGGATGTAGCTATCAAAAAAACATATACTCTATGCTAATCTGCCTGCCAATCATGCAGGATGACCAACCAAGGGCATACTGTGCAGAGAGCACCCTGATCTTGGCATAAATGTGTCTAATGATGCGCTAGCTCTACGCTTTCTAAGGACTGTCCCTCTAGCACTCGCTGGTCAACTCCTCTTATTACCTTCTTACTAGCAGGTAGTAAAAATGTATGTCGGAGTGTAGAAGAAAGGGAACATGCCACAGTGTTATAGAGACTGAAGCAGCAAGAGCATTTGCATAGTGCGCAAAGTCAGCTTTACCTTAACTAATTTCACTGTCAGCCCGTCCACACCAGTTTTGTTCCCCTACACGCCTCTTAAGTTCCCATACTTAGTCAAGAGCATGCGAAGAGTAGTAGAATTTTTTTTTTTTTTTTTTAAATCAAGGGGCATATTCCATAAGCATGGGCCTGGAGCTGCAGCTTCATCAGCCCCTATGTTAACCCGGCCCTGGCTGTGTAATAACGAGTTATATAGCACCTGTGACCCCAGTAGCAGGCTGTATTATAACTGACCGTATTGCTCCTTTGCCTCAGTAACAGGCTGTGTAATATACCTCGCAATATTGGAAGGCCTTTAAGAATGATGTGCATTAGAGTAACACCCCCTTTAACCCTTTCTAACAGCTAGTGTATCTCCTGCGCCCTGAAGTGACAGCCGTGTCCTTTCTCTGACCCTGTCTATCCCCAACATTTCCCACTCACATTATTCTCAATTTCAGGTGATATGGTCATATTGACCAACACCAGCACCTGGCAGCAATCTTACTTAAGTATTTTTTTCAAAATTGCATACCACAATGAGTGTAAATTTTATTACAAAATATTTTATTTGGAAAAATTATTTTACTCCAGCATATTTTTCCAGCATGGCTTTTTTTGGGCCTAAAATGTACAATTTCTTAGCCAGCTCTTCACAATTCCCAGTTTAGAGAATAACCCACACGGTGCTACACAGCAGCTGCAGGGTTAAAACATGTCACATGACAAGCTGTCTAGTTCCTGTATCATGTGATCCCCAGCATGCAATCACAGCCATCACATGACCAGCATGCCGGAAGTGGGGAAAGTCAGCATTGTGTCCTGTGAGTTACAATTTGCCCTATGCTGGGGAGTGGGGGTTACAGAGTAACAGGATGGGTTAAAATATAATTCATAATATTGTAAGTGTGTTATAGTATATACACTGAGCTGTGCCCTCATCTAGTGAAAAACATACTAAAAATACTGTGTACCTGTAAATTACATGCTAATTGTAATTAGTGTACATGTCTTATGGCAGAGCTACACTGAACATATAAATGAAATATGTGTAGTTTTATTTCACACCTTAACAATTAGTAATATTATAATTATTATTATACTCTAACATGTATGTATCACATGTAAGGACTGCACAACACACTAAGTAGCCAGTGATTAAAAATGGTTCAGCTAATTGCTCCCCCTCTTTATTCTTGGAGCCCCTTTCCATAAAAGCAGGACCTTTTGGGAGGAGTACAAATCCTACTAAAGAATAGCATTTGTAAAAATTAAAAAAATCCCATAGGCAGGACTGAATTCTGCCTGGGGAAAGTCCATGGGGAAAACAGAATTTTTGGACCCCAGAATAAAGCCACCCTACACATGGAGTGTGTAGAATTGTTGGTTGCCCACCGGTAAACCACCGTATTCTTTTTTTTTTTTTTTTAAATAATGTTATATGGCTGGGAAAAAAAAGTGGAAGGTTAAAATAAGATTTTACCTAAATCATAACCTAATTACCTTCACACAAACATATGACAATATTTTCGTGTGCCATATCATATCAAAGCTATTTTATTCAATATGTAAAGTCACATTTCCGTATTAAGATATTACTGGCAGCTATAGAAATATTCGTTAAACTCAACTCTCACATACTGGTTCCGCAAAGAAAGCAGATTTATTTCCTGAATATATCTTTGTTTTCTCTGCAAAATGGTTATGTGGTATTAAATGGGATTGTAACGTCTGTGTTTACGTGATGTGTGGTTTGGTCAATCCTCCAAGACGGACGAAGTTGTAGAATACTAAGGTTGTCTAAAATGTGAATGTGGGGTTCCTTTTAGCAAAGGCAGGCAGGAAGGCTGCTCTATTGAGTTTGGACCTCACAGGCTCCTTGTACCTTTCAGATCTGATCTTCTGAGAAAAGCATGAAGAACAAACTTTGCACATTGTGTTTGAAAAAGTTAAACTAAATCACTGTAGATATTTAAAAGGTGAGTGATCATCCACATTTGTACTAACGTTCTTGCTGTAATGTAACGCCATTCTAATGTAAGGATTAATTTGCCATGAGGATCTACTGGGACTTTTGGTATTACACACCTGTTTTATGTTAACTCTGTAATATTGCACGTTTCCTTCTAACACATATCACTTAATTTAACAAAAAGTGTCTTGCTAGCCTGTTCATATTATTAAGCTGTAAGTTATATATTACTTATATATTATTTTTAGCATTATACTGTTATTCTGGTAACATAATTTAAAATATGTTTAACCCCTTAAGGACCAAACTTCTGGAATAAAAGGGAATCATGACATGTCACACATGTCATGTGTACTTAAAGGACCACTATAGTGCCAGGAAAACATACTCGTTTTCCTGGCACTGTAGTGCCCTGAGGGTGCCCCCACCCTCAGGGTCCCCCTCCCGCCGGGCTCTGGAGAGAGGAAGGGGTTAAAATCTTACCTTTCTCCAGCGCCGGACGGGGAGCTTTCCTCCTCTCCTCCTCCTCTCCTCCTCTCCTCCTTCCTAGCGACGTCATCGGCTGAATGCGCATGCGCGGCAGGAGCCGCGCGCGCATTCAGCCAGTTCATAAGAAAGCATTTACAATGCTTTCCTATAGACGCTGGCGTCTTCTCACTGTGATTTTAGAGGCTGGATTAACCCTCCAGGCTCTAGAGGCTGGATTAACCCTCAGTGTAAACATAGTTTCTCTGAAACTATGTTTATAAAAAAAAAAAAGGGGTTAACCCTAGCTGGACCAGGCACCCAGACCACTTCATTAAGCTGAAGTGGTCTGGGTGCCCATAGTGGTCCTTTAAGGGGTTAAATATGAATTTATTCTCAAAACATAAAATTATGGTAAATTGAAAAATTCTGACTAAATATCCAACCTGGGACTGTAGTGCAGTTTTGATAGTGTAGGAATTTATCAGAGTTTGCTATTTTGGCCTGATTTTGCAGTTCAGTTTTCGGTATACCAACAATCATTGTTTAGTGAATAAACCCATTGGGAGTTTTTTAAGAATAAATGGTGGTAAAACTTAAAATCCAGGGTAAAATATCCAAATTAAATATAGCAGTGTAACAGGAATTTTCCAAATCATCTATTTTTGTATGCTGTGTTACAGTTCAGATCTCTTTTTAATAAATACACCCTTTAGTGCAGGCATAGGCAACCTTCGGCACTCCAGCTGTTTTGGACTACTCCTCCCATGATGCTTTGCCAACATTATGGGTGTAAGAGCATTATGGGGGATGTAGTTAACAACATCTGGAGTGCCGAAGGTTGGCTAATGCCCGCTTTAGTGTTTTGTTTTAAATCATTTTTATTTTAAGCACAAAACAAGTCAGGCACAGTTCGACAGTGATGAGAAGCTTACAGTTGCCTACGCAGAGGGTTATTATTTTCATCAGAATTATTATCATCAGGCATTAACCTTCTGTAATTACATTTATGACTGAACCAGGCTAAGTCTTATAACTCTATAAATTCACCAGCATCATATGAAGCCTGTAGGTAATCTGGTGTCAGCAAGTAACTTGGCTATACGCGGGCCTTGCGGGCTTAATGATCATGTGATTCCAATTGCCAGTATATACGACCCTGTGAATGTGTTACAAGCATTGAATTTAATGCAGCATAAGATATACTATAGTTTGGCTCTAACAGATTTCAGGGATGTGCTGTAGGTAATGGGTATTAAGGCGTGATGTTTTGAGGTTAATGTGCGTGAAGGGTTAACATTCAAGTAAGCCTGCTGCCGTCACGATGTATAGATAAGCCTTGTTATTTCAACTTTTTTAAACTCTTAGAGCGTTGCACCATCAGGGAACCCAGCGCATTATGTCGCAGTATCTCAGTTGTGCAGTGATTTTAAGTTAATCTGTGGCCAGTGCACAGGACACTAATATGCGTGGTAAGATATAGTCTAAGTATGTAGGTTTAAGATTGGGGCATTGATGTGCGTTACGTTATGGTTCCAGTCTTCATAGGGCTAATGTGTGCGTCAAACTTGAACCGGCGTATGCTTAAAATAAATAAATTAAAATAAAATACTAAGTGCCATAATAATTATCAGAGCATCTGAAGCAATAGCTCTGTATATGAGAAACAAAATGGAGGTAGTAACATCCTATAATGCTTCAATCTGAAATAAACTGTAGCTGGTCATGCAATATATGAAGTATATAGGCAAACAAAATCAATAATAAGGACCGTAACAATATGGAAGCAAGGTTGGCAGGAACTTGAGAGGAGGCTGTATGGCAGTCTGAGGGAGGCTCAACATGTCTCAGCTATGGTGCAGTCCTCAGGTCACCGAGCCTCCGTCCGTTCACCCCACATCGCCCCCCCCCCCACCGGCCGGGTCCTCCGCGGTGTCGTGGGCACTCAGGGGCAGAGATTGTCAACTGGACCCCACCACAAAGTCCGCGACTCTCCCGCCCCCTGCACCTCCCCAGCACCTCGTTGTTCCTTATGGAGCAAGCACTCCCGTGTCTCTCCCAGTGCCGGCCTCACACTTAAAGCTGGTACCCAGCCCTCCCGGCCACCAGTCCGCCGGCAGGGCAGCGCACTCCCGCCCCACAGGGCTCACGGCAGCAGGGACATGGTTCTCCGGGGACCCCTATACCCAGAGACTGGGGTACTCACTGCTCCGGTCGGCGTGTGGGCGGTGTGTAGGCCCCGCCCTGCGCTCAGTATCGCCTGGCCCTGCATAAGCCGTCCATGCCAGTCCCCTTTATTACATTTTACCGTGGTCCTCTGGGTGTGTTGAGCTGTGTTGGAGCAGTTCCATAAGAATGCAGGTGGTCTTTCTCATATCAGCTCCTGGTGTGTCTCGCCAAGGCTGACGGAGGGCCGTTTTTCAGGCAGTGAGCAGCCTCCGTTTATTCGGGGTCTGTGTGCCTCCGCACTCGAGCTCTCCTCTCCCTCCGTGTTAATTACATTTTCTGCTGGCTTGCTGCTTCACATGCAGCTTTTGCCAGTGTAGGTGGCCAGCGCGCACCCCACGCGGGAACTCCCACCGTGGCATGGGTCACCGTCATGCGGCCGGGATAACCCCCACCGACTGGCGGGGGCAGGGCCGTTCCCCGGGTCGGGGGTGCAAAGGGAACCAACTGTGCGGCGTCTCTCCCACTTAAATGTTTCGGGGCTGTGCCTCTCTGTGGCGTCCCGCCGCGTGTTGTTGCCTCGGTTGGGTGCTCTGCCGCGTGTAGGCCGGGCTCGCCCTCCATTGCCTGTCCGGCTTGTGATGTGCTTCTTGCCGGCATCCGAGGTGCGCTGGGGTTGTTCCCTGTTAGTTGTTGTCGGGATAGCCGACTTCTTAGCAGTCTGGAACGGCCTTTTGTGCCTTTTTGCTCAGGTTAGTGCTGGAGCCCATGCATAATGCGTCTGTTCGGCCCGGCGGCTCGGCCCCGCCCCCACGCTTCAGTGTTTTGGCCTTTTATCTATATAGTACCATTAAATTAAGCAAAACATTTGTGGTTATTCACTAAATTGCAAATTGACAATAAAATTTTTTAAATTCCAGCACCATAACAACTTCTGATTGCTCTAGTGGTTATTGTGCCATCTGCTTGATACATGTCACCTCTTTCATTAAGAGCTGTAAGCTCTCTGCTCTGAGCTAGCCTGTCAGGGCAGGGTTTAGCCCAAAGACCATAGAAAATAGTCATATATTGTTTATTCATTTAATTGTTTATTTTATTCTAAAGTCACTTGCAAATTTTCACAGTTTCCAGTTTAGCTAAAAAATCTTATTGTGTAAAGGAAATCAAAAAAAGAAAATATATATGTATTAGTTTGGTGGAAAAGGACAGATGGCCCATAACCTTTGAGAACAGTTTAACCACTTGATGTAAGGGTGCCTCATTTAGATAAAGTTGTTTTGGTGCCTGGAGTGTCCCTTTAAATATAAGACCAACATTTTTTTATATATCGTTTACAGGTATGGTGATACACCATGGGGTGTTTTTTTGGCGTTTGTTCATCTGGTTATTTTTGTTTATCTATTTTTAAGCTTCTGGGTGTATTGGTCTTGTTATCTAGCATTCACTTAATTATCCTTAGAAATTTTAACATCGATATATCGATATCGATAGAAACATTTAAATATATAAAGGGAATCAACACAGTAAAGGAGGAGACTATATTTAAAAGAAGAAAAACTACCACAACAAGAGGACAGTTTTAGATTAGAGGGACAAAGGTTTAAAAATAATTTCAGGAAGTATTACTTTACTGAGAGGGTAGTGGATGCATGGAATAGCCTTCCAGCTGAAGTGGTAGAGGTTAACACAGTACAGGAGTTTAAGCATGCGTGGGATAGGCATAAGGCTATCCTAACTATAAGATAACACTAGGGACTGATGAAAGTATTTAGAAAATTGGGCAGACTAGATGGGCCGAATGGTTCTTAGCTGCCGTCACATTCTATGTTTCTATGATATAGATGCGCCTTCTAGCTCCAAAGCCCTACATTTCTCTCTCTGACTGCCTCCATGGGATTCACACAGTGGTCTGATTCTCCTACCCATCAGGCTGGGATTATTCGCTACACTCTATCTCCACTAACGTCACTCTCTCTGATCACCACCTTCTAAGCTGCAGTCATATCCTGCCACCCGCATAGCCACCCTCACGTGTTACACTGCAGCCTTCCAATGATATACAAACTTTACTGGCACCCATCTCAACTACCAAATGCCCTTCTACGGCAGCATTCCTTTATAACTCTACCCTTTCCTTTACCCTAGATAAACTATGTCTACTTACTGCTCACCCTGCCTCTCAAACTAAACGCTAACCCAGGCATATTAAATCCACCCGATACCTCCAAAGGTGCTCGAGGGTGGTGGATGCCTGACTTACTGAACTACAAATGTATGTTTCATTCCTACAACTGTGTCCTCTCTTTAACCAAACTTCCTTCGCCTCCACCGTCTCATCCTTCTCGCTCTTCACCTCTTTCAAATTTAAATATTTCTAATGCGTCCTACATCCCCTCCCTCATATAGTATTGTCACCGAAAAGATTGACATCTGAATAGAAATCACCTCGCTTGCTTCTCCCTCAACTGTCGGACCCTTTGCCCAGCCTTCTCCTCTGCATTTAATATCTTCTCTCCAGTTTCTGAAAAGGAGGTTTTCTGCGCTTCTCCTTTCTTCATTCCCTACAATGTGTCCCCTTTACTCTACTCCCTTGTACCTTATGCATTCTCTCTCATCTGTGATTGTCACACCCTTGAAAAGGTCCTCCCATTCTCGCTTTCCTCTGGCATTTTCCCCTCGTCCTTCAGATGTGTGCTGATCACCCATTCCCAAAACCTTTTCTTGACCTTGATGCTCTGCCTACCTATAGTCCTAGCTCTCTTCTTTCCTTCTTGCCTCCAAGCTCCTCGAAAAAGTTGTTTATACTTAACTTACAGACTGTCTAAACTCCTTAGAAGACCTGCTTTAGTTTGGCTTCCCAATGTTACACAGAGACTGCCTTGACCAAAGTGACCAGTGACTTTGTGATGGCAAAGCCAAAAGGCCATTATTTACTACTCAGTCTTCTTGATATATCTCCCAGTCTGCTGGATCATGTTAATGACTGCCTATCCTCTGTTTCTGACTGGATGTCTTCACGATTCCTAAAACGTAACCTATGTAAGACTGAACTTCATTCCTCCCTCTAAGGCTACGTCTGTCCTTGTTTCTGTACAGGTTAACAGAGCTATCATAGCCTCTATTGCACAGGAGCGTTGCATCGGTGTGGTCTTTGACTCTGACCTTAAAAATGTTTCTCTTGCGTTTGCCCATTTGTTACTTAGGACGCTACCAACGTGCTTTTTCATGCTTTCCTTGTTTACTGCATTGATTATTGTAGCCTTCTGCTTATTGGCTTGAAGAGTGACCAGATAGGCCCTTTACAGTCCGCGATGAACACCTCTGCCTCTACCTTATGTCCCACAGCTTTTGAATCTCATTCGTCTGCCAGTCTCTGCACTGGCTACCGATTTCATTTAAGATATGGTTAAAAATTCTCATCCTAACCTACAAGGCTGCGTATTACTGTCCCCCTGCTTATATCTCCTCCCTTGTTAGCAGTTTAGTTTCAGCCCGGTGGCCTCTTAGCTCTGCTGATGGCATGCTACTGTGATACAGTTGTACCAGCACCCCAGAATCTTGCAAGCAAGACTTTCCCAGGGGTGCCCCCTCTTTATGGAATGTTCCTCTACGCCACATTCCACTCTCCCTATCTCTGCTGCGCTTAAAAAAAATTCTTAAAACCGGCCTTCTTTAGAGAAGCCTATCAGCTCGCCCCTTAACTCCTTATCTCTTATAATCTTCCTCTGTTTTCTCCTTTGTACTGTAGCCCCACTCTCTGTTGCACGGAATGCAGATTGGTGCACTGGAGGTCCAGTGAGGAAACCGGGAGTGCGGATACTGATTAAAAGGAAACTATAATGCCAGGAAAACAAAGTTGTTTTTTTTCATGGCACTATAGCTCCCTATAATGCCCAACCCCTCCTGCGTGGTGCAGTAGGGTTTAAAAACACTTTCTGTCACTTAGAGTGCAACGCTGATGTCCCTTGGCTCTGGCTCCGCCTTCACCCCTCCCCCACGCTCGCATTAGTACTTCTCCCATAGGACATTGTACAATGCTTTCCTATGGGGTTTCGGGTGACGCTGTATGTCCTCATGCATAGCGTGAGGACGTCCAACGTCAGGCGGCCAAAAGTCACCTAATGAAGTAGACAGCCACTAGAGGCGGAGTTAAAAACTGCAATAATTACCTATGCAGGGTTAGGAGACCTAAGACGGCGCACCCACAGCTCATTGAAGTGGTCTGGGTGCCTATAGTGTCCCTTTAAGGAATGAGAGCATTGTCCATAGTAGTTTTGAACCTGCCAAAAAGGGTGAAGGTAATATCTGGATTTGATTGTTTACCAGTGTAGCCATTTTAATTTATCCTGATATTAATCACAGTTCTATATAGATAATGCACTTCACAGAGTAAGTAGCTTTCTGAATTATATCTGAATCTATATTTATTGGATGACATTAGCATTCATTACATGATCTGTTTTCTTGTCACAGGAATGGTACCCAATTTTAGGTGAAAAATTATCATATGAAACGTCCAATGAGAAGTCGGCTGCTACCTACATACCAGTGTATTTTCAGTAGTTAGCAGAGCTAATGGTTGTCATTTAATTTGAGTCATTTTTATTTTGTTCAAAAAACCTTTTGTTCGTAATTAAGCACTGTTTATTTTATAGAGGCATCTCTTGATGGCTGCAGATTATACATCGGCACAGCTGAGATGTTACTTGTAAGGAGAAGTGGGATTTGTATAGGATTGTGTAGTATTTCCTATCTCTCCGTAAAAGAGACTCCAGACTGGGTTGTTTAAATGCTCTCTCTTTCTCCCCAGTTATTTAGCACTGGATATTCTTGTGTGTGTTTTTTATAAGAGCTGAGGTTTTACAAACGGTAGGTGGATACTCTCTAAACAGAATAGCAGGGTTCAATGTTTGGAATGCTGGGGAATTCAACTTGTATATTACAGCAAATTGTAGTATTAATTATATCACATGTGTTCGTACAGTTCTGGTGGTGAATCGCATTTTCCGAAGATGCAGCCTCTTGTCTACCCTGCCATGTTTCAGCTCATCATCCTAAGGTTGTTTTTCCTTTTCCCAGTGATTTCAGGTAAGAAAAGACCTCCTTTTATTCCCAGACAGAGTATCAAGCTGCTCTAACTAGATTTGCTCAATGTGTATAACAGGCAGTGCAGTACTCAGTACTCTCCAGGTTCATATTCTGCAGCGTTCCAAGCCTAAGGTGGGAGTATACTCTTTTTCATCCTTTATAACTGACGGTATTGGGCAGAAACCCATGCCCCCTCGTTTCCCCAGTCAGGCCTCTAGGTAGCTCCCTACACTGATTACTGGCAAAACAGCACTCTATAATTAACGTAATAACTGTCTGTGAATATACAGTATATGTATGCAACCATTCTTCTCAATCTTTTTATTTATATATATATATATATTATATACACTATAAAATCAACCTGTATAAATAATAACTGTCTGTAGACATTCAGTTTGTGTAAGTATGAGATCCTCTCACACACTATACGTGATGTCATACTACATATAATAAGTGCCTGTGAGTATACATAGAATGTATGTAAATGCCCAAATCACTTGCCTCTCTTTTCATTATTTTATTGTAATTTAACAAATAGTCTTGAAAATTTGAGTTGATCGTGTCCTCCTTTTTTTCACAGGTGGACGTCCATGTGTCCCGGTAAATTTCGGCCATGGGTCAGTGGTGTGCGTCTGCAATGCTACTTATTGTGACACCCTGGATCCTGTTGTTCTCCCTGCCTTGGGCACCTTCAGCCAGTATGAGAGTAGCCAGAGTGGCAAGCGCCTGGATCTCAGCACTGGCGCTTTTAAGAAAAGAACCCCATCCCCATCAGGTAAAGAATATGAAGTGCGCTTACATAGTCCTATACATCTTGGAATATCCTTACAAGGGATTATGAGGTATAAATGATAACAGAGATTACACAAGCAGTGGTTTTAATAACGTACTTATTCTTTTCTTTGTGGAAATGCATGTGAGATCATTTAAAAAAAGTAAAAGCTACAAATGTCAACAGATCTGTGCTAACTTACAAGGAAAACAAAACTAAATGCAAGCAGCTTTAAAAAGTTGTCAATTATTCCACCTTTACTAGTAAAGTGCAAGGGATTTAACAGCTAAACTGAAATACAAGAGAAAGTCGATAGTGTGGGGATTCATGGTGAGAGCAAGAGTTTTTTTAGGTCTTCTTTTAAATTTATATTAAAGGGATACTCCACTGTCCAAATATATAAAAAAAATAAAAAATAAATCAAAACACTTTTTAGTAGATATATTCCAAGTGAAAACATGCACACAATCAATTATGTATTATTTAATTGGGGTATCTAAAATCAGCTTCCAAAAACAGTAGGTGTCTTGTCATCAGCAAGATTTGCAAGCCCTCCCCTTCTAGCCCCGCCCAGACTTTCTGTGGATGTCCAATCACAGATTCCCAATGCAGCTCAATGAGCAGTCTTTGCAAAGCAGGTGTTCTAGGCAATTGCTGTCTCTTGAGTTTAGCTCCAGAGAGCTAATCAAACAAGGACATAACAGGACCGGTTGTCTGACTGACCGCTAGGGGGGTGTAGCAAGGTTCATTTTTAAAAGTGACAATTTCTATTGAAATCTGCACTTTTTGTACAATTAAAAGAAGACACACTATTCACACATACAGCTTTTCAGCAAGCTGAAGTGCTTTAGGAGTCTGGAGTGTCCCTTTAAAGATTTAACAGTTGTTAACAATCCAGCCTGGGTACATTACATAGCAGGAGAAACAGGTTTTCTGTTTCTTGCCCCTTCGCTGTGCTCTCTTTGTTGAGTGACAGTTGTAAAGGACACATCTTATGATACTTATTGACAGGGAATGCAGAGGGAGGAGTTCATTATCAGGATAGAGCCGTGTGGATCCTATTTTCTATACCGCACATATTTGTTAATCATAGGGGATACCTAATCATAATACTACAAATCCTAGGAAGTGACAGTTTTGCTTTTGACATAGCAGATCAAAGATAAATCATAGAGTAGGATTTTTAGGGCCTGTCCTGAAATATTAAATTAATAACCTCAACATCTTGCTCCACTAAACATTTATGAGCTATTTCATTTATTGATCAGATCTTGTCCTAACCCTGAATGAAGCCAAAAAGTATCAGATCATCAAAGGTTTCGGTGGAGCTGTGACCGATTCAGCATCTCTGAATATCCTTTCTCTGAGCTCTGGTGTCCAAGAAAATCTCCTGAAATCCTACTTCTCCGAGGAAGGTAAGACCCACCCCTTCACGCTGGACTCGGTTCAGTTTGATGACTCCAAATAGAAAAGGCTTCCTTCAGTAATTTTCTCTTTAAATAAAAAAAATGGGTGAATGATAATACATTTAAATATATTAAAAAAATATTCTTAAAGGAACAAACCAAGCACCATAGCTACTACCGTTTACTGTAGTGGTTATGGTGCCTGGAATATCCTGGTGCCCTTTCCTCCACAAATAAGTAGTCAGACAGTTTTCTGCCAGTTTGACATTTTACTTTGGGCCACCAGGTACCTTTCTGTGCCTGAATATTCCAAACAGGACAATCTGATTAACAGTCGTGGATAAACAGGTCAATCTGCGGTTGAAGTAAATCTGATTTAAAAATCTTTTGGAGATTTAAGAATTTGTTAGCCAGGTAAGTTCTGTATAAAGACTAATTCTAAAAGTAGAACAATCATCATAGAACCCAATAGAACGTTCCTGCGTAATGCTTCATCTTTACAGATTTGTTGTGTTGTTTGACTGTCTGTTGATAAATGTTTGATGTAAACAGTATTAATGGTAGCAATTGTGGTGGAATGTCTAACTGGTAGAGATTCATTCTGTGTACAAAATGTAGATCATGATTATGTCTCTGATCCCAGGTATTGAATACAACATTGTGCGTGTACCGATGGCAAGTTGTGATTTCTCCATTCGTGTGTACACTTATCTTGATAAAGACAGCGATTTCAAGCTGGACTCGTTCAGCCTGCAGGAGGAGGACATCAAGCTGAAGGTGGGATTTAATGGCCTGGGAGCATGATAGCATTTTTTAAAACTTTATGTGTACTGCTGATATTTAACTCTCTGTACCAGATTCCAGTGATTCAGAAAGCAAGGGAAATGTCCAAGAGGCCAATATCCCTCTTTGCCAGTCCTTGGACATCCCCAGCATGGATGAAAACGAACAATGCTACAAATGGAAAAGGGATCCTGAAAGGACAGCCTGGGGATCAGTACCACAAGACGTGGGCTAACTATTTTATCAGGTAAAGTGTGAACTGCGTCGGAAACTATACTAATAGACTAGGCGCTACACATCATCGTAGCTTACTGTAATGATATCGGTCACAATACAGTTAGACAATATTCTGGTCGTATTTTTATTTTAAATTTTTTTAAATTCTTTATTTTTTTGTGCGCACAAAATGAAGCATGCTGTCTCGCAGTGCCCCAACAGCGTCTGCAAGATAAACATTGTTCAAGATAGTACAGTTGTAAGGCATGGTGAAAACTTGCACATTTTTTATATTTTGGTTAGGTTAGACTAATCTGTCTAGTTACGTTCTAATCTAGTCAGTATTTTTGACTAGCTAGACAGAAAGATAACTGTGAGTAGGGTAGAGATGTGTAAATATGAGTGGACATAAGCCTTGTACATATGTCTAGCTAGGAAGGGTGAAAAAACTCCGCTTCAGTAATAAGAACCTCTAAACATTGTGAGTGCAACATGGTGCTATGCTATACAGAACTTGTTATGTAAAAAAAAAATACTACAGAATGACTATGCATAGGTGAAATGTACATAAGAGTTAGAGTATAGTCTAAGCTGAAATTAAACTGGTCAAGCCATTAGATAATGCTAGACTTCGTTAAATGCACTGCATAATATTATTGATCCGGCTAGGTCATATAGCTGGAAACAATAGGGTTTTAGACCCCAGGAGGTCCCCTGAAGGCTAAATAATGTAGAGCAACAGAGGGCGACCCAAGAGATGTCATCGACTGGTGAGGGAAGCAATCCTGCCATCTAAACTGGGCCTTCTAAGGAGGGAGCTGTGTATATGGAAAGCAACTGTCCAAACTGTGTCTGCATGCAACGAAGGAGCACAATGACCGGGGTGAGACTTTCTCCCCTGTTGCCAGTCAGCCAACGCCTTGTGTGGGCAGAGAACTGGTGGGTCAGCTTGGGTTAGTCAGTCCTCTTGAAGGTGGGCATTAAGTTCCAGGTTGGAGGGAAGGTGGTCTTATGTGGGCCAGCACGGGTACTTGCTGGATCCAAAGGACTGCCATCTTTTACCAGATCCCAAGTCGCCAGCCTTGTGATGGTTTCCCGCCAACTTTGTCCTCCCGGGTGGGGCGTTGTCAAGGTGTCATTGCTGTCTTCCGGTCGGCTTTGCATGCGGGACTATGTGGAGAGGTTTCAGGGTTGCTCTCTGTTAAGAACTTCAGTGTTTATGGTACCGAGTTCTTCTATTCCTTTCCCAATAGCTGAGCATAAGTGATTAAAGCTACAGTTAGGGTGTAGAGGAAGACGAATCTCCCCAGAAATTAAAAGGTTACCCAAGCGTGAGCCTAGACTTCATGAAGGGTACAACAGGAATAATGTTTTATTGAGGCCACACTGGTTTTTGTGGAAATCCTCCTGCAAGAGGACGTCCCACAGTAAACAAACGTGACAACCAATCATAATACAGATTTACAGTAAACCACTCCCTTCCTCTGCCTGGGAGATAATGAGATAATTTAAGGAATAAACCAATTATCTCCAGGCAAAGGGCACACAATTTCCCCAAAAATTAGAAAATGAGCCAGGAGGGTGGTCGATGTTCGGTAGTTTCATCTACCGAACCAATAAATACAAAATAACCTAAATAAAGCAGGTATAAAAGAAGAAAATCACGAAAATGAATCTATTTTCTTCACACTCTCCGAGGCCACAGGGTGCAGAAGTGCTTCCAGCTTCTCCCAAAAAGCCCGGAAGGTTTTATCCAGGCAGAGCTCCACCTCAGATTTCTCCTGTCCTGTGCTTAAGAAGCACACTGCCTACACCATTTTGAGAGCAGTGCTGCCACTCGGTTCTGCGATACTGCAGCGCTCCTGCCAGATTGCGGGGGGACCCTATGGGGTGGACCTAGATGACCCCCTCCGGTCCCTTGGGGGGGGGAGAGAATATGGGTCTCCCACACGCCGACTAAGCATGTAGGCTGCACGAGAGGTTCAGGTGAGTATTGCTTGTAATGTCGCTTGTGTGGTACCATCTTGTGCACGTCCCGTTTTGCTGCAGAACAGGAGCTGTACGAGTTAGCGTCCTCTCGGCTCAGCAGCCAGGCCCTGCTCCCCCCTGTCGTATTTTTTTTAAACTTACCTTCTATATAAATATAGCATAATATCTGACAGAATTAGTTTTTTGTAGGTTTTTGGATGAATATGCAAAACACAATGTTTCGTTTTGGGCTGTGACAGTGGAAAACGAGCCCACAGCCGGAATGATGACCGATTACCCTTTCCAGTGTTTGGGATTCACGCCTGAACACATGAGGGATTTTATATCAACTGACCTTGGCCCTGCATTCGCTAACAGCTCATACAAACATGTCAAAATGATGATTCTGGATGATAATCGCCTTCTGCTTCCTTACTGGGCTAAAGTGGTAAGTAGGCGCTTGTTTTTGTACCACTTATGTTAGTCTATTCCATGTTTCTATAAGGATACATTATTATTTTATATTTTCAAAGTTATTTGGTATCGGGAATACGTATGACGTAATTCTATAATTGCAAAGGTAATTTTTAAGGTTGACAGATCAACCATCACACTCCCTTGATAAAGGCTTTTTTCGCCAAAACATTGGGGGTAACATTTTTGTATCTATTTCATTCATAGAATCATGGGAGTTGTAGTTCAGGAACATCTGGAGGGCCAGAGTTTGTGGAAGTCTGGTCTAGGGGATCACGACCCCATTCCGTGACTATTGCTTTGACCCTGTGCTGCTCTCTGCCCTGTGACTTTCGCTATGTTCCTGGGACACACTCTTAATTACATCTATGTTGTGTACTGTCACACTGTCCTCCTTACACAATCTTTTTGTTTGCTATGAGATAGATACTCTCTGATGTCAATGCTGCTCAATACGTCCATGGCATTTCTGTTCACTGGTACCTTGATGACCTCGTACCAGCCGAGATCAGTCTTGGTACAACTCACCGGCTCTACCCGGAATACTTCCTGTTTGCCAGCGAAGCCTGCAATGGGTTTTTGCCCTGGGACAAAGGAGTGCGGCTGGGGTGCTGGCACCGGGGAAACAAATACAGCTCCAGGATAATTGAGGTAAAGCGGATCGGATTGGCCCAACCCATACAGGGCTATTCAATAAAGTGAGATCTGTTGAGAATTCACAGTGAATTTAATGTGAATTTCAAATTTAAGGCTAAAATAGTTGAACTAAAAAAATTATCCAAGTCATGTATACTTCCTTACATTTGAAATTCACTTTGAATTCTTATCAATTCTCACTTAAGTAAATGACCGTGCTGGTACCACTCGAACATGCATAAACATATTTATAGATCAGTGATAAGATGATTTTATCCCATTATTGATCTTAAATTTGATGATGATACTGTGGTTAAGATGTTCCAGATTGCAGACAAGGATAGGCTTTAATGGGATAATACTCCACATTTTTGCAGATCTTCTGTATTCTAGATTTTATTTAGCGATGCATTCACTTAAACATTTGTTCCTTTATAAACAATTCTGCACAATATGATGTACTCTGCCTTTACCCCCAATTAAGTGCTTTAGAGAAGTACTTATATTTGAGCTTTTCGTGGTCCAGACTTGTTCAGTTTTTTTTGTAAAATGCACGAGGAAAAGAAAATTCTCACTTCATAAATTAGCCATCAATGAAGGGAACTACATGAAAATGTGTACACCCTAACCTAGCCATCAGTGAACAGAACGAGGTAAAGATTCTCACTGTGTAGCCCTGCACTCGGTGAACAAAACATAATGTAAATTCTCACAGCATATCCCTGCAATCGGTGAATAATATGAGATGTAAATTGTTACTGTGCAACATGAATGTTTGTTTCATCAAACCCTATGTTATTTAAAGGGACACTATAGTCATCAAAACAACTTTAGCTTAATGAAGCAGTTTTTGTGTATAGATCACACCTCTGAAGTCTCACTGTTCAATCCTCTGCCATTTAGGAGTTAAATCACTTTTGTTTCTGTTTATGCAGCCCCAGCCACACCTCCCCTGGCTGTGACTCACACAGACTACATGAAAAAAATGGTTTCCGATCTTAAACTTGCGTTAGATGTTTTTATTTCTTGCTTTTATTTAATTCTTTATTTTTTCACTGCAGTGCATAAGCCATACATTGATAAACCTTAGTTAGATAATAAAATGAACAAGTACTTTGCACCATTGTTTATGTACATAACAGGCTAGCGTATGCCTAGATACAGTTGTAGGTTACACAGCTTGTGGAGGGTGTTCGAGTGTGTAGTGATCCTACATTGCTCCTAGTTGCTGATATCTCACTATGCTGGAGACTCTGCATGTGTGTGTGTGAGGTGAGGATGCAGTGATTGCTTAGAAGAGTGTGAGCCCGTAGATTTGATGTCTGGTGTTAAGGCTGCTTGAATGTAGTTAGTCGTTAGTGCAGCTATTCTAGTTCTATGCTTTGAGTGCGGTTACTCCTGACCGAGGAAGTAGCGGGGGGATGTGGGGGGCTGCAAGGTTGTCCTTGTTTATGTGTGGTGGAATTACCTGTTCCGGGTTTGGCTGTGTTAGTTCCGTGTGGGTAACCCCAAACTGGGACTGTGTGATTGTGAGCCGTGTTCTAATGTTGTTTTCTTACAATATTAGGAGAGAAAAGGAAGAATGAAAAAAGAAGAAAATATTAGTTAAAGCGGCGCTGTCATGCCAAACTTACCTTTCCCTAATCGTTTCTTCATCTCTCCCTCTGTCAGGATCTGTTCTTCATTTCCTCCTGTCTGCTCTAGTTTTCTTTAAAACATAAGACAAATTAGGGAATATTTTTTTTTTTTTATGTATATTTCATACGCCTGACCAGCTATGACCAGCGGAGGAGCAAAGTGTGCTCCATTTCCTGTGGTCAGAGCAATTTTCCCACAATTCTCACCTTTCCTTCGTGATCTCGCGATACCTCCTTTCGCTATTCCCGAAGTCTTGTCATTTAGACAGAACGCTGATGAAACTACCGAATTTCGCCCTAACAGAATGAGAACAGTTTGTTTATTTATGTTAGGACGACAATTGGTACTTTTAGGTCGGTTTGAAATTTCATTCAAATTAATGAAATTCTGACCCGATCCGTGCTACGGCTGCATCTTGCAGCCGCTTAGTAGATAACTCCCTAATTCCCACGGTATTAGGGGGCTATCTACCAAAAGGCTAAAAGACCAATCTTGGATTACTTAGTGTTAGTAATTAATCTGCCCCTACTCGCTATATCGCGACTAGGGGCTGTAACGGATCACCTGTACTCCGACCGAGTACCTTCCGTTGATGGACGCTTCCTAGTTTGCACCGAGAACCACAAGCTCTGCACCGGACACCACAACTACCGCAGACTCCACAACCGCCGCAGCTTAACTGGAGTCTCGCCATCTTCCTTCCATCCTGGATCAACCTCTGTCCTCCAGGACCCTGTGGGAAAGACCTCTCCTCCAGGAGAGCGTATCAGGAACAGCTCTTAAAAGAGCTAAGTGATTAGAGCTCAGGGGAGTATACAAAGAATAGCAATCCCCAGTGTGAATATAGCAGTTCCCTACAATGAGACAAGGCTATGTATCCAGGGTTAAGCAGGACTTTCTTTTATGCAGGTTTTCCCGCAAGATTACCACCCATATGGACCTAGTGGTACACAGGACATGCAATTACAATAGCCAATCAAAGCATTACAGTACAGTCAGACACTCCCAGCCAAGGCACACAAACCCTCCCCTCTGCCCGTGATATAATTACTGAACACAATGGGTTAACTCAATTATCAGAGGCAGGAAAATATACAGTTTTATACAATATTCATAACTTCCCAACCATACATGCAATTCACATATTCTGAACCAGCATAAGCAGTATACAAACATATGTCAAAATCATACAAATTGGCCCAGTGTTTCAAAAGTTAGGTGGAAGTCCTATTTGACCGACTGCAAGCATGACTTTCCTGCCCAAAACAGTTCCACAGATTTAGGCTGTGCAGCCGGTCTATCTTCTCCTCTATCCTGGAGATAATTGGCTTAAGTGGGTGGGGTAACTTAATTATCTCCAGGTACAGGGAATATCTCCATTTACAACAACAGTAAAAATACATAATTCCTATTATACTGAACAGAAGCCCCACATTCAACCTAACCCCAGATAGCTTGGATCTGAGTGGTTAATATATCCCAACAGCGCTCAGATCCCACAAACTGCAAGCAGGCCTCTCCAAGACCAAGTGGCAGAGGGCACGTCGTCACATATCTCCTCTTTGGGGGGGGGGGAGGGGGCAGGGAAAAACCAGGCACCTGACCTTCTGTCAGTGCCTAAGTTAGTCGATCCACCCACCCACATTAAGCAAGTACCAGAGTCCTTTAGCGCTCCACTCATTTCATTAGTAGAGTCTAGACGTTATATCCAGATTGTACTAAGCTCACTTTGGTTCAAATACCAGAGTAGCCCACCCACAATAAACAGGTACAAGAGCAGCCCGCCCACAACAAACAGTTACTGCACCTGGGTATTCCTCTGGTGTAATTAGGCAACATGCTGTGGGGTCTTGGGGGGCAGAAGCCAGCTGCGCTCTGCCCTGTTGCCAGCGCTTCTTCTGGGGTAGCCTGGTTGGGAGGGGAGATATCACTTACCCCCTCCTCCTGATATCCCTCTCGAGGGTAGTTGGGGATCTGGACAGGCTGTCCAGCATCCCTGTAGTTTGGGTGCCGACACCACATTCCCATCTGCACCGTCTGGGAGAATAAGGTCTCCCCTTTGTAGGGTTACTTGCCGCTGGGGAGAGGGGGCCGACATGCTCCTCTCCCTGAAGCACATACTGCCGCTGGAGAGACTGACTGTCTCCACTCCCATAACATTGTCCTGCTGCTGGGGAGAGCGACAGATTGTCTCTGCCTCCTGTAGGACACACTGCTGGTGGACCTTTGGTCCCCTGGGGTGCATACTGTCGCTGGGGAGGGAGATTGTCTCCACTCCCAATACAATACTCTGCTGCTGGGGAGAGAGATTGATTGTCTCCACTCCCAATACAATACTCTGTTGCTGGGGAGAGAGACCGGCTGCCTCCTCTCCCAGCAGAACACCCTGCCGCTGGGGAGTGAGTCAGATTGTCTCCATTCCCTGGAGGGAACACAGCCGCTGGGTAGAGAGGCCGGCTGCCTGCTCTCCCTGCAGCTTACACTGCTGCTGGGGAGAGAGACCGGTTGTCTCCTCTCCTGACACTACCATTGCCCTGGCGGTACCTTCAGGGTGTATTGTGACTGACTGGAGCTGAGCAGGTACTGGAAATCCTGCTCCAGTTCCCATTCCTGGATGGCCAATTCAGTCAGGTCTGGCCCTAGGTCGTCAGCCATAGAGAGATCCATCATGTCTTCTCTGTAGTCATGTTTGTCCCAAAACCGTGACTCTGCAGCTATCCCAAGTGCCGGTTCGGCAAAGGCCCCCCCATAATAGGCCAGGGCCATTGTAATCCTTGCCCTCCGGTCTGTCGTACTTGGCCATTCCGGGAGCACGCTGAACCGCGTACCAACGAAGCGTATGGTATGCGTCGTCGAGCCCCAGTTCTCTCCAGTGAATTAAGCTGCATCACCAACTCCCACCTGTGCTGTTCTCCCAACATAGGCAATCATATGGCCACTCGAGCCTGTAGTCACTGCTCCTCGCTGGGTAGACACTCACTTCGCCAACGCTGGACACAAAATATTCCATCTTTACACAGCGAGGGCACCACTCAGACTGAGCTCTGCAGGGTGGAGAAATGCTTATAAAGCCTTCCCACTCCTTGCAATTTGGATCAAAGCACACTGGTTGGTTTAAGCCAACCAATGAGAGTGCTCTGACAGGTAAATGAAGAGACTGACAGGTTAGTCTCTACATTTACCTGTCACAGTACTCTGGTTGGCTTGGACCAACCAATTAGAGTGCTCGGAGTCATTTTACACAGCGTGGGGAAGTTCTTCGGAATTTTCTACGGGTGAAAGTTCTTTGGGTGACTAGGGTCTTGGGGACCTCTGGTTACCTAGGGGCTTGGTTATTTTTACACGTAGCCCTAACCCGTCGCCCATGGGTGGAGGACAATAGGTCCCCCTCCCCTTATTGTAATTTAGGGCCCTCACCCGCCGCTCATAGGTGGGGGTCGGGGGGGGGGGAGGAGGACAATAGGCCCCCCCCCATTTTCATTTCAAATTTCCAAAGAACTTTCCCACGCTGTGTAAAATGGATTCCAAGCCAACCAATCAGAGTGCTGTGACAGGTAAATGTAGAAACTTACCTGTCAGTCTCTTCATTTACCTGTCAGAGCACTCTCATTGGTTGGCTTAAACCAACCAGAGCGCTTTGAGACAAATTGTAGAGCGTGGGAAGGCTTTATAAGCTTTTCCTTGCCCTGAAGATCTCAGTCTGAGTGGTGCCCTCGCTGGGTGAAGATGGAATATTTTTTTATAGTCTGGATTTTTTTTGGCCACCTCTCCCCATTTTCAATACAATAGGTCCCCCCTTATTGTAATTTAGGGCCCCCACCCGCCGCTCCCTATGTCCCCCGTTTAGTTGCATAGCCCTCACTCACAGGGCAAGGGTGGGGGCTATTAGTTAAGAGATGCCCCACCATGGGGCCATTTATTGAGGGGTGTTTTTTTTTTTCTACAACAGTTAGCAGTGTTTAGTAGACATGCCCCTACTCACGGCATAGCGAGTAGGGGCATTTGGGAGATTTCAATATCCCTTATGCTAATATGGGGGGCATATTGACCCCCATAGAGTGAGGGAGGACATGGGAGGGCTTAGGTAGTGGCGGGGAGCTTCCTGAAGCTTCTATATTTACATATTACAAGGAGGGAGCTGCGTGCTAGTAGCTCCCTCCTTGTAATAAACTGAACGAACGAACAGACAAATTTCTATTCATTCATTCGTCTTTCCCGTCCAATTTTCGGACAATAGCGAATGCCTAAGTGTTTAACTGGGCATGTGCGGGAATTTCACAGCACTCTCTAGTGTGGGCAGATGACGTGTCCCACAGGGCCTTTTTATCCACACAAAGATGGCAGCGCCCAGGACCTAGGTCCAGGCACAAAATAAAGATTTTAAAATAGGTAATATGGGGGGCTTAGGGGCATATGGGGGTGACTAGGAGGGAAATTAGATGTAGTGGAGTCGGGGGGGTTAAAAAAACAAAAAATGGATGCGGCCATAATAGTGCCGCTTTAAATGGAACTGATCATATAGTAAAATATTAGAAATGAAAACCTTTTTGCAGTCAAACTTTGCATGGAAAATAGGCTTCTGACAGGGATTCCGGTGCCCTATGTTGGATCAGTCCTTGCGTGTATTCTTTGTTCCGCTGCTTGGGTACTCCTGGACCTCGGGACGAAGGGACAGCGTGTTCTGGGACCCAAGTTGAGGGTCCTGGGGGTGGGTCGGCTGTCATGGGTGCCAGACCCAATGCTTCCAGAAATTTGGTTGTTTCTTCCATCGAGGTGAGCGTATGTAGGATTCCATTTCGGGTCACTACCAGGGATCCGTTCGTACCCCACCTGTAGCTTTTATCTGTTGAGCGGAGTTGGCTTGTCACCGAGTGAAAGGATTTGCGCCATAGGAGGGTTGCTTTTGTTAAATCCTGGTTGAACGTTAGGGTAGCACTTTTGTCTTTGAGTGCCGACATGATCTAACTTTTGTCTTGTACTGTTGGGCATCTGAGTATGGCATCTCGGGCCACATTGGTCGGCGCTTTGGTGGATCCAGGTAGGCGATATATCCCTTAGATAGTTTTTTGCTACAGTATGAGGTAGGATGGAGGCCAATAAGCACCTGATATATTGTGCTAGTTTGTCCGTTGATATTGCCGCGGGGATGACCCTTATTTTTATAGTAGTGCAACGGTGACGTTCTTCCATAGCTGTCATCTGAGCGGACATGGCTCTCTGGTGGGACCAGGCTTGCTGTACCGAGTCCTGGATCTTGGACAGATGTGGTCTGTATGTCCGTGATGTCCTTTTCAGAGGCCTGCACTCGGTCTGTGATGACTTTCATGTCCATTTTGATAGGTGCGAGTCCCGCTGCTAAAATTTTGTGGAAATCAGTCAATAATAACTTCAGATTGTGTCTGGTTGTTGGTGTTGAGTCGGTGGGGGCTTCCGGTGGCAGTGGTTGTGTTCTCAGGTCCCGTTTGCTCATATGGGTGAGTGTGAGTAGTGGAGCGCAGGTTTGGGCTGTGTGGGCCTCTGTAGCATGGCCCTGATGTCCTTCCTGTCTGCCGCCGTAGGTTTCTGTGAGCGGCGGCCCATAGCTGGTATGATAGGTGTTGTAGAGGAAAAGTCGTCTCCCACTCTCTGTGCAAATAGTGCCTCCAGGCATGGGAGTGTCAGCGTGGGGTAGGCCCCAGTTTTTCACCTCCATTTAGGCTGGTTGGGTGCTAGAAAAAATGGCATCTATCGCATTGGGAGGTGTTATGGAGTCCAGCTGGCAGCGTTAGAGGGCTGGATGGGCTGTCAATTTCGGGATATTTGATGATTATTCGATTCTAGGTTTCTAATCTTTGGTAAGGTTATGGACAAGTGACTGTATAATTAGAAATACTGATACAAATGGAGTAGAGATCCCTAATTTATGGACTTTTATTTAATGTGTGCAACACTTATATACGTAGAGGGAAATGTATTAGCATGTTCTGTTATATAAAGTGGTATGAATTAAATAAATAAACTAGAGTTATGCAAGACAGCCAATGAGCTTGCAATCCCATGTTATATAGTAAGGAAATTTTACATTTTCTGTCTCTGACCCAGCAAATCTTAAAACATTCAAATTCGGACAGAACAGTTTCACTGTTGTTTTTATTTACATTTCAAACCACAGGTGAGAAATACACTCTGTTTAACACGATGTACAAATCAATATGCAAAGTACAGTATGTGATACATTATCCATTGTCATATTACAGCACGAGGAACGAGGGTTTATATAAGAATTATATACCATTAACGCGGCTTGCTAGTAATCTCCATAGTGTAGACATTTTTAAATGGCATAATACCCTGTTTATGAACAGCCCTATAGAGAGATATACCCTCGCAGAAGAGAAAACAGCGGCATAACCAAATTCCGATATACTACTTGGAATAATGAAACTGCACTGCAAAAAAGGAAGGAAAAGCACAAAATAAATCCTGAAATCCCATGTCCAGCAATGGAATAAAAAAATTAAAAAACAATGGGCATCGACACGCACACTATAGGAGGCTACAGGGGGGTTAGAAACTAAACTCTGAATATTCACAAATTAAATCTGAATGAAAAAACTGGGGCCACAGGTGGTGACTATAAATTTCCCAAATCTACTGATATTTGGAAATACTACTGTAACGGATCGCCTGGCACCCCGACTGGGTACCTCCGTTGATGGATGCTCCTAGCGCTTCCTGAGGGCTCCAAGCACTCCAGCCAACACCATAACCACCGTAGACTCCTTCAGAGAGCAAGACAGGAACAAGCTCTTACAAGAGCTTAGTAGTGATATAGCAAGGGAGTATGACTAGCATAGCAATCCCTTGTAGCAGATTCCCCCAATAAGAGATGGCACTCCAAATTGAGGGTGAAGTAGAACTGAAGCTTTAATCCAACGCTCTGCTTTTATGCACATTTTACACACATAGTACTGCCCACAGGGTTTTGCATAACAACCAATCAATACATTACAACACAACTAAACACTCCCAGCATTAACACACAAAATCCTCCAATCTGCCTGTGATATAATTACTGAACACAATGGGCTGACGTAATTATCACTGGCAGGAAAATACACAATTTTACACATTATTCATAACTTTAGAAATATACATCACATTTGCATAAACTTACATTTTCAGAATCAGCATACTCCAAATACAAACATACATCAAAATCATACAAATTGGTCCAGTGGTTCAAAAGTTAGTTGGAAATCCCTTTTTGACCAACTGCAAGTAAGGCTTGAATGTGGTAAGCCAATTATCTCCAGCATACAGAAAATATCTCCATTTACACCAATAGTAAAAACACATAAAAATACATAATTCCTATCATACTGAACAGAACCCCCACGTAGCTTGGATCTGAGCGCTCACTATATCCGAACAGCGCTCAGATCACAAAAACACAGTCAAATCGCCATGGGGTTAAAGTTTAGCAACAGGTTCCAACTGATCTGGCAGTGTCCCTGGGACGACGCCCTGCTGGAGAACAATAGACAGGAAATGGGGGAGGGGCACACCTTCTCATGTATTCAAAGGGGCAGAAAAAGTGTTTCAAAATCCAATAAGCCCAAATAATGCTTACACAGGGCAGTGTCTCCCAGGGGCCATAGTGACATGGCAGGAGACTGGCAATCAGTCTTCTCCAATGCCCAGTGGCGAGGTTGGTTCCGCCACATTTCTCCCCTTTCCCAAAAAGACTAACAAGGTATCTGGTCTCCTGTCGGTCAGTGCCTTGGTTAGTCCAGCAACCCACCCACAAAACATAGTCAGTACTGCAGCCCACCCACAATGAAAAGTTACTGCACCTGGGGAAACGTGCAGCCAGTCTTTGTCCAGGGGCTCCATCACGGCTGTATGGGGCACGGGTACTCCGGATCTGTGGGTTGCTGAGTGGGCAGAGACCAGCGGTACTCTGCCCTGATGCCAGCGCTTCAGCTGGAGTAGTCTGGTTGGAGCCCAGCTGTGAAGAGGGGGTAGTAGGCTCCTCTCCCTGGACCAGGTGCTGCTGCACGGTGCTGTCTCCCCTTTTGATAAATAGTCCTGCTGCTGGGCATCTGGACCGGCTATCCCGCACCCCTGTAGACCAGGTGGCGAGACCGCGGTCCCATTTGCCCCATCTGGGAGAATAAGGTCTCCCCTTTGGGCAATAAGCTGCCGCTGGGGAGAGGTGGTAACCGGCTCCTGTCCCTGACACACTCTCCGATCCTGGAGAGGGGGACCAACTGTCTCCCCTTCCTGTAATACACTCTGCCACTGGGGAGAGAGACCGACTGCCTCTTCTCCCAGTAACCCATACTGCTGCTGGGAAGTGAGACAGACTGTCTCCCCTTCCAATAATGCACTCTGCCGCTGGGTAGTGAGACTGGTTGTCTCCCCTCCCTGTAATGTACTCTGCCACTGGGGAGAGAGACCGACTGTCTCTTCTCTCAAAAACACAGGCTGCTGCTGGGGAGAGAGACTGACTGTCTCCCCTCCCAATAACTCACTTGGCCGCTGGGGAGAGAGACCGACTGTCTCCTCTCCCAAAGATACACACTGCCGCTAGGGATCTGGGCCGACTGCCCAGCATCCCTGTAGGGCCGGTAGAGAGATCTCGGTCCCATCTCCACCTGTCATCTGTGAGTCTCTCCAGGACCAGTCTATCTTTCATCTGTGAAGAGCACAGGGCGCCAGTGGCGAATTTGCCAATCTTGGTGTTCTCTGGCAACTTCCAAACGTCTTGCACGGTGTTGGGCTGTAAGCACAACCCCCACCTGTGGACGTCGGGCCCTCATACCACCCTCATGGAGTCTGTTTCTGGAGTCTGTTTCCGTTTGATCAGTCACATGCACATTTGTGGCCTGCTGGTGGTCATTTTGCAGGGCTCTGGCAGTGCTCCTCCTGTCCCTCCTTGCACAAAGGCAGAGGTAGCGGTCCTGCTGCTGGGTTGTTGCCCTCCTACGGCCTCCTCCACGTCTCCGGATGTACTGGCCTATCTCCTGGTAGCGCAGGGGTTCTCAGCCCAGTCCTCGGGACCCCCTACCAGTCCAGGATTTGGGGATTACCTGGGTGTGTCTAAGGTGTTTTTTTTCCCCCATTTTTCTAAACAACTTAGACACACCCAGGTAATCCCTAAACCCTGGACTGGTAGGGGGTCCTGAGGACTAACGTTGAGAACCCCTGTGGTAGCGCCTCCATGCTCTGGACACTACACTGACAGACACAGCAAACCTTCTTGCCACAGCTCGCATTGATGTGCCATTCTGGATGAGCTGCACTACCTGAGCCACTTGTGTGGGTTGAAGACTCCGTCTCATGCTACCACTAAAGTGAAAGCACCGCCAGCATTCAAAAGTGACCAAAACATCAGCCAGGAAGCATAGGAACTGAGAAGTAGTCTGTGGTCACCACCTGCAGAACCACTCCTTTATTGGGGGTGTCTTGCTAATTGCCTATAATTTCCACCTGTTGTCTATCCCATTTGCACAACAGCATGTGAAATTGATTGTCACTCAGTGTTGCTTCCTAAGTGGACAGTTTGATTTCACAGAAGTGTGATTGACTTGGAGTTACATTGTGTTGTTTAAGCGTTCCCTTTATTTTTTTTGAGCAGTGTAGTAAAATCTTCAAGTATTCAAGTCTGCAGCTGCTGGCTCTGCCACTGAACTGCCTCTGTCTGCTGACATCATCAGAAGTGGTAGCCTGAACCAATCACAATGCTTCCCCATAGGATTGGCTAAGACTGTCAAGGGGGCAGAGCCAGCACAAGTCAAACACAGCCCTGGGCAATCAGCATCTCTTCATAGAGATGAATTGAATCAATGAATCTCTTTGAGGAAAGTTCAGTGTCTGCATGCAGAGGGTGGAGACACTGAATGGCAGAACCAGGAAGCACCTCTAGCAGCCATCAGGGGAGTGGCCAGTGGAGTTATCATTAGGCTGTAATGTAAACACTGCATTTTCTCGTAAAATACAGTGTTTACAGCAAAGAGCCTGAAGGAAATAGTTCTACTCACCAGAACAAATACAATAAGCTGTAGTTGTTCTGGTGACCATACTGTCCTTTTAATTTTCTCACAGGTTTTCATCATTTTGTAGTGCCCTTGTCTCTTTTAGGGGCTAAACATTTATAAACCTTGTGCTTGGAGCATTTTCACTGATTAACATTAACTATTACATTGCCAGGCAATACATTTATTTTAAATGTATTTCTTTTTAACACAGGACCTTAATAACTATGTGACAGGGTGGACAGACTGGAATCTGGCCCTCGATACTGATGGTGGACCCACATGGGTGGAAAATTATGTGGACAGCCCCATTATTGTAGACATCATTAAGGATGTGTTCTACAAGCAGCCGACCTTTTATCATATGGGACATTTCAGGTGAGGCCCTGTGGAAGGAGTGAGTGAGATTGCAACCTTTGGTAGGATTGTTACTCATATTAGCTCTACATTAGCAAACATGTCCAGTATATGGAAAGGGCTAGAACAGAAGTCCAGTTTCTGAGGCCAGGCAGGGCTGTGGTGGGGGTTAGACGTACTGGAGTGTAATTAAATTTAGGTAACTGTTCATATTTTATTCTCATTTCAATTTAATATGTGAGTTGGAAACCTCTGCGCTCTAAGTAAAAATGGCGTGGTATTTCATAAACCATTCCCATTTCCCTGCATATAACCAAATTCTTTTTTTAGGTTTCACTCATTCAGTGTTTTAATTTATGCTATTTTGTTTTATGGAAAAAGCAAATTTATTCCTGAGGGATCGCAGCGTGTTGGGCTGGATGTAAGTCATGAAAATCAGTTGGAAACTGTGGCTTTTCTGCGTCCTGATAATGCCGTCACTGTAGTCGTCCTTAACGGGTAAGATCCTTTACACCATTACTATACACTCTCCTTCAATGGGTAATTGTTTATTAGGTTTGTTACCAATACACTCTCTGATCCAGTGTCCGGTCTCTATCACACCGTGCTCCTTCCTATCCTGTCTCTATCACACCATGCTCCTTCATATCCTGTCTCTATCATACCATGCTCCTTCATATCCTGCCTCTATCACACAGTGCTCCTTCCTATCCTGTCTCTATCACACCGTGCTCCTTCCTATCCTGTCTCTATCATACCATGCTCCTTCCTATCCTGCCTCTATCACACCATGCTCCTTCCTATCCCGTTGCTATCACACCGTGCTCCTTCCTATCCTGCCTCTATCACACCGTGCTCCTTCATATCCTGCCTCTATCACACCGTGCTCCTTCCTATCCCGCCTCTATCACACTGTGCTCCTTCCGATCCTGTCTCTATCATACCATGCTCCTTCCTATCCTGCCTCTATCACACCGTGCTCCTTCATATCCTGCCTCTATCACACCGTGCTCCTTCCGATCCTGTCTCTATCATACCATGCTCCTTCCTATCCCGTTGCTATCACACCGTGCTCCTTCCTATCCTGCCTCTATCACACCGTGCTCCTTCATATCCTGCCTCTATCACACCGTGCTCCTTCCTATCCCGCCTCTATCACACTGTGCTCCTTCCGATCCTGTCTCTATCATACCATGCTCCTTCCTATCCTGCCTCTATCACACCGTGCTCCTTCATATCCTGCCTCTATCACACCGTGCTCCTTCCGATCCTGTCTCTATCATACCATGCTCCTTCCTATCCCGTTGCTATCACACCGTGCTCCTTCATATCCTGCCTCTATCACACCGTGCTCCTTCCGATCCCGTCTCTATCACACCGTGCTCCTTCCGATCCCGTCTCTATCACACTGTGCTCCTTCCGATCCCGTCTCTATCACACCATGTTCCTCTTGGTTTCATATATATCTGTTTGTCTACTTTCAAAATTTTAAGTCCTACACAACTAGCCTGGAGGCCCATCGCACACTTACAAGGGGTGAATTTCTAGTTACCAAGGCTGAATATCCACTCACCAATGGCTAGTGGAAATGTTGAGCCAGTTATATTATTTCTAATACATTTGTATCTATATGCCTGCTGAATAAATGTATATATGCCCTCATTTTTAATATTTGCCATGTTAATCTTGCAGAGGTTCACTGGATGTGAATTTTGTAATTTCTGACCCATTGCTTGGAGTTATTGATGCAACGTGTCCAGCAAACTCTATTCAAACATACATCTGGAGGCGAAAGTGAAGGAGGAGAGTAAGAGGTTAAATACATTATGATCAACAGACATTTCAAACAGTAAATTAATTGCAATCAAGAGACTTATACTTGCACTAACAAATAAATCAATTTCTTATAATACTTGTAATGATTCAAGCTTTATTATGTATGAGTCCCTCTCTTAGCACCTAGTGTACCAAATAACTGCTCGGAGGTTGGTCCTTCTCCAATCGTTAGCTTATCAGTCAGTGATTTGTTTGAAAATTATTTTTCAGAATTTGTTTTACTTTGAAGCTAAATTGGAGCAATGCTTTCAGCTTACATCAGTGGTACTGTTAGTTGTAGAGTAGTCCAGGCACATTCAATTCATGCTCCCTTTTTTTTTTGTTGACGTGATTATAGCAATACACGTCATGAAAAATACATTGCCCCATTATTGTATCCTATGGCTGCAATATACAGTAACATTGTGGTAAGCTTATTTGACCAGGGCCTTCTTCACATTCCCTTTCTATATTTGTAAAGCGCTGCAGAACATTTTGGCGCTATATACATCATAATGACCAGTAATAGTTTGTTCTTGTAACTGACTGCTCATGACAAGGAGATACAATGTTTTACTCATTTAGCAATAGCCAAGCTCTCTAAAACAGAATGTCATGCTACATATTCTGTAACTGGGTTCCAAAAATAGAATGTGTCCAGGCACCATGACCACGTCCGAGATTTGAAGTAGTCACGGTTCCTAGAATTGAATGTGCCGTAGTTACAGAATTTAACTCCTCTGTTGCTGGCAGTGTCATTACCCAGCCTGGAACAAGGGTAAACTCTCTGCATATTTCAATGCAGGTAATGACATTTTTTAGCTGAAAGCCTTCTTTTTAGGCACTCGGCCAATGAATGAGCGGCAGATAGGCATCTGGCTTCTTAAGGCGACCCAGATAAGAGAACAGATTATTGTAAAATAGTTTGCCCCATTGCCAAGGTACAGTTTTCACAATAACCACTACAGGGCATGGAACGTTTCTACTTTTGTAGCTTTAAAGGGACACGTTAATGCTTGCGATAGTAGTAATATGCTGCATTTTGTCACATTCAGACCTTTATAGTTTTTGCACAAAAAATGGTTTGTACAATGCTTCTACCTAAGCCTTCCGCCTCAAATGAAGGCACACAGTGAAGGCCCTAACAGCACTGAGCGAGCTTTTAACCCCTTAAGGACCGACCAAACTTCTGGAATAAAAGGGAATCATGACATGTCGTGTCCTTAAGGGGTTAAATAACCTGGCTGCAAAGAGGTAGTGATATCCTTACTATGTGCCTTCCTGCATGCAAGAAACTTTTTATTTCAGATCACTCAGTCGCTGAGTTATGTGCATACATTTGATAAGGAAGTCTGTTTTTTTTATTATTTTTTTTTGCTTCCCTGAAGTGTGGGGGGGGGAAGGCTTATGGTGCAGTATTCTTCAAAAGTCTAAATTTGCTGTGTGCAGAAACTATAAACATAAGAGTATGAGGGGGGGTGGGAGGGGGATTAAAAATAAATAAAAAGCTGCAAAAACCTTTGAACTGCAGTTCAATTATTTAGAATAAGCTATTCCTGTAATGCTATTCCGCTGATGACAGATTAAATATTATCGCCATTTATATAGCGCCAACAGATTCCGTAGCACTTTACAATATTATGAGAGGGGGGGATTTAATTATAAATAGGACAATTACAAGAAAACTTACAGGAACGATAGGTTGAAGAGGACCCTCCTCAAACAAGCTTACAGTCTATAGGAGGTGGGGTGTAAAACACAATAGGACAGGAAATAGCAATCAAGGTGGGAGTGAAGCAGAGCTGGAGGAGAGAGTAGAGTGCTGCCCTTTAGGAGAGAGCAATAGACAGGTATGTGAGGTAGAGGTTACTCTGGGAAATATTGATGTATTGATTAACCTCATTAATAAAAGAGTTTGCTGTGTGATAGTATTCTTTATTATTATTATTGCCATTTATATAGCGCCAACAGATTCCGTAGCGCTTTACAATATTTTGAGAGGGGGGATGTAACAATAAATAGGACAATTACAAGAAAACTTACAGGAACAATAGGTTGAAGAAGACCCTGCTCAAACGAGCTTACAGACTATAGGAGGTGGGGTATTAGAAACATTAGGACAAGAAATATCAAGTAGGAGTGAAGCAGAGCTGGAGGAGAGAGCAAAGCACTGTCCCATAGGAGAGAGCAGGAGACAGGTATGTAAGGTAGAGATTACTCTGGGAGGCCATAAGCTTTCCTGAAGAGATGGGTTTTAAGGCCCTTCTTAAATGATTGAAGACTAGGGGAGAGTCTGATGGCAGTAGGCAAGCTATTCCATAGGAGAGGAGCCGCCCGCGAGAGGTCCTGCAAGCGCGAGTTGGCCGTACGGGTGCGAGCAGCGGTCAGGAGGTGGTCACGGGCAGAGCGGAGGGTACGAGGAGGGGCATATCTATGGATTAGTGAAGAGATATAAGTGGGGCTAGAATTGTTCAGTGCTTTAAATGTATGGGTTAGCACTTTGAATCGACTCCTATAGCATACAGGGAGCCAATGTAAGGACTGACAGAGGGGTGAGGTGTGAGAGGACAGACTAGAGAGGAAAATCAGTCTAGCTGCAGCATTCATTACAGACTGTAGCGGGGCAATACGGCTTTTGGGGAAACCAATCAGGAGAGGGTTACAGTAATCCATGCGGGAAATTACTAGAGCATGGACAAGCTCCTTGGTAGCATCTTGCGTAAGAAAGGGGCGAATGCGGGCTATGTTTTTGAGTTGGAACCTACAGGACTTGGCAACAAACTGGATGTGAGACTCAAAGGTGAGACCAGAGTCAAGTATGACACCAAGACAGCATGCTTGCAGGGATGGACTTATGTGGATATCACTGAGTTGAAGGGAGAGCGAGAGAGGAGGATCAGTATTAGGAGGAGGAAAGACAAGGAGTTCAGTCTTTGAGAGGTTAAGTTTCAGAAAGCGTGAGGTCTTGCTTAGCTGCGAGTTCCAGCCATGTCTTTATTAATTAAAATTCAATGCCAGATATGTGAAACTGAATAGTGTGTGTTGTAACTGTATTATTGTGACAAGAATGTGTATATTAAGTTAGGATCAGGGTCCTGTGACAATTATTTTATGTAATATTAATAGCCACTAGGGGAAGCAAAATGTGATCATGCAGGACAAATCTCAATTTCGAAAGAAACAGCACTACAACGTGAGTCCTGCTAAACCACGTCTCTCTTCGGAACACATTGTCCATAGAAAACATCTTGTACGATGGTAAAAGTGCACACAAGAACAGTGCCATTAACACTGAAGTAACTGCAAGGAACGAAGAGACATTCCTTACAGGCTTCCGGAGAGATTTATTCATAGAGGACAAAAAAAAATAAATAAATTACAGACTTTGGTATTTTATAAAATGTAGTTTTTTTTTAACCTTATCCTAATCAACCTTTCATAAATCTTTACTTTGCACAGGAGTGGAAACAGCAGCAGCCCTGAACTGATACACAGCCGTGCAGTAGTAATTACCGTCTTGGCACGGCGCAAAAACAAAACAAGTTGTTTACCACCCCTCCTTGGCACCTCCTGAGCATTGCTTCCTGGTGATGTGAGCGTGGCTTTATAGATGGAAGAGTTTTGTCCTCCACATCACCAATGCTTCCACTGCTGCCCAGCCCTGCTGGCTGCAGGAATGCTTTCAACATCTGTAGGAGTGAGAATTACTCACTCGTTGGAAGCTTTTTAGCTCTAACATTCTTTGGAGGAAACCCAGACATGAGACTGGGGAATGTTTGTTACTGGAGGGGAGCAGTGATTTCCGCGCTGGAGATCCCTCACCGTCTCAGATAGTCCTTGCTAAGGATAAGGCTGGTAACTGTTCGTCCGCTTAGCGCAAGGAATTTTCGTGATTAGTTGTTATGTTGTTGGCTGTGCCAAGATTATATCCTGCTCGCTTGGACAGAGTTCAGTTCTTGTATGCCTGTCATAAAAGAAAGAGGGAGGGAACGTAAAATAAGAAAGTCAAAAGACCTTTTAAAAATGTAAAAAAAAAAAAAAATTTCCCAGAAATTCTTTGTGACCCCTATAATAATGCATTCAAGTGCGTGTTGTACAAATCAGCCTACTTCCGTATAGCAATCTTTAACTACCTCATTGCCAGTATCAGAACACCTAAGAAGCAAAAGATTTAGGCAGAAAAAAAATTACTTTTTGCCCCACTTCCTACAACTAGAGTCTAACGATAATGGCCTAACCATTTGCAGGGTATCGGTAGTGGGAATTACATTAATGTGTATTGATTTGATGGGGGGGTAATTGGAGAATTCAAAGTGATAGCTTAAATAGCCAAATTAGATTTAGTCCGCCTTCGCTCCTCCCCCGCCAACATCAGCCGGCGAGAGGGTCCTAAAGCACATGCGCGACAATGGCCTTGCTCACATTAGGACAGCCCCATAGGAAAGCATTATACTTTGCTATGTGGTTTCGGGTGACGTTGGATGTCCTCACGCAGCCACTAATTAAAAACTGCAGTAATTACCTTTCCAGGGTTAAGGAACATGGGATTATGCATCTAGACCACTTCAATGAGCTGAAGTGGTCTGGGTGCCTATAGTGTCCCTTTAACGTTTCAGACTTTGTTTATGCATAGGATTACATCAGCCGCAATGTTAAAGGGAAACTCCAGTGTCAGGAAAACAATTTGTTTTCCTGGCACTGCAGGTCCCCTTTCCCTCCCACCCCCCAATCTCCGGTTGCTGAAGGGGTGAAAACCCCTTCAGTAACTTACCAGAGGCTGCTTCTTCCTCCGCTGCCACTCCTCCCAGTGATTGCGTCGGCCGGTGGGAGACTGAATGCTTTCCTATGGGGAAATGAGCAACGCTGGAGGTCCTCACACAGCGTGAGGACGTCCAGCGACGCTCTAGTACAGGTTTCCTGTGCTAGGGACACGGAAGTGCCCTCTAGTGGCTGTCTAGTAGACAGCCACTAGAGGTGGAGTTAACCGTGCAAGGTAATTATTGCAGTTTATAAAAAAAACTGCAATAATTACACTTGCAGGGTTAAGAGTAGTGGGAGTTGGCACACAGAGCACTCCAATTGGCAGAAGTGGTCTGGGTGCCTGGAGTGTCCCTTGACAAGTGAATGGAATAACTTTGATTATCTTGTTACAATGGCACCTGGCAGGAAGTGGGATATATTAGGCAGCAAGTGAACAGTCAATTCTTGAATTTAATTTTGAATTTTTGAAGCAGGGAAAATGGGCAAGTGAAGAGATCCGAGTGACTGACAAGGGACGAATAGTGATGGCTGGACATCCGGGTCAGAGCATCTCCAAAAGCGCAAGTCTTGTGGTGTGTTACCAGTATGAAGTGGTTGGTGCCTACCAGAATTGGTGCAATGGAATGGGTTGAGGAACATGACAAACAGTTCAACGTGTTGCCCTGGCCTCTAGATTCCCCAGATCTCAATCCAATTGAGCACCTTTGGGGTGTGCTGGAACGACAAATCCGATACATGGAGGCCACCTTGCAACTTGCAAAGTATCTGTTGCTAATGTTTTGGTGCCAGCCACCATAGGACACGTTCAGAGGTCTTGTGGAGTCCATGCCTCAACGAATCAGAGCTGTTTTGGCAGCACAGTGGGGACCTACACAATATAAGGCCGGTGGTTTTATTGTTGTGGCTGATCAGTGTATACAACATGTTTTATAAAAATGCCTTATCTGTGCTTTTAGGCTGTGTACGTGGGTTCCTTAAAATACTAGAACAGCTTGGGACTGGTATTGGTGGCTAAGCACATATCAGCTACAGAATTATTAGCCTATATGTTATTTTTCCACCCACAAACGTCCAGTCAGCCCCATACGTTCTATAGAGCCTTTCTACTGAAGCTGCCTCCTTTCCACTCCGTTAATTTGAGGTGTTTGATATAATGGAAGGATAGCATTGATTAATAAGAGTAAAATAATTTAATACCAGCCATTCACCTGGAACATAATCAAGGAAGGTTGTTTGCAGTCTTGACAGATTTTCCTCTGGCAACAAAAAAAAACCTGTTTATGTGATGAAAAAGGTCTCTTTAAACATGCCAAGCGCCATAACAACTACAGTGCTGTAGTTGTTATAGTGCCAGGAGTGCACTCTAGTAGTTAAAGGGTTACAATCACCCCTTTTCAGAGAGAGATCCTTTCTGTTGTAATATGTTCTACCGGGCCTTGTGGAGAAGGTCCTCCCTCTCAATTTGTAACAAGTCTTGGTGGAGGAATAAATAAATAAATAAATTCCTGAAACCTCTGGGGCTGCGCATCATCACAGAGAATCCTGTGATTGGACCATTTTGAATAAGAATTTAGGCAGTGGTGTTGTGAACGCTGATCGGTGGGAACACTAGTATAACAAATGTCCCTGGCATGTGCACAATATGTCACTTCTTTCAGACTTTTGTAAAAGTGACCCATGCTGCCAGACCCCCTCCCTTCCATGTTGGAACTGAAAGAGCAAAGTCAATCTCAGGGTTAATAATAGGGGATAAACTTAATGTAGAATGGTTTTAAAGGCAGTAATTGGCTGTTAAAGGGACACTATAGGGTCAGGAACACAAACATGCACTCCTGCCCCTATAGTGTTAAAAACACAATTCTAGCCCTTCCTGCCCCCTTAAATATAGTAAAATCTTACCTTTATTTCAGTCTGCTGGTGCTTTCTCTGTCTCTGACTTGCCTGCTTGGCTGACATTATCAGAAGTAAATCACTCAGCCAATCACCATGCATTCACATAGGGAAGCATTGGATTGGCTGTGTTTTTCAACAAAGTAGATCAGGGGGAGAGCCAGTCCAAGCTGCTGAAGCTACCTCTCTGAAATGCATTTTTGCAAGTTGGTATTTCTGAGTCCATGTTAGTCATGCCTGGCCTAGAAGAGGTACAGATTGCAGTTCTTCATAATTACCATCTAAAGGTTTTTTTTTTTTTTTTCTTCACTCACTCCTCTGCCTGAGCTTCCACTAATGGAATTACAAGAAATTGCGGTATAAAGTAGGACCAGTACGTCGATGCTTAGAGCAAGGAGCCTGCAGCACTTTAAATGTGCAATAAAAAGTTTTAAATGTGTGGTTTCTGTGTCCCAGAAGAAAATTATTTTCGGGGATTTAATACTTTAGTGTGTTTTGGAATGAAAGAAAACAAGTGGTATACCCAATAGTAGTATAAAGCTCAAAAACACCTGTGAGGTATCCCGTTTCACCAGAGACTTTCTCCACATCCGCAATGGTTGCCGACCCATCTAGATAGATGAAGTGCAATGTGCGTTCCAAATACGTCGATACTGCTCCCGTGATAGGATATGACTTTAAGAAGCAGGAAGGATACACTACAGACAGGTGGAATGCAGGACGCGTTACACCGCAGAAAAAGACAGCGAAAAAGATTAACAACTTGCATATAAGGAAATACAGGACACAGCAGTATTACTTACACCAACTGAAGGAGCCACATCCGGCGAAACGCGTTTTGGTGCATTATTGGACATTGCTTAATAGTTATTTTTTGTTTATTTTAACAATCATTTTAAAGAAATGCATTTATTTACCCTACCTGATTCCTGCAACTGATCATTCCTGGGAGAACATTGGATTAGCTGCGTTAGGATTTGGATAACCCAGAAAAGATCCTAAGGATATCCACACCAGAGCCAGGTCTAGTATATGGCTCTACTTTTGTGAGTGTTTTTAAAGAAATCTAATATGTGTATGGTTTAAAAGATATCTGCACTATTTTATACCCCTCTATCGTTTCAGCATAGCTGGATACATTAAGAAGAAATGGGAAGTATATTATCTGCTCCACCTTATGTTTGTGTTATATATGTTTTGGAAGGAAGGCTTCAACTATCAATCAGATGGAATACAGAGTGAGCTTAGAGATAAACTGAGACACAAATGCAGCACAAAACCAGGGAAGACTCTGCAAAGAACAAAATCTCTCTCGTAGAGTGATAAGTACTAACAGACACCAAGTGCTATAAACTGCACTCAAAGGAGAACAAACATTTAAATGCATAAATAGATTTGACATCACTCCGGCATCACTAAGAGGCGCGCGAGCGGCTGCACGCCAGCCGCTCAGCCCAATAGCCCCACTGGACCCCAGGGAAATAGAGACTCCATGTCAGCACTCCCAAAAGGTAGGGAGGCTAGGTGGAGTGAAATAATAAAAAAGTGTATGTATGTTAAGGAGTTTGTATGTTTGTCAGTGAGTGTATGTGTGAGTGTCAGTGTGTGCATCGGTGTGTCAAGGTTTGTGTATGTGTCACTGTGTATGAGTGTGCGTGTGTGTATATGACACTGTGTGTATGTGTGCCAGTGTGTCGCATACATACAGACAAACACAGCTACACATACCTTGACACACTTTGACACAGATACTTTTTGCTTTCTCCACGATGTTGATACACTATGTCAAAGGTTTCCACTGGAAAAATTAACTGGGAACCTTGCTCTAGATGTATGAATAGTGCTACCCATTTGGTAGGATGGTAATCTGCCTTTAAATGTTTGCTTTCTCGTGTGTGTAGTTTATATAGCAGTTGGTGTCTATGTTCGTACTTATCACTATGAGATTTGTTTGTTCTTTGCAGTATCTCCACTTGCATGGTTTTATTTTGTGAGGATAGAGAGGAGTCTTGGGAAATAAGTCTTTCCAGGAAAACGTTTGTTGTTGTTTTTGGACATTCAAATGCAGGTGTCCCTTTTAATAGGAAAATTTGGCTCAAATAACCAACTTTGCCTTTATGAAGCAGTTTTAGTGTATAGATCATGCCCCTGCAGTCTCACCAGTCAATTCTTTGCCAGTTAGGAGTTAAATCACTTTGTTTATGCAGCCCGTAGACATACTCCTTGGCTGAGACTACACAAACTCCCTACACATTTCCTGAAAGTCTTTTTTTTTTTTTTAAAAGCTTTCATTATTGTACAGTCGGTTTATAATAACCACTCTCCTGCTGTGTTAATAGCCTCTCGGAGTCTCGTGAGTGGTTACATTTCAGTTAAAGGGACACTATAGACACGTGAACAACTTTAGCTTAATGAAGCAGTTTTGGTGTATAGAACATGCCCCTGCAGCCTCACTGCTCAATCCTCTGCCATTTAGGAGTTAAATCCCTTTGTTTATGAACCCTAGTCACACCTCCCTGCATGTGACTTGCACAGCCTTCCATAAACACTTCCTGTAAAGAGAGCCCTATTTAGGCTTTCTTTATTGCAAGTTCTGTTTAATTAAGATTTTCTTATCCCCTGCTATGTTAATAGCTTGTTAGACCCTGCAAGAGTCTCCTGTATGTGATTCAGTTCAATTTAGAGATTGAGATACAATTATTTAAGGTAAATGACATCTGTTTGAAAGTGAAACCAGTTTTTTTTTCATGCAGGCTCTGTCAATCATAGCCAGGGGAGGTGTGGCTAGGGCTGCATAAACCGAAACAAAGTGATTTAACTCCTAAATGACAGTGAATTGAGCAGTGAAATTGCAGGGGAATGATCTATACACTAAAAATGCTTTATTTAGCTAAAGTAATTTAGGTGACTATAGTGTCCCTTTAACAGAGCAGGATATTAGAACTTCTAGAGCAAATACACTGTGCTGTAAGATCTGATTTAAAGGGATACTACAGTGCTGGAATACATAGTTTTAAAATTAGAAAAAAAAGTTACCTGCACTCTTTCCACATCCCTATATATCCACATACTATACATCTTTGTATTTACTCATAGTTTTAATCTTACCCTATAACACCACTGTTGTCAACTCGGCGCTGGGTCGACACTTTGCCTCCTCCAACGTTTCTAATTAACATTGCAGGGTTAAGGGGACAGGGACATTGCACCCAGACCATTTCAATAAGATGGGTGCCTATAGTGTCCCTTTAAAATGTTACATTTCATTCAGGCTGTGTGAATCACAGCCAGGGGAGGTGTGACTAGGGCTGGAGCAATAGAAATTTTTTTCTTTTTTTAAATAGAGCATGGGGCAGTGAGACTGCAGAGACATTATCTATACACCAAAACCACTTCATTAACATAAAGCTGTTTTGGTGCTTAGAGTGTCCCTTTAATCTTGGATGTAGAGTTCCACAAGTAACTTTATTTTAAAAAAAAAAAAAAAAAAGGGGAGGGGGGAGAGAGAAAATGGATAGAGGGATAGATTAAGTGTGTAAAATTTTGGTCCACTATAATCAATTGCTGGTTGAGGATTACACAAATTGTAGCCCAATCAATGAAGTGAAGTTTGCATAAGAAACAAAATCTGTATCACCCAAGGTTATGGAGAAAAACTGTAGTCAATAACACAACTAACATTAACCCTTAAATCTAAATGATTTCCCAACACACAGTTAATATTATCTGGCACAAAAATTATAAAACTAGTATTTTCCATCTGGCACACAGAGGGAATATTGTATCTCTCTGGCACGCAGACAGTTAAAGTTTCACCGCTCTCCACACAGTTAATAAACTAGTATCTTGTTTCCCTCTGGCACACAAACAGTTGATCTAACCCAGTATTTTATCCCTCTGGCAGACAGTTAACATCCAATCTCTCTCACTGGCACGCAGACAGTTAATAAAACAAGTCTGCAGCATGTAAAAAAAGTTAAATATCTGGCACTCAAATGGTTAACGTTGAAACACTCGGGCACAAAATTACACCTATATCCTCTATGGCGAGCAAACAGTTAATATTGTATCTCTCTGGCACACAAACCGTTAATAACCTAACCTAGTATTTCATCCCTCTGGCACAGAAAGAGTTAATAAAACACTCCTGTCAGACCATGTATCTACTAAAAGAAAAATGTTTCTTACCTGAAACACACAGACACACCTGGGAGATCCTGTCCGAAACACTACAGGTAAAAATGATGGAAACCAAGTAAAACGTCCCCCTCCTCAACACCACATACCCACCCACCCTGGGATGCATTTAATTTATAGATCTGGTCTCCACCCACTTTCAATCAGAAATCAATAACACATGGGCAAGCATTAACCCTTTCCAAGCCGCCCCGGATAATCATTAACCCTTTGCTGGCCACATTATCCAATAATAAACCCTTTCGTGGCTGATCCACAATATCATTTACCCTTACAAGGACACCCCAACCGATAATTAACCCTTACAAGGCCACCCCAACTGATAATTAACCCTTTCCAGGCCACATCGTATAATTTGCCCTTTTCTGGCTGCATCATCCGATCATTAACCCTCTCCTGGCTGTCCCACCCTTCCAATCACAAATGATATCCTATGACCAATTATTAATCCAGACTTTTCTGCCCGGTTATTAACAGTCTCCTGGCTGCACCAACATTTAAATCTTACCAGACACTACCCCTTCCAGTCAGCAGTCAGTATTAACCCTGTCTTGGCTGCACCACCCAGTCAATGCTTTGCTGGTTTTCTTAAAGGAACACTGTATGCATCTAATTGAAGTAGCCAAAGGGCCTATAGTATATCCCTCCTTGCAAGTGGCCCCAAAACCTATTTTATTAGTTAGAAGGCCTGGAAGCGTAACTTCAAGCCATGCCTCCAAGCCCTCTGGATAGGAGAACCGGGACTGTTACTACTTGGCTCTCATATCCAGGCACACCATGACATCATCCTTAGTGCCGTCACAGCCTGTTATCATTGCATGCAATAATTCTCTATGACAAGAGAATCATTGGCGGATTACGGCGAGATTGCGCATGTGATTCCCAATGATTTCTATGAGGAGCATCGCACTCGAACGTCATCCTGGAGGAACGTCTCCTGGAAGACGTCACGCGAGGAGGAGGAATTTTTTGGTCTTTTAACAGTGCACACCAGGAAGGGATGGAATTGAGACTATAGCGTTAGGAATGCATATTTGTATTCCTAACGCTATTGAGTCTCTTAATCCAACAGCCTCCCATTGGTCAATGCCACATAAAAAAGAACCATATTAAAGGACCACTATAGTGCCAGGAAAACATACTCGTTTTCCTGGCACTATAGTGCCCTGAGGGACCCCCTCCCGCCGGGCTGGATGGTGAGGAAAGGGTTAAATCTGACCTTTTTTTTCCAGCGCCAGGCAGGGAGCTCTCCTCCTCCTCTTTGGCTGAATGCGCATGCACGGCAGGAGCTGCGCGCGCATTCAGCCAGTCTCATAGGAAAGCATTCGTAATGCTTTCCTATGGACGCTGCCGTCTTCTCACTGTGATTTTCACAGTGAGAAGCACGCAAACGCCTCTAGCGGCTGTCAATGAGACAGCCACAAGAGGCTTTAGAGGCTGGATTAACCCATTTATAAACATAGCAGTTCATCTGAAACTATGTTTATAAAAAAAAAAAGGATTAATCCTAGAGGGACCTGGCACCCAGACCACTTCATTAAGCTGAAGTGGTCTGGGTGCCTAGAGTGGTCCTTTAAACCTTAGTTGGTTCTGCCCCTTCAAAACAGTAACCTGTCAGGTAAAGCAATTACCTGCTCAATGACCTGCTGGCTGTGCCTATTTTTTGGTTTCATATTGCAATTTGCTGTATGTAGGGTTGACAAATCGAAAATATTTAGTAATATGCCCCCCAAAGAAAACGTGTGTAAATTAACGGTTGCATGTTTTCTTTTTGTGTATACGTAAAATTAGTGTTCACTAGTTGTAGATCTCGTTTCTGCAGCTACTGTACGTCCGCTCTTTCACCTTTCTCATTGAGTGTCCCAGAGGGCGAGCTGTACGCAGCGTTTCGTTCACACTTCCCCATGAGATATTGTACAGCCCAGGGCACCTGACGCTTCTCTTGGCTTAGTAGACAGCTGGCGAGGTGTTAATGCAGTCATTTATAAGACTGCAGATATCTAGTGAAATTGGCACTTTTATAAATGTGTAGGGAAAAAAAGGCCCATTCTATGCATCAAGCAGTTCAGTAAGCTGAAGTACTACATTTGTTTGGAGTGTTCCTTTAAACGATACCCCAAAACTCTTACAGAACTCACCTAGAGATTTCCTGTCTAGCAGGTACCCATAAAACCCTGTAAATTAAACCTTGTTGTTCCCAGAGATGCAGATTAACAATAGAGAGCCTCACAGAATAATACAGGGAAGCAGGTACTCTAAGAGATCAGGGCAACAAACTTACATATTCAAATCTCAAATCCCACACATGCCCCCTTCGTGCTCCTCAGCTGCAAGTAGCTCATTGTAATGTCTGCCTGACGTTCTGCTGCTGATAGCAGTATAGACCTTCACACTATAGTTTAGAAACTCTCAGCAAAAGGGTCCATTACTCTCTTGGTATCAACGTAACTTTCCTCCAATCACTACTAACGTCATACCAGACAATGCAGAGACTTACATAAGAGAAATCATAACTTTTAATGTTTCAAGTCCAAAAATAAGCTGAGTCCTGTGATCTCCAGCCCCCTATAGTTAAGGGTACGGAATGCAAAGTGTCTTGGGAACTAAAATGGTCCACTCTGTCTCACTCCTCATCTTCTTCATTGTCATCCACTGTGAGACGTCGTTCAAGGGCAGAGTCTGACGCCACATGCTGGATTGAGACAATCCCAGTTAGTAAAGCGTATCCAACCATAGCCAGAAGAGCAACTGCCACCGAAAGGATCTGGTTACGCCGTTTGTGGGGTTCCTCATCAGAATCTGGTGTCTCTGCAGTTGGTGTTTTTGGGGCCACACGAGGAATGCTGTCTGAAAGATTAAGGTGGACACAGAGCAGTGTTAGCTGGGGTCTAATAACATGTTTCCTCTCGGAGTGCATGGGTTACAGGTATATAATATAAGATAATGCCATGTGGATATATTCTTATAGAGTTTTTTCACTTATCTTTAATCATGAAGAAATAAAAATCTAAATGAAAAAATTGAGGCTTAAATCGCTGATTTGGAGAATATTATCCAACTCAGCTGTAGTCACAATTTAATTGTAATTTTGCCATTTGGATTAAAATTTGCTACAATTCAAAGTTTAGTGATTAAACCAAAATATGTGTATTTATAATAATGCCAAACAGAATTTTAACATATAAAGATGATGTAAGAAAAGGTGTACATGATGGATGCTAGTCTTTTTTTCAGCCTTAATAACTATGTAATAAAACCCTTGTTATATCCATAACGCTTTCACTGCGGATGAAGACTCTATGCTGTAGCATTTCTGAAATGCGTTGTATGTTTGCTCTTCTGTAACTCATGACGAATACGAAACAAACTAGTCTTCCACATTATATTAAAAAAGGCGCCATCCAGCTGCGCGATGACACCGTGGCACTTTCTCACTGAAGTGGTGCAGAGATATGGGAATTTGTATCTCACACTGCACCAACTAAAGGATTAGGAAAGCCCTTGCTTGATAAAGAAGAATATGTTATTTCAAATGAGCTGTCACTTGTCTGCCTAGAATACAGATGATCACGTTAGAAACATAGATCTCCTACCTCACTGTCTACAAGGACAGCAGTCTATGGAGGGGATTTACATGTCCATATAATCTACAGATGATTACTAAAATAATAGTGACCGCCTGATCCAGACACCTTTTAAAGCTTCTAGCAATCCCAGAGTGGCATAATGCCATTTCGGAAGGCAGTGTGGTGTTTCATTATGGGTAGGTGAAAATAAAAATGGCAATCAACTCATAAGGGAATGGGGGACAGGGGTTCCAAACAAGATACTATTCCTTAAATACATAATACCACACAATACTTAATACCCTTTATATGAAATAGGGGAGGATTCTATTTCAAATCAGGGGTCTAATTAGGAATGGCTATCATCAGCCTACTAGGTGCTCAATGCCCTAAAAATAACTTTGTTACTTGTATGAGCACAAAAATAGGCTAAATGGACCCTCTTTTGAAAAAGGAGAGCCTTTAAGCACCCAGGAAGCTCACAATGGCAACTGTGATCACAAATCATGGGGTGTGGGGTAGCTGTCAGACATATTGTGCCATGCCCCACAATTATCCCTACATAGCTCCCTATTGCCCTCAAATTATATAGATGAGCATGAGACCCCTTATCTGAAAAAAATCTTATGCCTATATAGCAGAATTTTTAGTGCAATTATTTTATGTTTATTATTATTCGTCTTTGCTAGGTGAGTTTGGGCATCAGACATACAAACTCCAGTAAAAATCACCAAATTCACAAGGCACTGGTATGCAAGTGAACAATAATTTGAAGTAATATTCTAACTCTTTGCTTCATGACGGTTAAAGGGACACTATAGTCACCAGAACAACTACAGCTTATTGAATTTGTTCTGGTGAGTAGAATCATTACCTTCAGGCTTTTTGCTGTAAACACTGTCTTTTCAGCCTAGTGATAACTTCACTGGCCACTCCTGATTCAATTCATTTCTATGAGGAGATGCGGATTGGCCAGGGCTGTGTTTGAATTGTGCTGGCTCTGCCCCTGATCTTCCTCTTTGTCAGTCTCAGCCAATCCTATGTGGAATCATTGTGAATGGATCAGGCAACCACTTCTGATGATGTCAGCAGACTGTTTTTCTGAGTCTAACAGCATGCAGAGTTACAGCTTCAGGCTTCAATACAGTAAGATTTTTACTATATTTATGGAGGCATGAGGGGCCCAGGGGGGCTAGATGGTGGTTTTTACACTATAGGGTCAGGAATGCATGTTTGTGTTCCTGACCTTATAGTTATCCTTTAATTATGTGGATGAGGGACAGCACTTGCTAGCCAGCTGCCACATTAAAAAGTTAAAACAAAGAAAAAAACCTTTTGCGGTCAATAGAACCCCATATTACTATAAGGAAGGCTTAACAACTTCCCCACCTGCCACACATCTACTAACATGGTAAAACTAGCGACTTGGCAGCCATTGCTATAACGGTGACATAAACCCCACATACAATAAATGGGGGGGGGGGGGAATTATAATATTCAGGGGGAAGGACCTAGTGTACCAGCTTGGCCCCCACCCACTGGTATGGGGGCCCTAACATTGATATTAAAGGGAGAGGACCTAATGACCCCTCCCCCCTCAGCACACACCCAGGGTCTTATTGTCATAGGTTTTATATTTATTTTTTTACCTTTTTAATAGGCGGTTGGTCAACCACCACATCATTAATCCTCGCACAGCCGAGGGTTTTTATAGGGATACTATAGGCATCAAAACAATTTTGGCTTAATGTAGCACTCCTAAATGGCTGAGAATTGAGCAGTTAGACTATAGGGGCATGATCTGTACCCCAAACCTGCTTCATTAAGCTAAAGTTGTTTTGGTGACTATAGTGTCTCAGTATAGCTGCTAGTGCTGCCAGGCAAAAAGTTTGGATTTTTTAAAATCCAGGCACAGATCTGAAGCTCTTTGGCCCAGATTTAATTTATATGGTCTGGATGTCAGTCGTCCTGCGGCATTCAGTCCAGCTGAAGTCGGGGCCAAGTTCAGGCCAGTTTGGGGCCTGAATTGCAAAAATCTGGATGTTGTTAAATTGCATGAACAATGTCTGGATTATGCAGTCTGAATAACCCATTCCGTACGGTGGGCCTTCGGACTTTATTGAATAAACCACGTAAATATTAAGATAAAAATCTGAATTTTGTACAGTTTAAAATATACAGAGTATATGTATAGATTCTACAAGTGAATGATCTGCTGAAAAAACAACAACATATAATTCATAGAAAAAGCACTAATATTGTGTGTTTAAGTACAATGAGCATAAAAAGAGCAAAACCCTAAAAATGGCTTTAGCACACCGGTGTAAAATGGCCAGGTAGCTAAGGTGTTGATGTGGATACATAATATCTGCCGAGTGGCAAAGGACTTACCTCCTTCCCGTTCAAAGTAAATGTTGAGTATTGAGTTGCAGTATTGACACAGGTTATTCAGTGTTTTCAAGTGTTGCTGTAACCTGTTGCTGGGTAGTTTAGTGTTCAGAATTAGCGCTAAATGGCTGAAAATGTGTGCATCAAGAGAGGCAGGCCTGCAAGGAGGAATGTCAGAAGAGAAAGGTTAGACCAGGTGAGCATGCAATCTGTAGCACAGCAAGGGTTGCACTCCACGGAGCAGCAGCACTTAGTGGGTCAACAACCAGTGACACCAGGGAGGCACATTTGTGACCCACCAGTGCGTCTTCCCTAAAGAGTAACAAGCCCAGCTCTCGTAACAAATCAGTTTGCTGTTCTTTCTCTCCTCTCCATCACCCATCATATTCTCTGTATTGTTTCTCTTTGATCCTTAACCTCCTAATGACACCCCTTTCATACACCTGCACTCTTGTTTAATACAGACATATAAGAAGATATTAAATCCAAACAGGAAAAGATAATGGTGGATTGGCACTGTAGTGTACACAGAAAAAATACAACTACCCCCAGTGCCTAAAATCACTCAAAAAGCACTTAAGTGTTTAGAAAGAGAGTAAAAAGTAATGGAGGGTGCACAATAATACAACCGTTTTAAATAGTATACTTATACATGAGGAACCTCTTGATCTGACACAGATAACAAAGAAATCATAGCATAATACTGTTACATGTATATAAAAGATCTATTGCAGAGGTTTTGGGTCACTCACACTTTCCAGAGCCACAACAAGCAGGCTCTGGCTTAGATAGCAGTTGAATAATATTTAGCTTATTCAGGCTGTGGAATTCCCATGTGATGTCTCCTTTTCAATGCCAAAAGAAGAATAGCAGGATCCAGAATAAATGATAAAATAAACTTTACTGGATACAATAACATAGAGTAAAAGAAGGCATACAGCATAAGCCAACTGCATACAAATAAAAAATCCACCAGCACTAAAGCGTTTCGAACTTGGGGTCTTTTTCAAAGTGCATGGTAAATGTCCTTTCTTGGTGCTCTATATCTATCTTCATCTGTGATTGAATTTTGCGCCGTTTTTCGGTGCCCCGCGATCACTTCCGGGTGATAGGACTGTCCTATCAATTATAAATTGCTCACTCTGGTTTTCTTGGAAATTTGATTTAAAAAAAACCAAAACATATCTGAGACTAACTTTTAGAGAGTTCGGGCTCTCTTTTTTTAATCCCTCTTGCAAAAAAAGTGAGAATATCTGAATAGGATGGATTTAGAAAACGTATTTTCTTTGTATCTGAGCATTCTTTAAAATTGTCCCAAATGTGATATGTGGCTGAAGTAGACTTTCTAGCCTTAAAGCAACACTATAGTGTCAGGAACACAAACGTATTCCTATAGTGTTAAAACCACCATCTAGCCCCCTTTGCCCCTCTACCACACAAAAAATATATAGTAAAATCTTACTTTTATTCAAGTCTGCAGCTGCTGGCTCTGTCCCTGATCTGCCTGCTTGGCTGGCATAATTAGAAGTGATATTCCAAGCCAATCACAATTCTTTCACATAGAACTGACTGTCAAGGAGGCAGATCAGGGGCAGAGCCAGCACAAGCCAAACACAGCCCTGGGTAAGCAGCATCTCCTTATAGAGATGCATTGAATCAATGCATCTCTATGAGGAGAGTTCAGTGTCTGAATGCAGAGGGTGGAAGCACTGAATGGCAGCGTGTAGCATTGCCCAAGCAAGCACCCCTAGCAGCCTGAGTGGCCAGTGAAGGTATCCCTAGGAATGTAAACACTGGATTTTCTCTGAAAAGACAGTGTTTACTGAAAAATGCCTGAAGAGAAATGATTCTACTCACCAGAACAAATACAATAAGCTGTAGTTGTCCTGGTGGCTAAAGTGGCTTCTCAAAAGCCATGCTGAAAGGTTCAGAGACTGAGGAGAAGGATAGATTGCTGACCTTTGGCGAAAAAGGTCCCACACATTGGGACGCATCCATGGTTCCTCTAAACCTCATTTTGAGCAATACAGGAAGCAAAGGCCTCCTCGGCCAAAGTGGAATAATGGCAATCACCTTGATATTGGCTTTCCAAATCTTTCTCAGGATTCAATGTATTATAGGGATTGGGGCAAACACATATCCCAGATTGCATTCTCAATTCAGGTCCTGCCTAAAGGTCTAGTTTGCTGGACAACAATCTTGCAAAGTGAGCATTCTTGGATGATGCTATGAAGTCTATTTGAGGCATTCCCTACTTCTTCACAATTTGAAGAAATATTTCCTTTTCAAGGCTCCACTCTCCTGGATTCAGATTCGATCTGCTCAAGAAATATGCCAAAGCATTCTCTTTCCCTGGAAGCTAAACTGCATTGAGGCCTTTGAGATGGTGTCCAAAACATCATAGGTTTCAATTCTTTGATGAGTTTCACACTCCTATTCCCTCCTTGATGATTTACATATGAATCTACTGTCCGACTCTCTGTTTTTATTAAATCATACTGTTCTATCATAAGTGGAGCAAAACTCATCAATGCTCTGAAAACAGCTCCAAGAGATTTGATTGTAGATGCATTAACTGAGTTGGCCAAACTTTAGCCATTCGGTCTTTGCAGTGTGCTCCACATCCTCTTCTACTGGCATCTGTAGTGACATATATCCAGATGAAAACCTTGGCTCAGATTTTGATCTTCCATCCACCAGAACAAGTTCAGTTTGAGTTCCTTTGCAACACAAATTAGCTGGTTCCAAAAAATCCTTTGAGCTAGTCTGACCTGTCAGTGAAACCATCTGACCAAGCCTATTGTCGAGGTGAGAGATCTCAGAAGGCTCATGGTTTAAGAGTGTCTGTAGCTTGTCTTTTAATCAGGCTTTTCTTTCTTCTGACAATTTTATAACTGCCATTTCTGTATGGATCTGAGCCCCTAGAAAAACAATTGAGGTTGCCAGAACTAGGTTGCTTTTCTGTTGATTCAGAATCCAACCGTGTTCTTCTAAGTAAAGCATCATTTTTATCTTGAACACCAACTCTCTAACTCTGGGCTATAATAAGGATAACATCCAGGTAATCTGGTTTCCTTGCTTTATGATTACTGGTATTAATGAAATAAGAACTTTTGAAAAATATCCTGGGGGCTGACTGAACCCAAAAGGGAGAACCACAAACTGGAAGTGTTTCCCCAGGACATGGAAATGGAGAACTTTCACATACTTCTTGTGAATTGGTATCTGGCATAATGTATCTTTCAAGTCAATGCTTGTGGGCCAATCTCCTTTGTGTAAGGCTCGTATAGATGCCAAGGATTCCATATTGTATGATTTCTTTCCTCAGGAACATTTATGATTTTTAGGTCTAAAATTAGTTTACATTTTTTTTTTTTTAGAGTATAATATTTTGTAGTGTTCTTGTAGGGGCACTTCTAAGATTACTCCTTAATTAAAGAACTTTGAAATGCAGGCTTGAAATTTTACCCAGGAAGGAGCTGTGGATTTCCCAAATTTCCTTGTTACTATGAATTTTTCTCTGATGATTGCCTGATTTTGATGTTTGTAGTCAAGATCTGAAATAATCCTCTTACACGGCCACCTATTTTCAAGGTCTAAGCCTGTACTCCTTCGCAATGACTTGGTATTGGATCTCTGTCCTCTTCCTTAATTGATTCTGAAGCTGAGGATTGTGAAACTGTCCAAGAATTATTTCTGTAGTACTCTCTGCCAGGTCTGTAAGGAGCAATCTCTGTATCTTTTAAATCTACATTAAGATGGAGAAAGACATTTTCCCTCTTGTGGAAGAAAGGCTTTCAGCCCTCAGCTACTTTCTGGATAGAATTACCTAAGGCTTTGCCGAAAAGGTTATCTTCTTAAAAGGTATGGGCGCATAGATTAGCCTTAGATGAATAACCTGTGCCCCAGGAATGAAGCCATAGAGCTAACTGAGAAGCCACTGATTATGCCATACTTTTGGCAATAATTTTAGTAATGTCCAAAGGAGCTTTAGAGATACTGATAGACAACATTCTTTGAGGGAATCAATCAAGTTTTCTCTCCAAATGCCTTTAGCAAAGTCTTCTTCAAGATTATCAATCCAAATCTTTAGAGCTCTTGACACTGATGTCATAACCACCATGGGATGAAAGTCTGAAACCAAAGCCAAATACCTTTTCCCTAGATCTGAATCAATCTACTTTTCCATAGGTTCTCTAAAATATATACTATCTTTAGGGAGGGTGGTCTTTTTAACCAGCCTAATAACAGTTGCATCTTCCAAGAGTTCCAACTCTTACATTCCTTATTGTCAAACGGATAAATTCTTCCCTTGAAGAGAGAACTTTTTTCTCAGGTTCAGACCATTCATTCAAGATCAGATCTTTTGTTGTCGAATGTAATGGAAAGAAGGATCTGCAGCTTTTCACGTCCTCAAAGAATACATCTGAGGCAGATACCTTTAAGACGTTTCCGATTGAGGCTTGAAAAGAGTTTAAAAAATAAAGGGGGCGACTGCAGCCTTAGCCTACTAGCAACTCATTAAGGTCTATGGTCCCTGATTTGATGTAATATATATATATATATATATATATATATATATAGAGAGAGAGAGAGAGAGAGAGAGAGAGAGATTTATTTATTTTAAATATCTCCTTTTATCTTGAAGCTGAATGAGAACAGTGAACTAGTGTTTTGCTTGTTTCTCCATGAAATTATCTGATTAAATAAGAGGAGACACCAACAAGCTTTTCCTGTAACAGAACACTCAAAAAATCTCATGCAAATATTACCCCTGTGCTGCTGTCTGATGGACATGTGTGAATTAAAATGCTTCTTACTATACCTGCTGCTAAAGTTAACAGAGGGTCACACAGTGACAGAATGGATTACTGAACCTCTGCACATGTGGAATCTCACAGGTAAATGCTCATTTTCCAGATACTTACGAGTCTCCAAAGAAGAATTTCTTTGTTCCAAGTAGCTGCGATAATAAACTTATGCATTCCTGTGCGTCGGCGTAGAGCTGAGGAGATAAAAGGCATTATGTCACACACACTCTGACAATTTCATTTTAATGGAAATTGTGGAGTGGGTCACACTGTTTGTAGTTGTGCAGCCATGTAAATTCCCAGGCTTTTGTTACATGGCTGCACAACTACAAACAGTGTGACCCACTCGATTACGCATCTCTGCACCTTGTGACACACTAAGGGGTTCATTCAAATTTTATGCATGCCACTCCATTGCTAAACTTCACCCACAGTGACCTTTGAACCCACTCAACAACTCATCCAACACACCTTGTGACCATCTGCACTGCTCCAGTTCCACACCGTGAGCACCACATGCCCAGTTCCACACATCCGTGAGCACCACACGCCCAGTTCCACACATTCGAATGCACCACATGCCCAGTTCCACACATTCGTGAGCACCACATGCCCAGTTCCAAGCCACAAAACAATAAACATCTCATTTCCTGCGACTCTTCCATTCCTCAGATGTGAACCCAGCAATGCCCCATCTCCAAACACTATGACCCATCATCACTCCACTCACAACCTCCGACCCAATCCACCCCCAGACCACCCGTGACTCTGTCTCCCCACCACCTCCTAAACCCAACTATGTACCCAGATACAGCCATAACACATGACCGATTTCATAGCCCACCAGCGCCCCTCCACACATCATTTGAATATCTAAATCCCCTGGCTACAAATCATGTGGGCCCCCTTCCACACAGTGCAAACTACTCCATCAATGACTGCACCAGGTGACCCTACCTAGATGTACTTATTATACAGGCTTTACAGACAAGTTATATATTTGCACAATTACATAGTATAAAAAAGCACAAAAATTAAAGAAATAACATTAATCAAAATAATTCACTTGATAGATGGATACTGACAACATATACAAATATTAACATTGAGGGGTCAATGAAAGCCTATTTGTATTTAAGATATATTTTGGTGCCAGCACATAATGTCCTAGGTAGAAGCATAAATGTAGAGATCACCAGCTGCCCACAACACATAGGGGACAGGCTCTGTAGGGTAGCTAAATGGGGGCATTGGACCTTTACTCTCCATAATAAGACACACCAGTGTCAGGCTGCAAACAGGAGATTTCTGTATCACTCTGTATGTATGGGCGCTGTCACAGATCTCAGTGGCCATGGTCACAATGCATAAGAAATGAACTCCCAAGGGCCATATGTGAATATAGTGGCTTTGATCACAGTTCATGGAATATCCCAGTATAACAGACCTCAAACTCTCAGTAATTAGTGTTCGGTTCATTAATGTATCTAACTACATATCCCAGCATCTTGTGGCAATGGCTACAGTGCATTGTGACCAAAACTGTGTCTTACATATGCCACTAGCCCATTTGGAGGTGGTGCTGCACAATACCTTAACATGTGTCTTATTCTAGTGAAAGTTGAATGCCATTTCATAGTTAAGATAACCCTCTGCATGGTGCCTTATATAACTGTATGTTGTAAGATCACAGATCGGATACAGTTTGCTAATAACTCCACTTATTTTTAGCTAATTTTAGATGTTTTTCCTCAAATCCTCTGACCTTACCCCCTCAATCACTCTAAATGTAATGACGTCATTATCAAGTTTTTCCCTGACCTTCACAACATGTGATCCTTCCTATATCCCACCTCCACAACCTGTGACCCTCCCTATATCCCACCTCTGCAACCTGACCCTCACTATTTTCCACCTCTGCAACCTGACCCTCACTATATCCCACCTCTACAACCTGTGATCATCACTATATCCCATCTCTACAACCTGTGACCCTTCCTATATTCCATCTCTACAACCTGTGACCCTTCCTATATCCCACCTCCACAACCTGTGACCCTCCCTATATTACACCTCCACAACCTGTGACCCTTCCTATATTCCACCTCCACAACCAGTGACCCTCCCTATATCCCATCTCTACAACCTGTGACCCTTCCTATATTCCACCTCCACAACCAGTGACCCTCCCTATATCCCATCTCTACAACCTGTTACCCTTCCTATATCTTATCTCTACAACCTGTGACCCTTCCTATATCCCAACTCCACAACCTGTGACCCTCCCTATAGTCCACCTCCACAACCTGTGACCCTCCCTATAGTCCACCTCCACAACCTGTGACCCTTCCTATATCCCATCTCTACAACCTGTTACCCTTCCTATATCTTATCTCTACAACCTGTGACCCTTCCTATATCCCAACTCCACAACCTGTGACCCTCCCTATAGTCCACCTCCACAACCTGTGACCCTCCCTATAGTCCACCTCCACAACCTGTGACCCTTCCTATATCCCACCTCCACAACCTGTGACCCTCCCTATATCCCATCTCCACAACCTGTGACCCTCCCTATATCCCACCTCCACAACCTGTGACCCTCCCTATATCCCATCTCTACAACCTGTGACCCTCCCTATATCCCACCTATACAACCTGTGACATCCCTATTGCACATGTCCACAACAAGTGACCCTCTCCCCTTCTCATCTAACTCGATATGTATGTTACCTGTTTCTCTAAGGCATCATCCTCCTCTGCCCAGCTCTCTCCCCTGATCAGCTGCAGGCGTTCCAACGCGCTCTTGTGAATTTGGTTTGGAATAAAGAAATTCAGGGGGAAAGGGATTAATTCCGCATACCACTTGCGTGTGTGCTCCACATAATTCTTGGCATCCACCCAAAATGTGTGAATCTGCAGACAGGGACGGCAGCAAAACAATGTAACGTCACATCCATTCTACAGCAAGCAAAGAACATGGGTGATTTTTTTTCTAACCTGCGCAGTAGCCATGGACACTCACCAGGGCTGGGAGCAGCTTCTCCTCCAGCAAGGAGATAAATGCCAGCGTATCAGCTCCCTGTTTGGCTGACAGGTCGTAATCAGCATTGTATTTCTGAAAAGTATTCAATGAAAGTTTTTTGGTTTGTTTTTTAAACCCAGCAGTGAATGCAACAGACTGAAAGGAGAACAGCAGGCAGTATAACTGCTAACTGGAAGTGGGGTATTCACTTAACAGAGAATTGGGGTGTATTAACAAAATAATTGTACATTTTAGGCCAATAAGAAATTTGGAAACCTGGACCTGGACTAATAGGTGAGTAGCCACATAAGTTGAAAACCAAATAGTACATTTAAGCTGAAATAACTCATTTTTAAAAAGTTTCCAATTCGAGTTTTATTATACAATAATTTTTTGACTGAAGTTTACAACTCACAGATTTATTTACTAAAGTGTTGTCAGGAATAACAAGTTAATTTTTAGGTCAAAAGAGCTCAACTGAATTTAGCCGAGAAGTTTTCCAAATTCATTTTGAATTCCGAACAAGTCAGATTTTAGTGAATTATCTCTATCCGGGATATTCACTGAATTGCTGGGAATTCAAAGCGAATTCAAAAAGAATTAAAAATTTGGGCCAAAAATTGATGAATAAGAATAATTCTCAAAGCCAGTTCAGTTGGGTTATTTTGGAACGTAAATTCCCGGCAACGCTCGATTTAGTGAATAATCCTCTGTGAGTAAGTGCATGTGGAACCTCCTATCTCCTGACTGAGTTTGAACTTTAAAATGGTCTAACTGTATGTACAGCGAAACAGTACTGTCAGTGTATATTTTTCCTCCAAAGCCTTGATCATCCTAACCAGACAAAACCACAGAAATGTTCCTATTTTCATATTATATTGCAGTGCAGGAGAGACAGAGATTCCGTGTTCTCTCCTTCAAACTCCTCAGTTTGACTTTCCATCTGGGTCAAGGAGCGAGAAACACACAGCACAGGGAGTCTGGATTCAGAGTTAATGGGCCGTGGGACACAGACATAGTATATGCAATTCTCTAGCTATGTGGCTGCAAATGTATTAAATAATCAAGTAATAAGTGACAGTGTCCTTAGGGTCCTTTAATGAGAGGGAGAGATTAATAAAAACCAGACCCTTTCCTTAAAGGATTGGTTCGTGTTCAGTGTACGATGCCCAATTCTTCCTTTTTTGTGAACATGCTTGCTTCCAGAGTTGTTATAATCTTTTTTTTTTAACACAAACCATTCATTGTATATAAATGAAAATGGCATATTCTGTACAGTAATATCTTGCATTTTGACGCTCGCTAGTATTTCAACTATATTCAGATGATGCTATTTATTTTTCTTATTTTTTTTGTTGATATTGAGCAGTTGCACACTTAATATAAATATATTGTATGATAGCATAAATGTAATGATTTACTGCTTTTATATGGACTTGCAAATTAAATAAAGCTGTGATTGGCTTTACAGCGGTGGACTGGAACCTAACCCACCATATGAGTGAGTTATGCCTGTAATTAAACAATATAAAGCGAACTACACTTCATTCTACATATTTCATATTCATTGTCAGAGAGATCATGTCTTCTTCCACCCTACAATGTCAACTGTCAGATCAGTATTTCTTTATTCCAATCTCAACTGTCAGAGCGATCTTCTGTGTAATTCCACAGATAGATCAATGGTGTCTTTCCATACTACAATATCAACTGTCAAATAGATCATTGGTGTCTCTCCATACTACAATATCAACTGTCAGATAGATCATCGGTGTCTTTCCATACTACAATATCGACTGTCAGATAGATCATTTATCGACTGTCAGATAGGTCATCTGTGTCTTTCCATAATACAATATCGTCTGTTAGATAGATCATTGGTGTCTTTCCATACTACAATATCGACTGTCAGATAGATCATTGGTGTCTTTCCATACTACAATATCGACTGTCAGATAGATCATTGGTGTCTTTCCATACTACAATATCAACTGTCAGATAGATCAATGGTGTCTTTCCATACTACAATATCAACTGTCAGATAGATCAATGGTGTCTTTCCATACTACAATATCAACTGTTAGATAGATCATCGGTGTCTTTCCATACTACAATATCGACTGTCAGATAGATCAATGGTGTCTTTCCATATTACAATATCAACTGTCAGATATATCATCGGTGTCTTTCCATACTACAATATCGACTGTCAGATAGATCATTGGTGTCTTTCCATACTACAATATCAACTGTCAGATAGATCAATGGTGTCTTTCCATACTACAATATCAACTGTCAGATAGATCAATGGTGTCTTTCCATACTACAATATCAACTGTTAGATAGATCATCGGTGTCTTTCCATACTACAATAACGACTGTCAGATAGATCATTGGTGTCTTTCCATACTACAATATCAACTGTCAGATAGATCATCGGTGTCTTTCCATTCTACAATATCAACTGTCAGATAGATCAATGGTGTCTTTCCATACTACAATATCGACTGTTAGATAGATTAATAGTGTCTTTCCATACTACAATAACGACTGTCAGATAGATCATTGGTGTCTTTCCATACTACAATATCGACTGTCAGATAGATCATTGGTGTCTTTCCATACTACAATATCAACTGTCAGATAGATCATCGGTGTCTTTCCATACTACAATATCGACTGTCAGATAGATCATTGGTGTCTTTCCATACTACAATATCAACTGTCAGATAGATCAATGGTGACTTTCCATACTACAATATCAACTGTCAGATAGATCAATGGTGTCTTTCCATACTACAATATCAACTGTTAGATAGATCATCGGTGTCTTTCCATACTACAATAACGACTGTCAGATAGATCATTGGTGTCTTTCCATACTACAATATCAACTGTCAGATAGATCATCGGTGTCTTTCCATTCTACAATATCAACTGTCAGATAGATCAATGGTGTCTTTCCATACTACAATATCGACTGTTAGATAGATTAATAGTGTCTTTCCATACTACAATAACGACTGTCAGATGGATCATTGGTGTCTTTCCATACTACAATATCGACTGTCAGATAGATCATTGGTGTCTTTCCATACTACAATATCAACTGTCAGATAGATCAATGGTGTCTTTCCATACTACAATATCGACTGTCAGATAGATCATTGGTGTCTTTCCATACTACAATATCGACTGTCAGATAGATCAATGTTGTCTTTCCATTCTACAATATCAACTGTCAGATAGATCATTGGTGTCTTTCCATACTACAATAACGACTGTCAGATAGATCATTGGTGTCTTTCCATACTATAATATCAACTGTCAGATAGATCAATAGTGTCTTTCCATAATACAATATCAACTGTCAGATAGATCAATGGTGTCTCTCCATACTACAATATCGACTGTCAGATAGATCATTGGTGTCTTTCCCTTCTACAATATCAACTGTCAGAAATGCCATGTGATATAAGAAATACACTTGCCTCTTGAGATGGGTAATACTATTTAAAGACCTCACCTGTTTCCAAAGGCTGAAAGTTATATATGAAGAGCTCACCTGTTTCCTTAAATAGTTAATAATTTTAGTGTTCTGAAAGATGACTCCTTCATCCTGCGTCTTTAGAGCAGGCATCTGACCTGCAAGAAGAGTGCTATTAGAAGGGTACTATCGACTTACATGAGGATTCAGTGTTTCCAGGACAAGGTAAGGAGTGTTAGTTGGATGAGTTTACCTGAGGGGCTTCTCCATGGGTTGGAGATCTTGTGAACCTTCAGAGGAGCTCCTGAGAACTTGGCATATGTCTGGAAAATAAAAATAAAAAACACAAATGGAGCGCTGTAGAAGACTGTGTCCCCTTCTGACCTCAATCAGATTAGACCCTCTGTGCAGGACGCTGCAGGCCCAGTTTGCAGCCTTAGCTAACCACGTGTGGCTGTGGGTTTCATGCTGTGGTCAGTGATGTCACTTCTGAAGCATCTTATTAGCAACTAAGCAGAATAAGAGGTGAGCTCGCTGCCAACTCAGCAGCCGCAGTGATTAGCAAACACAGTTCTGGATGGGGTTTCCTGCTGCATGAGAATTGGAAGGAGCTCCTGCAGAGTGTGTGGTCTGAAAAATGTCTTCTCTAATCTATCTGCGAGTTTACATTGTGCACACACAGAGCAACTCTTCCTTTTAACGCGTTAATGTATGTACTTATGCATAGCTCCTGTTTCCAGACAGAATATGGTGTGAATTACTAAACCTGTGAATCACTTCAGAATTTTCTGCCCTGGGGATTCGCAATGTCAGAAACATTTGGTGCGAGGGATATGAAACATAATATATTGAAATTTCATGTATGTTATTCTGCGTAACACAGAAAGGTTCATGCTCAAAGATGTCCTCTGGTGACAAAACAATCAAACACTTCTGATCCATATCGATAGATACCAGACACCCCTCAAACAGACTAGTGGGGGATCAGATTTCACTAAGTGTTTTTCTGCTCAAATGCTCAGTGAAGGTCTACACGGCAATTAAAAAATACAATCTGATCAAAGAGACGTCTGTACCACCGTGCAGCCAGACTGGTACATGGAGTGCCACCACTGGCAGACCGAGCTAGTGTGTGTGTGCTACCAATATGTTCATTTAAACAATCCCACTCAAGGATTTTGTTCATAAATCTTTTACAAACCAGGTAATATTGTTGCCAGAATACAGGTGATGTCTGCCTACTATGAGGAATTTATACCTATTCAGAGCAAGCACAGATTCACACACGCTGTGCCAGTGCGCACAAACATTCAGCCAAGGGTCGACAGCCAATGAACCAGAGTTCTCACACACAAAGTGCCAGAGCTTACATACGTTCCAATACCAGGGATTGCATACACTCACACTCAACACAGTCTATTTACAGTCAGACCTCGCACACCATGCCACGGATCACATGCACTGTGCCAAAGATGGCCTCACTCGATGCAGATCTATCTTCAGTAACCAGGGTTCATGCACACAATGCCAAAACGTAACTTGAATGAAGCAGGGCTCACAACCTTACTGCCATTTCCTCCAAAAGGCAAAAGTCCACACGCAGAGTGCCAGGGTTTACCTCCAATAAGCTAGTGATTACACTGCTGGGAATTACAGCAAGTGAACCAGATTTGTAACAACATATCATGTTTTAACTCCAAAAAATAAAAACAGAAGCATGTTAGGGATCACAATCACCCACCACGCCAAGAGTCCCCTCCACTGAACCAGGGCTTACATTCCGGAACAAAATGTCAGCTAGCTTTAACACTAGCACAACAGGAACCTAGCTTGCTACAAACCATATCCACTGTGCCAGAGGTCGCTTGCAGCATTCCAGAGTGCATGAGTGCCACACTTGCACTCACAACAGCTTTGTCAGTCTTCACAGACAGTACTACCCGTGGTTCCGCACACTTTGCCAGGAGTCACAAGTAGTGTCAGGATTCATATTATTATTATTATGTTATTATTTATATAGCGCCAACAAATTCCGCAGCGCTTTACAGTGGATGGACGAACAGACATGTAGTTGTAACCAGACAAATTGGACAGAGAGGTCGAGGGCCCTGCTCAATGAGCTTACATGCTAGAGGGAGTAAGGTAATGTGACACAAAAGGTAAGGATAGTATTAGACTAATAACAGTTGCAAGAGAGGAATCAGTCAGGAGCTATTAACAGTTTAATTGATACGCTTTTATGAAGAAGTGGGTTTTTAATTATTTTTTTGAAGGAGTGGAGACTGCGTGAGCATCTAATGGAGGAGGGAAGTGAGTTCCACATGAACGGTGCAGCCCTGGAGAAGTCTTGAAGGCGAGCATCAGAGGTGGGAGTACGGACAGAAGATAGACGTAAGTCTTCAGCAGAGCGTAAGGTTAAAGACAGGAAAAACTTCTGTATTAGTGAGGATAGATAGGTGGGAGCAGAATTATGTAGATATTTGAAAGCAAGAACCAGAATTTTAAATTGAGCCCTATATCTTACAGGAAGCTAATGTAGGGACTGACAGAAGGATGAGGTGCGGGCGGACAGGACGATGAGCCTCGCCGCCGCATTCATTATGGACTGTAACAGCGCAAGCTGGGAGCACGTAAGACCACTGAGAAGCAGATTACAGTAGTCAAGGTGAGAAAGGACAATGGAACGGACCAGCACCTTAGTCGCATCTGGCGTTAAGTAGGGTCGCAAGCGTGCAATGTTTTTGAGATGGAAGTGGCAGGATTTGGTGATAGACTGAACATGAGGCATGAAGGAGAATTCGGAGTCAAAGAGAACACCTAGGCAGCGAGCCTGCGTGGTGGAGCTGATGGCAGCACCGTTGACTTGGAGGGAGGCAGACAGAGGAGTAGCAACACTTGAGGGAGGAAATACTAGAATTTCAGTTTTGGTCAAGTTGAGTTTAAGGAAGTGGGCAGCCATCCAGTTAGAAATAGCAGAGAGGCAGTCAGAGACACTCGTCAATAGGGACGGGGAGAGATCAGGGGAGGACAGATACATTTGCGTTTCGTCCGCATAGAAATGACATTGGAAGCCAAAAGAGCTAATGAGTTTACCAAGGGAGGCAGTGTAGATAGAGAACAGTAGGGGACCAAGGACTGAACCACACAGTGCCAGCACTACAGTGTCAGGATCTCAGGCAAGGGGGCGGACAGTGTTACAATAAGCCATGCCAGGGTTTGCAAGCACCATCTCAAGATTCACCGTGTACTATACCAGACCTCACAAAAATTAGTTAAGCCTGGCTTGGCATCACAATATCAGAACTCACATATTATGCTGGCACTCACTGTGCCCACTTCTGGCACCGGTCATGCTGGCACACACTGTAAAATGTGCCAGGCCCCTCGCTGCAACCAGTTAGCTCAGTGTGACAGAAATGTAGCTGGATGCACATAAAGAGGGAATCAGAGATAAAGTGCTGACAGAGAAGCATTTATCATGAAATAATGTTATTGCTGATTGTTCTACTTTTGGCACTTGTTATTTCCAAAATTAAAGGGACACTATAGTCAACAAAACAACTTTAGCTTAATGGAGCAGTTTTGGTGTATATATCTTAGCCCTGCTGTCTCACTGCTCAATTCTCATTTAGTTATATCACTTCATTTATACAGCTCTAGTCACACCTCCCTGCATGTAGCTTGCAGAGCCTTCCTAAGCACTTCCTGTAATGAGGGATCTAACGTTTACACTTCCTTTATTGCACAGTCTGTTTAATTTAGAATTTCTTATCTCTGCTCGGTTAAAGGGACACTATAGTCACCCAGACCACATTGTCTCATTGCAGTGGTCTGGGTGAAGTGGCCCTGTTCCCTTTAACACTGCAATGTAAAACACTGCAGTTTTTAGAGAATATGCAGTGTTTATATTAAAGGGTTAAGACACCCTCTAGTGGTTAACTTCCAAACAGGCACTTCCTGGATTCTAACTGAGTTTAAAGTCATCACAATTTTCATGAGGAAACCCAACATCTTCAAACTCTCCATAGGAAAGCATTGCTTCAGTGCTTCCCTATGGGAAAGCTCTAATGCATGTGCCGTGCTTGCCACGAATGTGTATTAGGTTCCCCTATGTGAGTGACACAGCTGGAGGAGGAAACCAAAACATGTAAAGGTAAAATGGGTTCTTAAACCTTTATACACGAAGTTGGGGCTGCTGACCTAAAGAAATATGCAGAGTTATGAATAATGCTATAGTGTTTCTTTAACAGTCTTCTATACCCTGCAGGAGACTCCTGTGTGTGATTCAAGGTCAATTCACAGAGCAGGAGATAAAAACTTCTAAAGCGACTTATCATCTGATTGGAAATGTAAATATTTTTTTCATGAAGACTGTCTGAGTAACAGCCAGGGGAGGTGTGGCTAGGGCTGCATAAACAGAAACAAAAGTGGTCTAACTCCTAAATGGCAGATAATTGAGCAGTAAGACTGCAGGGGCATGATATGCATGATAAAACAGCTTCATTTGGATTAAATTGTTTTGATGCTTTTAGTGTCCTATACCAAGCATGACTCTCCCATGCATCTTTAAACTCCTGTACAGTATAGTTTACCACCTCTACTGCAAGGTAATTCCATGGAACTACCCATTTTAATGAGTAGAGTTCAATTCATATCCCAGGTATGACCAAAGCTAGTATTTTAACGAGAAATTCATGTCTCTAATGCAGTGTTCCCCAACCCAGTGCTTATGGACCACTAACAGTCCAGGATTTATGTATTTCCCTGTTTTATTCCAATGGTGGTACCGATAAAAACCTGGACTGTTGGTGGTCCATGAGTACTGGGTTGGGGAACACTGCTCTAAAGCACTTCCGCATGAAGGGACATTATAGTCACCAAAACAACTTTAGCTTAACAATGCAGTTTTGGTGTATAGATCTTTCCCCATGTCTCACTGCTCAATTCTCTGCCATTTAGGAGATGGTCACTTTGTTTATGCAGCCCTAGTCACACCTCCCAGCATGTAACACGCACAGCCTTCCTAAACACTTCCTTTATTGCAAACTCTGTTTAATTTAGAATGTATTATCTCCTGCACTGTTAATAACTTGCTACACCATGCAGCAGCCTCCTGTGTGTGATTAAAGTTCAATTACAGACCAGGAGCTAAAAACACTTGTAAAGTAAGTTAACATCTGATTGAAAATGAAACTTTTTTTTAATGCAGGCTCTGTCAGTCACAGCCATGTGAGGTGTGGCTAGGGCTGCCTAAACAGAAACAAAATATAGTTTAAAAAAGCAGTGTGGGGTATACATTTCTGTTTTGGGATGTAATGTTTCATTTACTACTCTATTCTTTATAGAAATCTCATTAAATAATAATTCAAGAGATTATATCGGATCCCTCCCTCCTCATGTAATAACATCGTGGAGGCATGACGGTCCAATCGAATGCTGCTCATAGATAAGTAATAGGGAAACAGACACATCTGCCATTAAAACAACTGCGTGCAATGATTCTCTATGACAGACAGTGACGGCACATGAGTGCGTGACATCACGGGGCATACCTAGGTATGAGAACCAGAGAGTAACAGTCCTGGCTCTTCTACCCAGAGAGCTTGGATGCGTGGATCAATTAGATGAAGTTGTTGTGTTCCTTTAAAGAAGCACTCTTATCAACTAAAGATCTGTATAATGGTTATGTTACCTAGAGTCTATGAGTTTTTATCGCAGAACCCCATGTATTCTCTAACCCTCCTTTTGCGGATACAGTAAATCCCCCTGACTGTAAAACAACTACCACTTCTGCTGGATGGCAAATCCATTTATCCACCACTCTTTCTGTACAATGTAGATCTATTCCACGCATGTTTATAATATTTATGCGATTATTGTCCACTACTTATGTTGAAAGAGGATTCCCTTCATCCACCAATATGACAATGCATTATAGCTCTATGCAGATTCAATGCATGTTTATATCCATTATTTTTATTAATATGATGTGTGTTTATATGATTACATGGCAGGTGTTCTCTCGTTACCTTTTCCATGATTAGCCAGGCATGATACACAGTATTATTGAGGATGCATACCCCATGTTACATGATGTGAACTGTCTCTGTATACAATTTCAGATCAGATTTTAAGTAACAGATTCTGTTTTGGTTATTTTCATTTAGCACAGTGTTGAGGGTTTGTTTCTGGTAGGGGTGTGTGTTATAACTTTTCTCTTTTACAGATTGGTTTCAATGATCTGTGCATTCTGTGTATTGTGTTGGCTCTTCTATTTACTCTACTCAAGTCTATGCTCAGCACGCACTATATCGCTCATTCACATCAGTACTCATATTCATTCATAACACATTTCAATGCCTGCCAGTTACATCTCTCCACACATTACTTGTCATTAACACTACATGTCATTCATACATTGACAAGGTCTCTAGCAAGCCTTTCTTTCTCACTACATGCCTGTTCTCGCACTACCGCACACATTGGAATACTATCAGGACTCAATCTATCATACTTCCAAAGTCAGACTAGAATTCCAAAGAGAGATCCAGACATACGGTTTTTAGAACAAACAGCTTCAGAGCAACAGAGTCACAGGATAAAGTTTCAACTCCATCATGTTGTCTTTTTCAAGTCACTTGATAAAGATCCCATGATGGAGACAAACTATTGTTCTGTGAATTGGTTCCATTGAAGCTGTTTGTACTGAGATTTGGAATCCGGATTTCCTTTTGGAATTACTGACAATTTGGGAGTGTGTAGCTCCCTCCCGTGGATCACCAAGCATGGTGTAATATTTATGTGCGCAGTTCCCCTTTGGTTTTGTGACTCCTACATTCAAATTATTACATGTATATGTTCCACATACTGAGCACTCGTACCTTCATGTTTATCCTCATTTGCAGTCACATCAATGCTCTTAATGCTACTGGACCCTCGATTGTCTACAAATACCCAACCTCCTACTCACATTTATTCTCCCATTACTGGACATTCACAAGTCTACACGCACGCTAACAGACATTCACACTGTCAGCAAAAAGAAAAATGGAGCTGCACATATTATTAAAAAGTTTATTATTGACGGTACGAAACTTAAATAAAACAGATGTCAAAAAATACAGTCGGTGGTCAATACGTGGAAACTGTCCCAACAGACCACATGTTCCTGCTTTAAACTCCTGCCATGGGAAGCAGCTCACCTGTGATATAACACTTGAGATCTAGTGTGCAGCTCCATTTCTTTCTTTCCTGATACAGATAAATGTTTTGGGGGCAGAGTACTGCTAGCTATAATCCAATGCATCATATGCAAATGTAAATACTCTTGTTATGGGTTAGGGTATTTTACTCTTTATTTAAGATAACACTCAACTATCTGCCACCACTCATATGTCTGCACTCACACACTCTCTCACTTATATCTCACTCACACTCCCTGTCAGTCATTCCATCTCACTCACATGTCTGCACTCACACTCCCTGTCACTTATATCTCACTCACATGTCTGCACTCACACTCACTGTCCTCATGCTGTCTCACACACTCTGTCCTCATGCTGTCTCACACACTCTGTCCTCATGCTGTCTCACACACTCTGTCCTCATGCTGTCTCACACACTCTGTCCTCATGCTGTCTCACACACTCTGTCCTCATGCTGTCTCACACTCTCTATCCTCATGCTGTCTCGCACTCCCTGTCCTCATGCTGTCTCGCACTCTCTGTCCTCATGCTGTCTCGCACTCCCTGTCCTCATGCTGTCTCACACTCCCTGTCCTCATGCTGGCTGTCTCGCACTCTCTGTCCTCATGCTGTCTGCAAGCCTCCTGTCCTCATGCTGTCTCGCTCTCCCTGTCCTCATGCTGTCTCGCACATGTCCTCATGCTGTCTCGCCTCCTGTCCTCCTGCTGTCTCGCACTCCCTGTCCTCATGCTGTCTCGCACTCCCTGTCCTCATGCTGTCTCGCACTCCCTGTCCTCATGCTGTCTCGCCACTCCCTGTCCTCATGCTGTCTCGCACTCCCTGTTCTCATGCTGTCTCGCACTCCCTGTCCTCATGCTGTCTCGCCTCCTGTCCTCATGCTGGCTGTCTCGCACTCCCTGTCCTCATGCTGGCTGTCTCACACTCCCTGTCCTCATGCTGGCTGTCTCACACACTCTGTCCTCATGCTGTCTCACACTCCCTGTCCTCATGCTGTCTCACACACTCTGTCCTCATGCTGTCTCACACTCCCTGTCCTCATGCTGTCTCACACTCCCTGTCCTCATGCTGTCTCACACTCTCTGTCCTCATGCTGGCTGTCTTACCCACTCTGTCCTCATGCTGTCTCACCCACTCTGTCCTCATGCTGTCTCACACACTCTGTCCTCATGCTGTCTCACACTCCCTGTCCTCATGCTGTCTCACACACTCTGTCCTCATGCTGGCTGTCTCACACACTCTGTCCTCATGCTGTCTCGCACTCCCTCTCCTCATGCTGTCTCGCACTCCCTGTCCTCATGCTGTCTCGCACTCCCTGTCCTCATGCTGTCTCGCACTCCCTGTCCTCATGCTGTCTCGCACTCCCTGTCCTCATGCTGTCTCGCACTCCCTGTCCTCATGCTGTCTCGCACTCCCTGTCCTCATGCTGTCTCGCACTCCCTGTCCTCATGCTGTCTCGCACACTCTGTCCTCATGCTGTCTCCCACACTCTGTCCTCATGCTGGCTGTCTCACACACTCTGTCCTCATGCTGGCTGTCTCACACACTCTGTCCTCATGCTGGCTGTCTCACACACTCTGTCCTCATGCTGGCTGTCTCACACTCCCTGTCCTCATGCTGTCTCACACTCCCTGTCCTCATGCTGTCTCACACTCTCTGTCCTCATGCTGTCTCACACTCTCTGTCCTCATGCTGTCTCACACTGACAGTGGGGTCATTGAGATCAATACTTCCTTCCAGCTGGGGTTACAGCTATACATCATGTTTTGGCCCCTGTGTTTCCCCTGGCACAGAGCCCATTATCCCCGGGGTCTCCTACCAGCACGGTCAGACAATCCACGTCCACTGTGGGAAGCCCCCAGTCTCCCTTCCAGCAGTACAGCTCCATGGGCGCCGCCATGTTTCCCTGATGGTGACCCGGAAGCACTACTCCCCCCCCCCCTGCAGGTCACAGTGTGTCCCATGCAGCATGTGTGAGCTAAACCTGCCCCACTGACAGCAATGACACAATGCTCTGTCTATACACCTCACACTGACAACTGTTATTATATTATATGAGTAAAATGTTCTAACATCACCCCATGCTCATATTATAATGTGATTATTGCCCTGTGTTATAATACCACTGCAATATCTATATTCATTATACAAACATGAAATAAATATTGCCCTGTTTAGTTATAATACCAGTGCAATGGTTCTAAATGTTATATACTGATACTATAAATATTGCCTTGTGTAATTGGAGTATCAGTGCAATGTTCTAAATCTAACATTACCTCATACCCACAGCGCTACGGAATTTGCTGGAACTATATAAATAATAAAATAATAATAATACTGATTATTTTTAATATAAATAGTGCCCTGTCTAGTTATAATACCAGTGCAATGTTCTAAAATATTATCCCATAACAACGTGGTTATAGTTATAGGAAAATTGCTCGGTGTAATAATGCAAATGTGAATGTAAAATATGGATATCTCCAGTATAATGATATTAACAATAATAAAAATACTTACCGGCACTAATGTGGTTGTCATTAACCCCTTAAGGATGGAGCCAAATGTACACGTTGTGAACAAAACAAAATGTAAACAAATCCTGGCATTTGCGCTACATGTCTGTCCAACCGTAATACACCTCTTTCATAGTAAATGCACCCACTCTTATTATATATCATTTTATTCAGGGGAAACAGGGCTTTCATTTAATATCAAATATTTAGCTATGAAACATAATTTAATATGAAAAAAATGGGAGAAAATAAGATTTTTTTTAAAAAAAGTTTAGTTCTACATGACATTTTAACTGTCAATGTCATAATACTGTTTGCTTTTACTGCAATAAAATACACATATTTGTATTCAGCAAAGTCTCACGTGTAAGACAGTACCCCCTATGTACAGGTTTTATGGCGTTTTGGGAAGTTACAGGGTCAAATATAGCACGTTACATTAGAAATTGAAATTCGCCAGATTGGTTACGTTGCCTTTGGGACTTTATAGTAGCCAGGAATGAAATTTACACCCATAATGGCATACCATTTGCAATAGTAGACAACCCAAGGTATTGCAAATGGGGTATGTCCAGTCTTTTTTAGTAGCCATTTCATCACAAACACTGGCCAAAGTTAGCGTTAGTATTTGTTTGTGTGTGAAAAATGCAAAAAACGCCAATTTTGGCCAGTGTTTGTGACTAAGTGGCTACTAAAAAAGACTGGACATACCCCATTTGCAATACCTTGGGTTGTCTACTATTGAAAATGGTATGCCATCATAGGGGTAATTTTCATTCTTGGGCTACCATAGGGTCTCAAAGGCAACGTAACCAATCTAGCGAATTTAATGTGAAAAAAATGAAACACAAGCCTTATATTTGACGCTGTAACTTGAAAACACCATAAAACCTGTACATGAGGGGTACTGTTGTACTCGGGAGACTTCGCTGAACACAAATATTTGTGTTTCAAAACAGTAAAAAGTATCGCAGCAATAATATCGTCCGTGTAAGTGCTGTTTGTGCGTGAAAAATGTAAAAAACGTAATTTTACTGGCGATATCATCGTTGTAATACATTTTACTGTTTTGAAACACTAATATTTGTGTTTAGCGAAGTCTCCCGAGTGGAACAGTACCCCCCATGTACAGGTTTTATGGTGTCTTGGAAAGTTATAAGGTTAAATATAGTGCTAGCAAATTAAATTCCCTTTACTTTCGGCATTGGTTGTCAGGCAGGTCCTGCTAATTGTAATTAATTAAGATACCTAATTATGTAAAAATATTACATAAATATATATGTAGAATTAATATATGTATATATATACGTAGGTGTATATATATGTATATATATAATTTTAAAAAAAATATTTTTATTTATACATAGGTATATATATATAGTGATATATACATATATATTTATGTATATAGATATATATATTATTTCGTTCTACGTGTATTTTGATATAAATATATGTAGTAATATCACAATACAGTTAGAACGAAATAACACACATTATATATTTTTTAATTATTTATTTTTAATTATTTTTAAATTTTATTTTTTAACGTATTTACATTTTTTTTATATTATATATAAATATATATATAACAATAATTATATATATATTTAATCAGTATCCGTCTACGTGTAATTTGATATTAATATATATATATATATATATTAATAGTAAAATACACCTAGACAGTGTATGTGTGTGTATGTATATGTGTATAGATATACTTAAATCATATATATATGATCTAAGTATAATTTTTTTTACACTTATTAACTTTTATTTTATTTAAATTCAGCCAGCTGGGGGACTACCTGTCATTACAGGCAGTCCCCCTGCTGGCAATACAGCAGGCAGCTAACCCGGCCATGTGATTGTGAGGTCCTCGCAAGGACCTCACTCTCACATGGCCGGGGGGGGCTGCAGGAGGGAAGATCCCTGGGAGTCCCCCCAACCGCGATCGCCGGAGGGCGTACTGTTACGCCTGGTGGCGTTTAGAGCCGCTTAAAATAGGACGTAATAGTACGCCCTCCGATCTTAAGGGGTTAAACTTGTCCCATAGTAATATTTTTATATGACATAACTATTGACCTGTGGAATAATTTTGCGTGGTAATTATCTAGAAAGCAAACAGATTATTTTAAGGGAACATTCCCAACCCCTAGAGCACGTCATGTTGCTGAAGTCTTTTTAATGGTAACATTCCAAGTACCATAACCACTACAAAATGCTGTGACGTTTATGATGAAAAGATTGCCCTGGCACCCCTCACCCCAATTTTAAGTACTCAAACTGGTTTTGAACAGTTTGAGTTCTAAACTGGTCTCTGCCGGTCACCACTTGTGCACTACTTCCATCAGAGAGCCAGACACCATGTGTCTGAGCTAAACCTAATGGTGCAGGTGAGAGCGATCAGCTCTTGTTCTCAACCAACGAGCTGGCTTAGTTCAGGGTCTTACTGTTCTCCATCGGAAGTACTGGACGTCAGAAAAAAGCATACCATTCTAAAATGGTTTAAATGCCTTACAATTGAGGAAGCCACGGCACTCCTGTCACCATAAACACTTCAGTAGTGATTATGGTGCTTGGATTTAAGATATCATAACCTCTTTCTTACTTTATAAAAAAGTGATTAAAGTGCAGATTTCAAGAGAAGTTTGTATTTTTATAAAGCTCCTATTGACGGCTTTTTGCTCTAGCTCTGTGAAAAGCATTGCTGACGCAGGGTGACCATTATTGCACATGCACCCTTCTCTATGAGAAGCATTGGATTGTGGGAAGATCATCACTACTGACGATCTCTCGAAAGGGAAGTGGGACTCAGTTAACTTTACACTGCTCCAGTGTTATAAATAAATGCATTCATTTATAACATTGTAGTATTTAATATTATTATTTAATATTGGATTATGGATTTCATGAGCCTGGAGCTGGAGTTTATAATGGGCCTAATTATGACATTTTTACATAGTTACATATAGTTACATAGTTACATAGCTGAAAAGAGACATGCGTCCATCAAGTTCAGCCTTCCTCACATTTGTTTTTTGCTGTTGATCCAAAAGAAGGCAAAAAAACCCCCACAATTTTGCAACAAGCTAGGAAAAAATATCTTCTTGACCCCAGAATGGCAGTCAGATTTATCCTTGGATCAAGCAGTTATTACCCCACATTGAAAGATTATATCCTTGAATATTCTGTTTTTGCAAGTATGCATCTAGTAGCGGTTTGAACATCTGTATGGACTCTGATAAAACCACTTCTTCAGGCAGAGAATTCCACATCCTGATTGTTCTTACGGTAAAAAAACCTTTCCTTTGCCTTAGATGAAATCTTCTTTCTTGCAGTCTAAACGCATGGCCTCGTGTCCTATGTAAAGTCCGGTTTGTGAATAGATTTCCACACAATGGTTTGTATTGGCCCCGAATATATTTGTATAATGTTATCATATTCCCTCTCAGGCGACGTTTTTCTAAACTAAATAGGTTTAAATTTGTTAACCTTTCTTCATTGCTGATATGTTCCATTCCTTTTATTAATTTTGTAGCCCGCCTCTGCACTTTTTCTAGTGCTATAATATCCTTCTTTAGAACAGGTGCCCAAAATTGCACATCATATTCAATATGTGGTCTTACCAGTGATTTATAAAGAGGCAAAATGATATTCTCGTCCCGAGAATGAATGCCCTTTTCATGCATGACAATACCTTACTGGCCTTGGCCACTGCTGATTGACATTGCACATTGTTGCATAGTTTGTTGTCTATAACAATTCCCAAGTCCTTCTCGTGTGTTGTTATCCCTAATTCGCTTCCAATAAGAATATAAGTTGTTTGTGCATTTTTTATACCAAAGTGCATACATTTGCATTTTTCTACATTAAATTTCATCTGCCATTTGAGTGCCCAGTCCCCCAGTCTATCTAAATCCCTCTGCAGCAAAATAATATCTTGCTCACATTGTATTATTTTACAAAGTTTTGTGTCATCTGCAAACACTGAAACATGACTTTCAATGCTGTCTTCAAGATCATTTATTCCAGACTTATATAAAACTAATTCCATCTGCATTTCTAAACTAGAAATGTCAACCAAATAACGTCTATCTTCACAAGTAGGCTGAGCTACCGACAAATTCAGTGAAGTAGCATCCACCTAGGGCCCTGGACTTGGCCTGGCCACTTCACCCTCACTTAATAAAGTGCATCTTGCGAATGGGTCCTGGTACATGTTACAAGGGGGGAAGTTTCCCCATTGAGTTCCCCTTGCAAATTCACCAACAGGATGCACTTCACCAGCACTTCCAATGGACGCATTACACTTGCAGTGCTCCCTCATGTTATGGCGCTCCTAACCCTGCTCTCTGTCTAATCATTGAGTGCCAGACCAGAACAAGGGATTACTCACTGGCCCCACCAAGGAATTTAACTCTGCTGGTCCTCAAGGGAATCAGAACCTTGTGACTAGGATCATCTCCCATTGGACCACCAGGAATACAGAACCACCAATGGACCAGCAGATCATAGTCCTATACCTGCTGGAGTGGAGTACAACACATCACAACAAATTATACTCAGCCAACACACCCACTACCCAGCACATGCATTCCACACAGCAAGCACAAACCGCATACATACTGAGCTGCCCGCACAGACATAACACACAGCCAGTACACTAATACACATCATACACAGCCACAACTATGGGGTGGCAGAGGATGAGACAATAATTGTAGTAGCAGCTAGGCTGTGTCACAGCCAAGACACAAATTGCAAATACAAAGGAGGAACCATTTCTTTCTGGACCCCACTTCCACTTATTAGGTTAAATACCAGAAAAGACCAGATCTTACAATGATTGACAGGAACCCAAGATGGCAGCACTCTGTTCCAGCATAGAATAATGTCAATTTATAAAACTGAAATGTATTTTTCAGATCTCTCGAAACTCTCTTGGGAACTGAAAGCTTCCCTTTAAGCAAGAGTTTAATATACACTGAACAGCCATAACACTAAAACCACTGACAGGTAAAGTGAATAGCATTGATGATATCACAGTGCCACCTGTCAGGGGTTGGGATATATTAGGCAGAAAGTAAACAGTCATTTCTTAGATTTCATGTGTTGGAGGCAGGAAAAATGGGCAAGTGAAAAGATCTGAGAGTGAGTCTGACAAGGGCCAGATAGTGATGACAAGATGACTGGGTCATAGCATCTCCAAAACGGCATGTCTTGTAAGCAGGGCCAGATTAAGAGCCCAGTGGGCCTAATTACAAAATCTTATTGACCAAAAACACTAAAACAGTCCTACCTCCCAAGCGTCATGTATCTGATGGAGATGGTGCTGGAGGGAAACTCATAGGATGCAGCTATGAGAAAACACATACCCTATGCTAATCTCACACTTTCATCTTTCAAGTAAACCCATACCCCCTAACAGCAGTGTCCAGTAAAGCAGGAAGTCTATGGATGGAGTAAAAGGGTGGGCCACTGACACAAATCACATAACCAGAACTGCCGAAAGGGGCAAACATACACAAAAAGGGGGCATATCTGTGTCCCCATGTCTCAAAGTCCCTTAGTGTCTGTGTCCCCGTGTCACTAGGGGACATTGAGAGACATTGGGACACTGAGATACTAGGGAACACTGGGAGGCCTGGGGACACAGACTCTTGGGGACACTGGGAGACATGGGGACATGAGGGGACACTGGAAGACATTGGGCACTGAGACACTGTAATACATAGGGGACACTGGAGACTTGAGTAAGACCTGGGTACAGGTCAAAATGTTGCGGTGTTCAATAAACCTGGTGCATGTTTGAGAATTTTTCTTTTATACTAAGGGACACTGAGACACTAGGAGACATGGGACACTGGGAGACATTGGGACACTGGGAGACTAGGAAACACAGAGACACTAGGGACAGTGGCACACTACGAACACTGAGAGACATCAGGGACACTGGGAGACATGGGGATACTAAGATACTAGGGACACTGGCTGGGCGACATGGGGACACTGGGAGTGCCCCATATCTCCAAAGTCTCAAAGTCGCCCAGTGTCCCCATGTCTTCCAGTGTCCCCCAGTGTCTCCATGTCTCTCAGTGTCCCCTAGTGTCTCAGTGTCCCCATGTCGCCCAGTGTCCCATAGTGTTTGTATCCCCATGTCTCCCAGTGTCCATTAGAGTCTGTGTCCCCTTGTCTCCCAGTGTCCCGATGTCACTAGGACACTAGGGGACACTTAGAGACATTGGGACACTGTAAGACTTGGGGACACTGAGACACTGGGAGAGACATGGGGACACTGAGAGACTAGGGCACTCTGGAAGACTAGGGACACAGACACTAGGGACACTGAGAGACATGAGGACACTGAGACACACCAGGGGCACTGGGAGACACTAGGGACACTGGCTAGGAGACATGGGGACACTGAGAGACTAGGGGCTACTGGGAGACATGGGGCTACTTTGTCACTAGTGTCTCAGGGTCCCCATGTTCCCCAGTGTCCCTTTGTCTCCCAGTGTCCCAATGTCTCAGCGTCCCCAAGTCTCTCACCGTCCCCAGGCTCGAAACTGCTGTCTGGACTCTCTGTGCAGAGCTGCTCCTCGCGGATCAGTGAGTAGAGAGAGGTAGGGAGGGAGATGCTGTAAGTTCTTATCCCTGCCTCTCTCCACACAAACAGCGACCCCTACTGGCCGGCGCTGGTATTGCAGAGTAATCTCTGTTTATACTGAGACAGACATTTGTATTGCCGGTATTACTGCAATACCGGCACCGGCTAAGCAACCTCAAATACCTGAAAAATACTTCTGCGAAATACCTGGCAACCATAAGAAATACATGAGAAATACCTGGCAACCCTAAGATTAGTGTGTAAAAAAAAAAAAAAATGAAACGAATGGGCCTATTCCATGGGCCTGGGCCTGGAGCTGCAGCTCCACCAGCCCCTATGTTAATCTGGCCCGATGCATGTATCATTTACCCGGGGAAGAGATGACTGTAGGATGCATTATGGGAAGAAGACAGGTCAGCGCAGGAGGTTTGCTCCAGGGAAACCTTGGGTCCTGGCATTCATATGGATGTTACTTTGATTTGTACCACCTACGTAGAGATTGTTGCAGACCACAAGAGTACACCCCTTCATGGCAATGGTGTTTACTGATGGCAGTGGCCTCTTTCAGCAGGATAATGTACCCTGCCACACTGCAAAAATTGTTCAGGAATGTTGCACAGGCCTGTTCTGGGATGCCTAATGTCAATACCGTATATATTTTACGCCTGTCGTCAACATGCACAGCACACTGGTAACAAACGTAAAAATTGTCTCCCTTGCAGGCAGAGCGCAATAGGGCAATATACATTAAAATAAATATTGTTTTATAAGGGTTGGAGAAACCCTTTAAAGCACCATAACCACTATAGCTTGCTCCCTGGTGCCTCCCCAGCAGTCTAAGGTTTAAAACCCAAGGGCACAGTACAGAATATTTGATAGAGTCCTAACCTCAACATCTGAGGAAAGAGATTTAGGAGTATTTATTTCTGATGACTTAAAAGGTAGGCAGATAGTGTAATAGAGCAGCAGGAAATGCTAGCAGAATGTTTGGTTGTATAGGGAGAGTATTAGCAGTAGAAAGTAGAAAGTGAGACCTCACTTGGAGTATTGTACGCAGTACTGGAGACATCTCCAGAAGGATATTGATACTTTAGAGAGAGTTCCGAGAAGGGCTACTAAACTGGTTCATGGATTGCAGGATAAAACTTACCAGGAAAGGTTAAAGGATCTTAACATGTATAGCTTGGAGGAAAGACAAGATGGGGGGATATGATAGAAACTTTTAAATACATAAAGGGAATCAACACAGTAAAGGAGGAGACTATATTTAAAATAAGAAAAACTACCACAACAAGAGGACATAGTCTTAAATTAGAGGGGCAAAGGTTTAAACATAAATCCAGAAGTATAACTTTACTGAGAGGGTAGTGGATGCATGGAATAGCCTTCCAGCTGCAGTGGTAGAGGTTAACACAGTAAAGGATTTTAAGCATGCGTGGGATAGACATAAGACTATCCTAACTATAAGATAAGACTAGGGACTAATGAAAGGGTTTAGAAAATTGGGCAGACTAGATGGGCCGAATGGTTCTTATCTTCCGTCACATTCTATGTTTCTATGTCCCTTTTCACACGGTTTTGCTGATGTTTAATATTGGTCTAAAGCTAATGTAACAGAGTTCTCTGTACCCCTGGCCGGCTACCTCCGCCATGTACTGCTTCCTAGCTGGAACAGGGGACAAACTGCAACACGTCTGCCCACAGTCACAGTGGCTTGACTGGGGCCCTGAAACCACTTCTTCCTGGAGCCGAATGGGGAATTCGCTCTAGACACCCCCAGGCACTGGACAACACTCAGTCTTGGGAGCTCTAGTCCTTACAAGGACTTTCCCAGTTGAATCTCCTGCAAGCTGGAACAGCAGACACAGGGGTTAAATCTTCCTTCCCTCCAATAACAGAAGGACACACAGTTTTTGAGTGCAAGCTGGAATGATTTAATGGCAGCCAAAACTGACCTTATATGCATGTCCCCATGCAAGAGGCACTCCCCCTGGACCTGAGAGTAAACCACAGTATAAACAATTACACAATCACTTTGGTTCTCAGATCCAGGACACTCCAACACATAATAGGTTGATCCCTCCTCTGTACCTGGGAGATAATTGAGTCAAGCACTTATACTAAACTCAATTATCTCCAAACACAAAACACACATTTTTATAAAACCCCCAAAATACTTTAAAATTACATAAAACCCCACAAAAGTTACATCCCCTGATAGCCCTGATCTGAGTGACCAACATATCCAAAAATCACCCAGATCAGTTCAGGAATTTCCTGGAAGTCATTTATTTGACCGACCACAGGCCTGGTCCCATGCCCAAAACAGTTCCAGAGAATCAGGACTTGTGGTCGATCTAGTTCAGTAGTTTGAAAATGAACAAACTACCGAACAGAGTCAATAGTCTTACTCTGGAGCTTGTTCCCCTCATCCAGATGAATGATTTCACCGAACAGTGCCCTTCTAAGTTGTATAGAACCAAACACAGGTGATGATGGAAGGCCAGCGGTGTTCAGGAGTTTCTGTGTCCGATTTTAGTTCCATGAAATTCATACCCAAACACAGCTGCCTGCATTCATGCACACAAGATGGCTGCCACCTCGTGGTTGTCCATAGGAATTGCGGCCACCCAGACGAACACTGTGGTGAGAAACGTTCCAAGTTGGTAATAGGTGTTAACAAGCTCCAGGATGGACTCCGGTTCATGTGGTTGTTCGGTAACCAAACCATATAATCTCAATTGCACGAACGAGACTTTTACATTATACAGGAAGTGCAGAATTATTAGGCAAATGAGTATTTTGACCACATCATCCTCTTTATGCATGTTGTCTTACTCCAAGCTGTATAGGCTCGAAAGCCTACTACCAATTAAGCATATTAGGTGATGTGCATCTCTGTAATGAGAAGGGGTGTGGTCTAATGACATCAACACCCTATATCAGGTGTGCATAATTATTAGGCAACTTCCTTTCCTTTGGCAAAATGGGTCAAAAGAAGGACTTGACAGGCTCAGAAAAGTCAAAAATAGTGAGATATCTTGCAGAGGGATGCAGCACTCTTAAAATTGCAAAGCTTCTGAAGTGCCCAAAAGCACAAGGTGTGCAATACTCAGAGACATGGCCAAGGTAAGAAAGGCTGAAAGACGACCACCACTGAACAAGACACACAAGCTGAAACGTCAAGACTGGGCCAAGAAATATCTCAAGACTGATTTTTCTAAGGTTTTATGGACTGATGAAATGAGAGTGATTCTTGATGGGCCAGATGGATGGGCCCGTGGCTGGATTGGTAAAGGGCAGAGAGCTCCAGTCCGACTCAGACGCCAGCAAGGTGGAGGTGGATTACTGGTTTGGGCTGGTATCATCAAAGATGAGCTTGTGGGGCCTTTTCGGGTTGAGGATGGAGTCAAGCTCAACTCCCAGTCCTACTGCCAGTTCCTGGAAGACACCTTCTTCAAGCAGTGGTACAGGAAGAAGTCTGCATCCTTCAAGAAAAACATGATTTTCATGCAGGACAATGCTCCATCACACGCGTCCAAGTACTCCACAGCGTGGCTGGCAAGAAAGGGTATAAAAGAAGAAAATCTAATGACATGGCCTCCTTGTTCACCTGATCTGAACCCCATTGAGAACCTGTGGTCCATCATCAAATGTGAGATTTACAAGGAGGGAAAACAGTACACCTCTGAACAGTGTCTGGGAGGCTGTGGTTGCTGCTGCACGCAATGTTGATGGTGAACAGATCAAAACACTGACAGAATCCATGGATGGCAGGCTTTTGAGTGTCCTTGCAAAGAAAGGTGGATATATTGGTCACTGATTTGTTTTTGTTTTGTTTTTGAATGTCAGAAATGTATATTTGTGAATGTTGAGATGTTATATTGGTTTCACTGGTAATAATAAATAATTGAAATGGGTATATATTTGTTTTTGTTAAGTTGCCTAATAATTATGCACAGTAATAGTCACCTGCACACACAGATATCCCCCTAACATAGCTATAACTAAAAACAAACTAAAAACTACTTCCAAAAATATTCAGGGGAAAGGGGTAAAAACTTTTACACCAGCTAGGAGAGCTCTCCTCCTCCTCTCCGCCTCGATCCATACGCCCGACTGAATGCGCACTTGCGGCAAAGGGCTGCGCAGCGCATTCAGCGGTCTATAGGAAAGCATTTACAATGCTTTCCTATGAACGCTAGCGTGCTCTCACTGTGAAAATCACAGTGAGAAGCACGCATAGCGCCTCTAGTGTGGCAATGAGACAGCCACTAGAGGATTAGGGGAAGGCTTAACCCATTCATAATTATAGCAGTTTCTCTGAAACTGCTATGTTTATGAAAAAATGGGTTAACCCTAGCTGGACCTGGCACCCAGACCACTTCATTAAGCTGAAGTGGTCTGGGTGCCTAGAGTGGTCCTTTAATGAGTTTTTTGGGTTCATTGAGAACATGGTTGTTGTTCAATAATAAAATTAATCCTCAAAAATACAACTTGCCTAATAATTCTGCACTCCCTGTATTTCACAGGGTCCATAATCTGTGGGCAGGAGGCTGGGAAACAGGCTCCTACAGGAACTCGTGGCAAACTCACTGGAAAAGGGGAGTTTGTCACAGCTAACATGCAACGTATTCTCCAAACACAGCTCCTTCCAAGGACAGAACATATAAATACACACAATTATATACTCTGAGAGCATGGTGTTAGCTCTTCGCTCATTGCTTCTGTAGATGCCACTTACCTTCCCTCATCTTCTGACACATTGCCAAGTCTTCCACTGCTTGCTCACCATCCATAGAAGAAAACACTGCCTTACCAGGACACAGCTCCATTCGAGAACTTTGCGGTTATGATGCCATGACGCTGTAGTGGTTATTATGACAGGAATTCCCGGATGTCATTCAATGGTAACAGTGGTGAGGATGGGAAAAAAGAACATCCCCATCTGTTGTACAACTCCCACAATTCTTTGCCAGCTGGGGATCTACAATTTGACCATTCTTGCAGGGTTGTATTTAGCAGGGAGCAGTGTTCGTATGTAAGCATGTTTTTGTATGGAGTATATGTGTCTGTGAATGTACGGGTGTATTTGTGTATAATAGTGTTGTGTGTTTCTACGTACTGTCACCATTTGACAGCAGTGTTTTACTTGTGTGTAGTGTTTGCCTTTGAGTGCAGGTGTGTGTCTGTATGTAGTGTTGATGTTTATACACATACACACACTGACAGACATACAGATTCACAGACATACAGGTGCACACACTGACACACATGCAAGTACATAGACACACACACACATATACACAGATACACATACTGACAGACATCCAGATACACAGACACAAATGCAGATACACAGGAACACCGATACACAGACACACACGACACTCATGCAAATACAAACACTGATATACATAAAGATACATAGGGGCACAAAATGGCACACATGCAGACACACTGATAGATACACTAACACACATACGGACACACAGATAGAGACACTGACACACATGCAAAATGTACACATTTGTAGGCACCCTCCTGTTTCCTACCTTCTTGGTGCAGGAGGGTGACTTCCCTGGGGTCCAGTCTGCTGGCTGAGGCTGCTGGGAAGTCAGACGCTCTTTTAGTCTGCTATCCATTCCTTTCTGCCTTGTCCTCCTGCGTGGATTGGTGTGTGTCGGCTTGGTGACGGCTCTCTCTTCCTCCCAGGACTGCCTGCCGATATGAGATGGGCTGATCACGCTGTGAAAGTGTTATAGCACATGACTGGTTCCCTGAAGACAGATTCCCACCTGGTGGCCATAATAACATGGGCCACGGTGCAACCGCACAGGTGGTAGTTTTACTACCAAACCGTAACCTGTCAAACTGTTCACAACTGTTTGACATTATCTTTGCTTTGTCAGGTGCCTGCAGTCCTTCCAGTATATGCTGACGTGGTAAATCAGAGGTTTATACTTTCACATTATCATACCAGGTCTAGACGACCAATCAATACTTTTCCAACCTGGCATGAGATAGTTATAGTTACAGTATGATAATTTGTAAATGTGAATTTCTGTGTTATCACAGCAACTGAGACTGGAAGGACCATGGGTGCCCGACAAAGGTAAGTGACAAACCTTTCGTAGGTGGTGCAACCGAGTACCGTCAGTGAATTTACAAATTGAGGCCAAAATAACCATTTCAGTTATTTTGGTGTAAAATATGACTTCCATACAACTCACATATGAGTAAATAACCCTGATCGCTTTCCCAAAGAAAACAAACAGTTCTAGAACTGGGTCATCAGTCTTTTCCCGTTTTCCTTCAAGCAGTTAATTTCCAAAGTGTAACAGGGTTTTTGGAAAATGCAGTTTATTAGAATTGACTGCTACTTGAGCTTATTGCCTGTCTAGAAACGACAAAGTGACTGGAAATAAACTAATTAAATAGGCCCGAGGCTCGGTTGTGTTCCTACAAGTCGCTGTGCTGTGACCTCACCTGGAAGGTATGCAAATCTTTCTGGAAAAGGAAAAGAATTTTCTCTCCATGAATACTTCTTAACCGTATGTCAAGAGCCCACCTTGTCTCCTTTTCAATAAACTGCCTGTATGTGAACAAGACCATAGCACTGTTTCACTCCCCCCGCATCATCACCACTAATAAAGGGATAATCATCACTATTCTGTGCAGAATATGTGTGTGCCGTTATTTGCGGAGTCCACACGTGGCTGCCACAGGCTACATGCAGTGTATTGTTCAGTCGGAGCAGCGCCGTGCTGAGCAGAGAAATTTGGCTTTTTTTCTCTGTTTATATCTGATGCTTTGTGTTGCTATAGTGATCAAACACTGTTTTGGGAGCAGTCCAGACTTGTGTGGATAAACTGCTAGGTTCCTATTATAAGTAATCATGGATTTAGAGGAATTATTCCAGACTTTATATCGTAGTTTAAAGGAACACTATAGCGTTAGGAATAAAATATGTATTCCTAACGCTATAGAACCCTAGTCACGTCCCGTTCCATGGTAAATAAATGGTTAATTAACCATTTATTTGCTTACCTTTATCTAGCGCGGGGCTCCCTCAGCGCTGGTGATCTCTCCTCCTTCATTGATGTCAGCTCCCGAGTGGAGCCAAATGTACATGCGCGGCCAGAGGCATGTGCGCATTCAAACCCGCCGGTAGGAAAGCATTACTCAATGCTTTCCTATGGGCATCTTATTTGACACTGGACTCCGTGAGGACATCCAGCGTCAAATAAGTGCGATTTACTCAGTGTAAATCCCGGAAGCGGCCTCTAGTGGCTGTAAGGGAGACAGTCACTAGAGCCTGGATTAACCCTGCAGTGTAAACATAGCAGTTTCACTGATACTGCTATGTTTTCACCTGCAGGGTTAAAACTAGGGGGACCTGGCACCCAGACCACTTCATTGAGCTGAAGTGGTCTGGGTGCCTATAGTGGTCCTTTAACTGTGTAAGGGGCATTCTTATTTGTTGCTTATTATCTGTGATAGGTGTGGGAGTGGAGTACGCAGTTATTGGCAAAAACATGACTGGGAAACTGTATTCAGAGGGCACTTGCTGTGATTGTCTTGCTTTTGCTAAAGCGTTTATTCACTAACAAGTACCCTAGTGAATTATCTACACTTCCAAGTCTAGTGGGCTATTCCAAATTTCAGGACAAAATAGCTGCTTAGAACACAGCTGAGAGTTGGAACATGTTTTCCGGTTGAGCTACTTTGGCCTGAAATGTGAAAATCACTTAAGGCTTATTTACTAAACTCTAAATTCTTGAGAAATGAGAGACAAAATACAACATTTAAGCAAATATTTAGAAAATAATTATGTAGAAAAATCCAACAGATGTATTTGGTGCCGTAGGTGCCCAGGAGTGTCCCAAGTAAATTGTCAAACCCTTCTTAAAGTGTGAAAAATTATGCTGGAAGATCACCAGCTGGCTGTAGTGGTTATGGTGTTTGGAGTGTTCCTTTAATGCTGAATCAGTGTACACTTAACATTTTTCAAAGTTCTGCAGCTTATACCGTGTCATTACGGTAGAGTCTCCAGCGTTTATCCTCATACTTCGATCCTTGACAGGTTAAGCTGTTCAGGTTCACCATTTAATAAAGTTGCAACAGTCTGAACTCACACTCAACTGTTATCGCGCAACTGTACCTCTTCTTCACTGAAATCCAAGCTTCTTCCCAACAATCTGAGACAAAGAGTCCACTTACCCCGGGGCAGATGAACCTGCATTCCTGCTGTGGTTCATTAGCCTCTCATAGAGGCTCTGAATAATGCTTACTTTGCGAGTATCGCCTTCTAAAACAAACTTACCGGCAGCCAGCAAGTAACTTTATTGTGTAAATGTAATGAAAATTCTTTACCTGGAAAGATGCAATTTAATTTACCTTCTTTTCGGCAATGTCCTGAGACACAGAAGATCGTGTTACCCTGCTCAGTTGTTTTTATTTTATCAACCTTGAAAGCATGAAAAACCCTAAAATATAATTGCCGGGCACACTTCAACAGGTGAAAAGGATCTTTAGAACTTGAGTAAGCCCTATTGTTAGGTTAAAACGTTGTTTGGCTAGCTGTGGAGACCTCAATAAATTTGGAGTACTTTTTCACCTACTGACGTGCGCTGGACATTTTTTCCTTTTTGGATTCCATATTGAATGGGTGTGGAATCAGAGCCCATTTTTTCACTTTGAAGGATTGAGTAGATATTTTTTTGTATGTTATGAACGAATTAAATGCGGAGTTAACATATCATTATTAAGTTTAACGCTTGAACTATTTCTACATTTTCTGCATTAACTAACTAATCCATCATATTACCTTTTTTTTTTTTATGTACTCCGAATGCCCGGATTATTGAGCGCTATACAATCTGGATATTTAGCCAAACTTGAACCCACGCTGCTGTTGGCTCATAGCCTGGCTGAAAACTCATGCGTTGTGGCACAGGTGCCCTGCTGGGCAGCATGAATTCCCCATAATATCTGATGCCAGAGGAGTCTCTGGGTATTAGCTCCAGACAGACTGACCCCTCTGTGAACCTCTCGCTATGGCGGATGGTGTACCCTTGCGAGGAATTACCTCTGTCACTCTCTCTTGAGCAATAACAACAATACCCCAGGAATTAATTGAAAACTAGTAGAAGCTAAACGTATCCTCCCCGGTTAAATCATCTGTTATTATCCCGTATTATTATCCCGTAGCCTCACTTGGCACAAGACTGATAATGAGCCGGCTCCAAACCCGCCTGTTTATGGCGTCACTCACGAGACAATGGCTTGCGTCCCACACTTATCCATCTCCTGGCAGGCGTAGGGTTAAACATCCATTTACACAAAGAATGTAAAGTGTAAACACTTAGGAGGGATCCCTGGTTGGAGTCTGTGTCCCAGGCTGTGCTGTTTGTGTGTGCAGGAGGAGAGGCAGGGTGAGGGTGGGAGAGGGTGGGGGAGAGTTACTCACACTTACCCAGACAGAGAGCTGACTCTGTCATTCAAACCTTGCACTGTGCACAAAGAGCTGTGTGCGAGAGATGCCTCTGAGTGACTGACACCTTAGTGTCACTACTGTCCTGTCCTCAGCCCGAGTCTTCCCCCCGTGTCTCCCCTGTGCACCGTCTGGCTCCAGCATGGGAAAGTTGCAGTTTGTGAAATTAATCCTCCTGGTTTATTTGTGTTTCCCGTACTTTGGCAATTCAGCCAGGCAAGAACTGCAAGGTAAGAGGAATCTGTTCTCCCTGGGATTTCCATCAAGCTGTCTGTCTTTAACCATTAAAAATACACGTGTCGCTGGAGAATGGCCATATCCATTGCCCCATTCTCTATCTTCCCCTGTATTATCACACAGAATAGCAGAGGGTTCTAAAAATTAGAAGTACATCCATTGACATCCTTTGGGATGCCTGTACCATGCTCCCTGGATCATTCTGTATCCAAGTGTGTCCTGCGCACGCGTAACCCTTTCTGTCCCAGCAACAGGAGAGAGATGCCCTCTTAATTACTGATGTACTTTTAGGAGGAGGTTTTAAGACCAGGCGTCTCTTTATAGCTCTAAGTAGGTCCATTGTGGGTATCAAAAGGTTTTGAGTAAGGATTCTTGGAGCTGCTTCAGTTAGTTTGTACCGTATACTTTACCATTATATTTCAATGCAACACTGCGGAGCATGTTGGTGCTATATAAAAAATAGTAAATATTAATATTGTTGTAGCTGCAGATGAGGCGAGGGTTTTTAGTTGATCAGACCTGGAGAGATACCAATGCTACAAACTCACATATTTTAGGTGTTTGAAAGTTGTTGTTTTTTTAATTGGAAATGCAAGAATAATGCAGATTTTATTCCTGGCTTGACATCTGAAGCATCTCAAAGCCAGTAATTGGCACCTTGGTGAGTGACCCCCTCCAGAAAGAAGTGTCAAATGCAAATATATAGGAGTATAAGTGTGTTTGTTTTGCCCTAATATATCCTAACGAAGAAGGCCCTTACTAGTAACTTTGTGTTGAGCCCATGTGTTCAACAACTACACTGGCAGATTTAACTGAATATAAGATTACCGAAAAATATTTAACCTGCTTCTGCACACAGAAATGAAAATGCCCACATTCCTATATAATGTCTGACATTCTCTAGTAAAAGGGCAGCTTGACAGTTCTTGCCCATCATGACTGAAGAAAATTATACATTCAAACTTACCCAGATACACAAAGGAAATTAATCAAATCACAGCTGCAGTCAACCGTCTTAATTCACACCTTTCTCTCCATGTGGCCTCTCCTCCGTACATGGCTCCACCTCTTTACCTGCATTAAAGGGACACTATAGTCACAGAACAACTACAGCTTATTGAATTTGTTCTGGTGAGTAGAATCATTACCTTCAGGCTTTTTGCTGTAAACACTGTCTTTTCAGAGAAAATGCAGTGTTTACATTGCATCCTAGTGATAACTTCACTGACCACCCCTCAGATGGCTGTTAGAGATCCTTCCTGGGTCATGGCTGCCTAATATGCATCCAAACATTCAGTATCTCCTCCCTCTGCATGCAGAAACTGAACTTTCCTCAAAGAGATTCATTGATTCAATTCATCTCTATGAGGAGATGCTGATTATCCAGGGCTGTGTTTGAATTGTTCTGGCTCTGCTCCTGATCTGCCTCTTTGTCAGTCTCAGCCAATCCTATGGGGAAGCATTGTGATTGGATCAGGCTACCACTTCTGATGAGGTCAGCAGACAGCTTGTTTTTCTGAGGCAAACAGCATGCAGAGTTACAGCTTCAGGCTTGAATACAGTAGGATTTTGCTATATTTATGGAGGCATGAGGGACCCACAGGGGCTAGATGGTGGTTTTAACACTATAGGGTCAGGAATACATGTTTGTGTTCCTGACCCTATAGTGATCCTTTAAGTATTCTGCTGCTTCGTGATTGGTTAATGTAGAAATCTGGCTTAACGATTTATCTCATACTGAGGGCTCTGTTCCCCTTCTGATTGGTTAATGTAGATATCTGGCTCCACCACTTATCTTATACTGATGGATCTGCTCCCCTTCTGATTGGTTAATTTAGAAATCTGGCTCCACCACTTATCTTATACTGAGGGCTCTGCTCCCCTTCTTATTGGTTAATGTAGATATCTGGCTCCACCACTTATCTTATACTGAGGGCTCTGCTCCCCTTCTGATAGGTTTATGTCGAAATCTGGCTACACCACTTATCTCATAGTAACAGGATGATTCACTATACTCTTAAAGCGACACTGTATCTGCTTCATCTCATTAAACTGGTTATACAGTTTGAATTCCCCATGTGCCATAATTTCATTCAGTGTTTAATGTTTCCATACTAAATGAGAGTCCCCAGCAGCCCATCCCCTCTGTGCTGCTTTGGCTAATGAGGAAGTATTGGCCTTAATAGCAATGAGCAGCTGTGATTGGTTGAGAGTGTCAGCTGACTGCTTTTATCCTATCAGAGCTCCAACTGACAGTATGAAAGGTATGACTACAAGGAAGTGTGTAGTCTCTTCCTTAGCCACACCTCCAGAAGGGGCCTGACTGTGGGTGGCCAGGAACCTGTATTTATTGTTAAATTGCTGGTTTAAAACTGAATGTGGGACAGTACCAGAGGACTCCAGGCTCTATAACCAATTCAAAGAGATGAAATTATTACTGTGACTACTGTGTTCCTTTAATTTCCACAATTTAAACCCAAATAGCAGACCTGAAGTACAGTTGTGACTGACTGAGTTGAGGAATTATTACCAGTTATTTTTGCCTCAGTTTTGCCCTATCAAATTTAATTTGCAAAAAGTTGAAGTTTAGTAAACAATCCTATTAAGGTTATTAACTAATGTCTGAATTTTTGTGAATTTGTGGAAATGACTGGCTGTCGGATTTTCAGCTACTTTCTGATCTAGACAGGACTCAGAGCACAAGTTGCAAATCCTGTGGTTTTATGCCATATACAACAAGCTGGTGAATATTTTAAATATTTCTATTCTATTCTCTTAATATATTAATATATATTAATATATTAATATATTTATATCATTTATCAAAGGAAAAATGTGCTTCAACTAGTGCATACATTATTCCTTTAATGGCATATGTGTTTGGCTGGCTGTGTGAATGGTGTACACAGCGACTGTATGTGTGGCAGGCTGTGTGAATGATGTACACAGTGACTGTATGTGTGGTTAGCTGTGTGAATGGTGTATACTGCCACAGTATGTGTGGCTGGCTGTGTGAATGGTGTATACTGCCACAGTATGGGTGGTTGGCCGTGTGAATGGTGTATACAGTGACTGTATGTGTGGCTGGCTGTGTGAATGGTGTATACAGTCACAGTATGTGTGGCTGGCTGTGTGAATGGTGTACACAGTGACTGTATGTGTGGCTCGCTGTGTGAATGGTGTATACAGTGACTGTATGTGTGGCTGGCTGTGTGAATGGTGTAAACAGTGACTGTATGTGTGAATGGTGTATACTGTCCAGTATGTGTGGCTCACTGTGTGAATGGTGTATACAGTGGTTGTATGTGTGGCTGGCTGTGTAAATAGTGTATACAGTGGCTGTATGTGTGGCTGGCTGTGTGAATGGTGTATACAGTGACTGTATGTGTGGCTGGCTGTGTGAATGGTGTATACAGTGGCTGTATGTGTGGCTGGCTGTGTGAATGGTGTATACAGTGGCTGTATGTGTGGCTGGCTGTGTGAATGGTGTATACAGTGGCTGGCTGTGTGAATGGTGTACACAGTGACTGTATGAGTGGCTGGCTGTGTGAATGGTGTATACTGTCACAGTATGTGTGGCTGGCTGTGTGAATGGTGTATACTGTCACAGTATGTGTGGCTGGCTGTGTGAATGGTGTACACAGTGACTGTATGAGTGGCTGGCTGTGTGAATGGTGTATACAGTGACTGTACGTGTGGCTGGCTGTGTGAATGATGTATACAGTGACTGTACGTGTGGCTGGCTGTGTGAATGGTGTATATTGTCACCGTGGCTCGCTGTGTGAATTGTGTCAGTAAATATCATTCACACAGCCGGCCACATTGTAGTAATACTTCCCACCCCTTTTTCTACCATTTGGAAGTGAAACTTCATGACTTACTTTTAAAAGTCAGGGGTATGAAGGGCAGGAGGTATGTGAAGATGGCGCAGTATTTTTTTGCAGACTGCAATAACCACCTATAGTGCCATTTATGTTACAAATGCTTGGTGTAAGTGCATCTCTTGAATGTGGGCAATGTACTCAATGTTTTAAATTTTTCATTCTGATGGTATTTTTAGTATTCACCCTTACAGTGACAGTCACTGACTAAATCACACCATCCCATTTTACTGATATAACTCACAGCAATCTGTACATGAAGTTCCTGATTAACCTAATGTTTAACTATATTAGTTGTATGATTCAGGTATTGCTTTAACGTAAAGTTGGTACTGAAACTGTTAACCAGCATCATACTTATTCACAAATCCAGTAATTTGAGGACAATTTCAGGAAATTACACGTTTTCAAGCCATTATATTTCAACTGGAAAATAAAAATTGTTAGCACGGTTATCTTTCCATCTACGCTTATTTTGACCTAAACTTCTCAGTACTCCAAAAAAATTCTAATTTAATAGATAACCATGTGGGACTAATCACTGAACTGTCAATTGTGATGAAATTAAAAAAAAGATTGCAGTTTTCAGACATAAATAGCCGAACTGTAGTCAAATTGGAGATCTTTCCAGTTCCGTATTTTGCCTGAATTTAACAATTTTTTATTTCCATTCACTACATTTCATTTACTGAATAAAACCCTTAGACCTGTGTGATGATCATTTCTGTATATCATACCTTGCAACACTTCAAATGGACAAAGGGGACAGAGGCTTGTCTGTTCTGAGAAATTTTAAGTGACTTACTAATAGCAATTTATACAACTATAATGTGATTAACTAGAAGAACAAAGTAGATATCTAAACACATTTATGGAAGTTTAAATACACATTAATCTTCAACACCCAGCATTTCAAATTGACAAAGATGGACACTTCAAATGTAGGGGTGTGTGTGGGGGTTTGGCCATGGGAGGGAATGTTCTGACAATTTCAGGTACTTTACTAATAGCAATTCATGCAAAGTACTTTAATACAAGACAATGTATCTTATTTATACAAACTCATTTCTAAACACATTTATTGTAGCTTAAAGACACATTACTGGGAGTATTATTGCTGTGGAGCTCTGTTATACACTCAGACACATTACTGGGAGTATTATCGCTGTGGAGCTCTGTTATACACTCAGACACATTACTGGGAGTATTATTGCTGTGGAGCTCTGTTATACACTCAGACACATTACTGGGAGTATTATCACTGTGGAGCTCTGTTATACAGTCAGACACATTACTGGGAGTATTATTGCTGTGGGGCTCTGTTATACACTCAGACACATTACTGGGAGTAGTATTGCTGTGGAGCTCTGTTATACACTCAAACACATTACTGGGAGTATTATCGCTGTGGAGCTCTGTTATACACTCAGACACATTACTGGGAATATTATTGCTGTGGAGCTCTGTTATACACTCAGACACATTACTGGGAGTATTATTGCTGTGGAGCTCTGTTATACGCTCAGACACATTACTGGGAGTAATATTGATGTGGGGCTCTGTTATACGCTCAGACACATTACTGGGAGTATTATTGCTGTGGAGCTCTGTTATACGCTCAGACACATTACTGGGAGTATTATGCTGTGGGCTCTGTTATACGCTCAGACACATTACTGGGAGTATTATTGCTGTGGGCTCTGTTATACACTCAGACACATTACTGGGAGTATTATTGCTGTGGGGCTCTGTTATACACTCAAACACATTACTGGGAGTAATATTGATGTGGGGCTCTGTTATACGCTCAGACACATTACTGGGAGTATTATCGCTGTGGAGCTCTGTTATACGCTCAGACACATTACTGGGAGTAATATTGATGTGGGGCTCTGTTATACGCTCAGACACATTACTGGGAGTATTATTGATGTGGAGCTCTGTTATACGCTCAGACACATTACTGGGAGTATTATTGATGTCCGGCTCTGTTATACACTCAGACACATTACTGGGAGTATTATTGATGTGGGGCTCTGTTATACACTCAGACACATTACTGGGAGTATTATTGCTGTGGGGCTCTGTTATACACTCAGACACATTACTGGGAGTATTATTGCTGTGGCTCTGTTATACACTCAGACACATTACTGGGAGTATTATTGCTGTGGGGCTCTGTTATACACTCAGACACATTACTGGGAGTATTATTGCTGTGGAGCTCTGTTATACACTCAGACACATTACTGGGAGTATTATTGCTGTGGAGCTCTGTTATACACTCAGACACATTACTGGGAGTATTATTGCTGTGTAGCTCTGTTATACACTCAGACACATTACTGGGAGTATTATTGCTGTGGAGCTCTGTTATACACTCAGACACATTACTGGGAGTATTATTGCTGCGGAGCTCTGTTATACACTCAGACACATTACTGGGAGTATTATTGCTGTGGAGCTCTGTTATACACTCAGACACATTACTGGGAGTATTATTGCTGTGGAGCTCTGTTATACACTCAGACACATTACTGGCAGTATTATTGATGTGGAGCTCTGTTATACACTCAGACACATTACTGGGAGTATTATTGCTGTGGAGCTCTGTTATACACTCAGACACATTACTGGGAGTATTATTGATGTGGAGCTCTGTTATACACTCAGACACATTACTGGGAGTATTATTGCTGTGGAGCTCTGTTATACACTCAGACACATTACTGGGAGTATTATTACTGTGAAGCTCTGTTATACACTCAGACACATTACTGGGAGTATTATCGCTGTGGAGCTCTGTTATACACTCAGACACATTACTGGGAGTATTATTGCTGTGGGGCTCTGTTATATGCTCAGACACATTACTAGGGGTATTATTGCTGTGGACTATGTTATACACTCAGACACATTACTGGGAGTATTATTGATGTGGAGCTCTGTTATACACTCAGACACATTACTGGGAGTATTATTGATGTGGGGCTCTGTTATACACTCGGACACATTACTGGGAGTATTATTGCTGTGGGGCTCTGTTATACACTCAGACACATTACTGGGAGTATTATTGATGTCCGGCTCTGTTATACACTCAGACACATTACTGGGAGTATTATTGTTGTGGGGCTCTGTTATACACTCAGACACATTACTGGGAGTATTATTGATGTCCGGCTCTATTATACACTCAGACACATTACTGGGAGTATTATTGTTGTGGGGCTCTGTTATACACTCAGACACATTACTGGGAGTATTATTGCTGTGGGGCTCTGTTATACACTCAGACACATTACTGGGAGTATTATTGATATGGAGCTCTGTTATACACTCAGACACACCAACAATATTGGAGAAAAGAGGGACTGTCCCTTGTAAATAGGGAGACTTGGAGGGCATGGTATAAGTATAGCAGTATGGAACACATTATTGTAAAAAGAATTTAACCTTTTAGGCCAAAATAGCTAAACTAAAAACATTGATGACTTTCATTTTGGCAATTCTTGCCTAAAATTTTACATTCAATTTGTATTCCTGAAAATTGACATTTTATTGAATAACCCTGTGTATAAATCTTGCAGATTTTGCACACCAAACAGAACCAAAACCTAACTAAAGTGCAGTAACATGTTGGTTTCGTACGATAACATACGTCAAAATGTATATTTGATTTATTTATAAAATGTCAGTATGTTCAGCACAGATCAACATTTACAGTTTTAAGTATGCAAACAAAGTTCATCTGTTCGAAATGCTCCGTCATAGGAAGTGACTCTAATTCCAACGGAAAAAAACTATCTCATAAAAAGAGCTATATTCATTTTAAGACGAGTCCGTCTGGAGTGGTTAATAGGAGTAGCTCCTGGCGTCATGTATAACCAATATAGACTAATAAACTGAAACCACGTTTTGCACTAAGTATGTAGCAATATTTAAAAGGTCGGAAATTTTGGCTGAAAACATCTACTCAGTGAGGGAGATTTATAAAATGAATGTGGTCAGAAAAGTGACGCTCGAACTGGCTGACACTACAACTACCGCATCTCTAATTAGCTGTTCCACTGACGTTCCCTGTGGTCAATGTCCTGGGCGCCCTATACCTCCCCTTTCTCTTACTCTCTTTCTACTCTCTCACTTTACCTTTCCACCCTCTTCTACTGTATTTACTTAACCCATTTTCAATATTACTCCATCACTTTCTGCAATGGGCACAGAGACAGTGATCTTAAGATCTCATGGGTCACTAGAACGTCGCTATGCCACATTGAAAGTAACTGTTCCAATTTGTTTTCTCTAAACCTGGGTATATGACTAAGATTCGCTGAATTATAAAAAATAAAAAAAAAGGGATGCTTACAGAAACCTTATGGGTGTTTTGTATATCTTGCAAAGACCCCCAATGTTGCCCAGAGGGTAAAGGGTAAGGATGTTTTAAAGGGACACTATAATCACCAAAAAAATAACAGTTTTGGTGTATAGATCATGCCCCTGCAGTCTCACTGCTCAATTCACTGCTATTTAGGCGTTAAATCACTTTTTTTCTCTGTTTATGTAGCCCTAACTACACCTCTCTGCCTGTATGAGCCAGCCAGCATGAAAACAGCCAGCAGCCAGCATGAAAACAAAATTATTTGATTTTCAATTAGATGTAACTTACTTTAAAAGTTTTTACCTCCTGCTCTGTAAATTGAACTTTAATTATATACAGGAGGAACCTGCGGGGTCTAGCAAGCTATTAACAAAGCAGGAGATAAAAAAAAAAATCTAAATTAAACAGAATGTGCAATGAAGGAAGTGTAAACATTTGATGACTCTTTACAGGAAGTGATTAGGAAGGCTGTGTAAGTCACAGGCAGGGATGAGGGGCTAGGGCTGCATAAGCAAAGTTATTTAACTCCTAAATGGCAGAGAATTGAGCAGTGAAACTGCAGGGATGATGATCAATACAACAATACTCCTTTTTAAGGATAAGTCGTTTTGGTGACTATAGTGTCCCTTTAAGTGCAAAAGTAGAAAAATCTCAGGTGGAATGTTAGTGCTGATTCTGTTGGTTTCCATGGTTACTGTCATACTTTTAGAACTTTGCTCCACTTTTCTGGTTATTGCACTTTTATAAATATTTTGATATACATTGGGTTTACATTCTATCCCTGGAATACAAGTAATCTACTGACCCATTTTCTTCTAATTTCTTATTATGTTTTTTATGACTTGCGTAGCAGGAGATCTTTATATCTTGTGGGTTTAAATGGAAGCTTGCCTGATTTACAATCAGGAGTGTTACAAAGTGATCGGAAATTGATTATTTACCTGATCTTTACCCCAAGTCTGAAACTGGTTCATTCAGCCACCCAATAGATTGGAGCGTGCACTAATTCAACACCCATTAACTCACAAAACACAGAATTGCAGTGAAAAATAACAAATCTATAACTAATGTCCCAATTATTGGAGGCGGCCGACTCAGGCAGCATGGAGGTGGCGAGGAAGCAGTAATCTTTCTGTGGTTCTTGCTCTGCTTCCTCGCTTGCTGTTTACAGACTATGACAGCCGGAATATGAAGTGTTGTTACTCCTGTATCTGTCTCCTCCCAAGTCAACGGTGCTACCATCAGCTCCACCACGCAGGCTCGCTGCCTAGGTGTTCTCTTTGACTCCGACCTCTCCTTCAAGCCTCATGTTCAATCTATCGCCAAAACCTGTCATTTTCATCTAAAAAACATTGCGCGCATCCGCCCCTACTTAACGCCAGATGTGACTAAGGTGTTGGTCCATACCACTGTCCTTTCTCACCATGACTACTGTAATCCGCTTCTCAGTGGTCTTACGTGCTCCCAACTAGCGCCGTTACAGTCCATAATGAATGCGGCGGCGAGGCTCATCTTCCTGTCCGCCCGCACCTCCCATGCCTCACCCTTCTGTCAGTCCTTACATCTATCTTCTGTCCGTACTCCCACCTCTGATGCTCACCTTCAAGATTTCTCGAGGGCTGCACCGTTCCTGTGGAACTCGCTTCCCTCCTCCGTTAGATGCTCACCCAGTCTCCACTCCTTCAAAAAAATCGTTAAAAACCCACTTCTTCATACAAGCATATCAATTAAACTGTTAATAGCTCCTAACTGATTCCTCTTCTGCAACTGTCATTAGTCTAATACTATCCTTACCTTTTGTGTCATTTTTATTCACCTTTTTCCATGCCATGCCAGTTACGCCATGCCTGCTCCAGCCTCCATGGCTGTGATCATCAATCTTAATCTCAGGTAAGCCAATGCTTTCCTATAGGGAAGCATTGGGAGGATGTTACACATGCACGGCAAAACAACTCATAGAGATGCATTGAACCAAACTGTGCAGCATGGCCCAGGACTTTCTAGTGGCCGTCATTAGAGGTGTTACTAGGCAGCAATGTAAACACTGCCTTTACTCTGCAAAGGCAGTATTTACATTGAAAAGCCTGTAGGGGGAGGCTATAGACACCAGAACCACTACGTTAAGCTTTAAGAATTGTATTTTTAAGAATTTAAGAATTGTATTTTCCTAATTGAAAATTTTATTTTTTTGTGTCAATCTCTTTTTTTATTGAGGCAATGATAAAGAATAGTATGTACATACATGAGTTAAAGGGAAGCTGTATTCCTGGCACTACTGATCCCTCTGCCTCCATCACAACCCCCATCCCCGGCAAATAAATGTTTAAAAACCCTTTATTTACTTACCTTATCCCAGCGCCGATGTCCCTCGGTGCTGGGTTGAAGCTCCGCCCCTCCTCCGTCCCGCGATGACGCTGGAGGTCCTCATGCAGCTTAGCACAATATCTAAGCAATTGCAAAATGCTAATTATTCTCTTAAGGTAACGTGATTCTTAACCAGACAAAGGCAGAACGTAATAAAGGAATATTTATTATGAGCAAAAAAAGTCACAGTGCATGCAAAAAAATAGATTAAAAAAACTAATTATCAACAACAGATAAAAACAAAAGGGATAAAATAACAGAAGTCCTAAACATTTGTTCACTTCTGAGGAAGCCCAGCCGGGTGAAACGCATTAAATGTTGGTACTATAAGTATTTACTCCCTATTTGCTTTTTTTATATATATATATATACCCTAACAATAAAGTATTTATAATTTTAAAATATTTCCATTTTTATTATTTTATATATATATACATATTTTATTCATCATATTCCTGTCATCATGTATCCTGCAAATCCTAGGTGGGGATAATACCACCAACGCTCTTCAAACCAGAGCAGGCCATTGCTCTGGATACTGTAAGTAGGATACCACCTTTTTACTTTGAATTTGTGTATGTACATACTACACCATAAGACTTCTCTCTATTGTGTCTCCCTACATATATTGGACGACAAGAATCACAAAGCTACATATATCCATAGACAGGGATTGTACCGTCCAGGCGATTAACAACGGAGCTCTTAGTAGCTCAACCAAGTGTGAGTGAGCACTCTATACACTTTATTTAAATAGTGTAAAATACTATTACATATTGCACTATTTTTTGTTTGTTTCTGCTTCTCTTTAAGCTTATAGAAGCCACCTACTTCCAACAAATTGCAATTGATGAAAATATATCTTTCTATTTAGACACATTACATTTTGTATATATGCACCTTATTGGGGCGCAGTTTATCACTCTGTTTGCCAATATTCAAAGTAAAACTTCTGCCCAGTGGGTCTCCGGCAAGGAAGATGGTGTCATGCGGTATCTCTTCCGGGTTCGGCATTCCCGCTATGCGGAGCCGGCCCTGCCCCCTTCTGACGCGGCTCTCTGACACTACTTAGAGAGACCGCGCCAGAGAGAAAGGGCTTGGTGATTGTGGGACCTACTTCCGGGTATAGACGGGGGCTCCACAAGCTTCTCGCACAAGCCTTCCTAAACCTTTGAAGATAAAAGGATTATGCTTCATCCGCTAGAGGATTACTGGAGAACGGACACTTTACCATTTATCAAGTGGACTCTAATACTGATCTCTTGGAGGACAACTCACATTAATCTTAAGTATAACTTCCAATTCATTATCTGGAATCTCAGTTATTAATGAACTGTTTCTTACTTCAAAATCCTCTCTGCTGCATACATACTAATTATATTGAGGATAACTCCCATCAAGCTTAACCACTGTTTCTTGCTTTGCAAATATTCTCTGCTACCTGCATACTATTTCTATTGAAGATTATTTCTATCAACCTAAAGAATATTATTCAATACATCTCTGAGGAAATACTTATTAATGAACTTTGTATTGTTTGCTATAACCAGCAATTTCTTCTTATTGAATTATTACCTATATGCTATTTACTTAAGTTTATCACAATCATTAAAACTTCGTTTGATTCTCTAATTGCCAGCAATCCTCTCTTTTCTTAAAGCTACAGTATTGATAATTTAAAGATTCCCCGTTTCTTCACTATTGTAATTAAGAAGTTCTACAAGCTGCAGTTGAGTTCCAATTCTAAAAACCCTAGTAGCATAACAGATGGTGACTTGTTAACAATTAGATTTTGGCCCCAAGCAAGTACACAGACATTTCAGTGTCATTGGATATATACCCTGTAGATTACCACACCTGGTCTAGAGGTGGAATTAAGGCATATCGATAGAGATAATGAGTGACCACCCCCTTGTGTTCCAGACCAACATTAATCCAAATTGAAACATTTGGCTCTATCTTCTGTTATGTACCTGCCACAGAAATAATAATTGCATCTACGAATTTATTATCTTCCCATTCTATACATATGGTGGACATCACAATTCCTTCCTGTGACTAGACCAATCTCACCACTGTGCATTGGAGGAGCCTGGTTGCCCACCTGCTGCCTTTAGACTATGGCCCCATGTTGAAACGCTTGATTTTCCCCTGCAAAGACACGAAAGCCGGGTCATTCGGTACTTGCCCTATTTGAACAGTGATACCCCAGATAGCTATGCCATGGAGCCCATTCGTATAACGAAAGATTATGTGAAAGACTTGGCTCCATGGCAATTGAGCTGTATGTATGTGATATGAGCGCCTTTCGGTAATAATGTGTGCTCAGATCTAAGCTATCTGGGGATATGTTGAATGTACCTATTTTATGCAATAGCTGCACAGTTATATATTTTTATGTATTTTATTGTCTTTTGCTACCATGTGTTCAATTGAGTTTTGCCTCTGTCCTTGGAGATAATTGGATTACTTCCCAATTATCTCCAGGATAGAAGACTCTGTGGAACTGGTTTTGGGCAGAAAAGCCATGCTTCATTTGGTCACAAAGGCATTCGATCTAACTTTTGACCCACTGGACCAATTTGTATGATTTTGACATATGCTTGTATTTGGAGAATGCTGATTCTAGTTTTATGTGAATGTGATGTATACTTTTAAAGTTATGAATAATGTGGAAAAACTGTATTTCTCTGCCTGTGATAATTACATTAACCCATTGTGTAAGGTAATTGTAGCACAGGCAGAGGGGAGGATTTTGTGTTGGAGTGTCTGAGTGTATTGTACGTGTTTATTGGTTGTTTTACAAAACCCTGTGGGTGGTACTAATGTGTATGTAATGTGTATATAAGAACAATAAACACAGAGCTCTGCCTTTTCTACTTCAACCTCAATTTGGAGTGCCGTGTTTTATTGGGGGAATCTGCTACAAGGGATTGCTATGCTCTGCATACTCTCTTGCTATATTCATTGCTAAGCTCTTGTAAGAGCTTGTTCCTGTTTTGCTCTCTGAAGGAGTCTACGGTTGTTATGGTGTCTGCTGCTTGGAGTCCTCAGGAAGCACTAGGAGCATCCTTTAACTGAGGTACCCAGTCGGGGTGCCCGTCGATCCGTTACATTGGTGGCAAGCGGCGGTATCGTTCCCACAGCCAGAAGGACAGCTACAGGAGACACCATTCCGTGGATTTACAAGTTGGGGGCAACGCATGGGCCAGGACAGCGCCACTAAAAGCAACAGAATGGAACCAGCTGTGTTATACGAGGAGGAGGACCTGGATGGTCGGGATTCATTATGAAAAGGCATCTGGTACCAGGCCCTGGATAATGTACAATACCAGAGTCTCCCCAGTGAAGAGCAGAGGTTGCAGAAGCAAGTGGCCCTGCAGATGCCTTTCCTGCGAGAGCAGCTCCTGGAGGAATGGGTGAAGGAACTAGAGCACCGGGTATGGCAGGAGCTATGGCTGGATGATGCCTACCAGGCACTCTGGTGGTATATGGCACAGTATATACCCTGGACAGCCGAGCATGACAAGCCAGAGGGAGAGGAGTTTGATGGTCCAGGCTTGTTATGGGAGTCCTTTGCAGTGCCCTGCACAGACCAGACTTCAGGACATTTTCTACGAGAGGGAGGCTAGGCATGACTGGGATGACCCCCATGAGGTAGAGCAAGACCTGGCTCACCTAGCAACCCTGGAGTGGGAACTGGAGCAGGACTACCGAGATCTCTTCCACTCCAATGGGAAGGCTTAGCAGGACAGCATGGCAACAGACCCAGATCCAGACCCATTCAGCTGGGAAGATATTGTGTGATTTACTGGGAACGACCCCAGGTGGCCGATGGAGATGGGACCGAGGTCTCTCCACCGGCCCTGCAGGGAATTGGGAGCCCGGTCTCCATTCCCCAGAGGCAGGCTGAGTTACAGGGGGCAGAGACAGTTGGTCCTGTCCCCCAGTGGCAGAGTGAATTGCAGGGAATTGGCAGCCCAGTCTCCATTCTCCAGCGGCAGGCTGAGTTACAGGGGGCAGAGACAGTTGGTCCTGCCCCCCAGCGGCAGAATGATTTATTAGGAATTGGGAGCCTAGTCTCCATTCCCCAGCGGCAGAGCAATGTACAGGGAATTGGGAGCCCAGTCTCCATTCCCCAGCAGCAGAGCAATGTACAGGGAATTGGGAGCCCAGTCTCCATTCCCCAGCGGCAGAGCAATGTACAGGGAATTGGGAGCCCAGTCTCCATTCCCCAGCGGTAACGTCAAATGAAGAGGCGCTTTGCAACAAACAGGACACCAACACAAAAATATAAAAATGAGTGATGGTCACTGCTACAGCGTCAGAGTGACGCAATCGAGACCTAGTTGGACCGTGTCACTGTCAATAGAACTTAATGGATTGATTCGTTGTGTCAGTATGGAAGTAAGGAGCAAGTAATTGGAGAAAATGAGAATACCCTAAAATAGAATGTGGACATTTCTAAAAGCTGAAGAAAAGGCTGATCACTATTGTGGTTTGTATACGGTATATTCTCCGTTGCAATACTCTTATCACCAAACACAAAGGAAGTATGTTTTTTACAACTTCTGACCAGTTGTAGATAAAGATTACCACAGCCATAACTTCTGGATCTATTCTCCCACTTCATCTGTAAAATGTGGTCAAAAATGTGAGTGAGACAAAAAGAGGTTTTCAAAGAAGAAACTCCTTGATTAACATAATTTGCAGTGATCTACTGGTTATCGAATTAAAATCTACAGATACGTTGCCTAATCCAGGAACATATGTTTTTGAGCATATACCTTGATCTACATGGACATGCCAAATATTGGTCAACATTGGAAGATCTATGGCTGATGCTTCAAAAAAGTAACAATTCACTTTGCTCGTTGTCCGTGCCAGCACATCCACCAGGAACTTTAAGAAATTGATATGGACAATTGAGTTTTCTTTTAAGCATTACCTAAGACTTGGAACATATTCAGAAAAAATATCTATTCTTGTATCTCAATACTGGGACTAATACCTGAATAATGTTTTTAGAGTGAGTCTGACAGGCTCCGCAATGTAATGGCCATGGAAATGTATCTTGATGCTAGAAATAGTCTCACTATCTGCACTGAATTGCGTAATGTTATTCTTCATTGTTTTAACTGTTCTGAATTCTGTCCAAATATTTTCCAGATTGCTTTCTGGCAAACACAGAGCTATTTTGGATTAATTCACTGGAGATCCTAGAAATTCTGTTTCATGTAAATCTCAGAACAGATTTATTCCAATTTATGTAGGAATCATGGCTAAATTATATTGGTACTTGTGTTGTATGAGCACGTCTTTGTGTTTCTATATAAAGTTTCCTCAAAACGAATGTATTTTTCCTCGTTACTTTTCAGTTCCTGGATAAATACAAAACCCTACGGACTATATATCCTTGTTTCTCTTTTCTGCAAATCTATGGGTGGTTTAAACTCTTGAGTTTTTTGTTCATTCAAAAATGAAAGAATTAGAAAAATAGCAATTTATTTGACCACCATTTAGACATTCCTTTTTACTCCAATTTCCAATAAAACTGAAGCAAAGCCGGGTATTTCAGACCCATTGGTACTTAAATGTATTTTTGCAATCCATTATGGTGGGACTAGAAAATCTTGACACTACAGTTGGACCAATGGTAAATCCCCTGATGTTATACAGCTTTCATGATACTTTGCTGGCTAAAGGATGGTAGTTGTAAACATCTAGGGATCTACATTTTGCCCAGCCCTGCTCTATTTTTTTTCAATTTGAAATGTTTTTATTGAGTCAATGAAGAGGCAGTTGGGTACAGAAAGAAAGAGGGTACTCATATTCAAACGGTGGGTATACTATATATCATTTAGGTACACATCATTACATCTCTTGGCAATTCATACATACATGAATTGTGTCCAATGCTTCAAACTTTTGAGGTTGACTAGATATCGTCTTGAGTAGATTTGCCGGATGTTAGACGACATGTCATTGAATAAGGTACATACCCCGGGTTAGAACTAATTGTCAGCCCTAACGACTCATCTATGCCCGTACTGTGCCTTGCCTAGGAGGTTCTTTCTCATCAGGTTGCCACGTGAAGGCAAATAGATGGTAAGCTAAATGGGCTCCTGGTGGTGGTTAAAGGAATAAGACGGCTTTTGTCATTGCTAGATGTCTAGACTACTAGGTAGTCCGATATTGCTTTTCTTTTTTATTAATGCTTCTGTGCCTATTGTTAGTGTGCTAGTAGTTCTAAGTTATCCTTACTAGTCCTGTGAGACTGCCAAGCTTCTATGACTCTATTTTGTTTTAAAAAAGGAAACGGTAAAGGGGGAGTTGAGGAGGAGGGAAACAAAAAGAAAAGGTGGGAGGAAGTAAACTACTTACAATGTGGGTTTATATCACCTGTCTCTCGTTAGGATGGAATTATCACTTAGGGCAAAGCCCCCGTGTTTGGTAGCCTCTTGTGCCTCCTGTGATTGCCATTGCCGATATTGTAGATCTGCTATCCATGAAATATGAGTTGAGAAAGTCGAGCCCAGCCCAGATATCAGTCTTCGTTATCCTCTCACTGCGCCAACTCTCTTACCCCTCTGCCTCTAGTGGTGAAGCTGCTCTTCTAGTAAATTTGGAGGTCATCATTGTTTGTATGGGCTGCAATGTATGTATGCCTTATAGCGCCAGCTCCCTGTACATGTTTTTTTGGAATGACATGCTTATGGGCCATGAATTCATAGTCCAGATTTAAGGAGATCTGAGCTAAAAGGGCAGAACATGTCAGCACTTCTGTAGTTTTCCATGCTCTGGCTATCTGTAAGTTTGCTGCAATAAGAATGTGGAAAAGTAAAGTAGAGGAGAGGCGTAGAAAATTGTCCAGTGATAAAAAATAGTAAACACAAGTCAGGGGTAAGCGCGATGTCTGTCCCCAAAGTGTCTCCCACTATGCGCCAATATCCCTCAAACTTGGAACATGTCCACCAAATGTGGTGCATCGTCCCTGTACCATGTAAGCATGTTCAATATACGTTAGATGTGTTTGGGTATATGCACTGTAATCTTTCCTGTACCATACCATCTAACCTGAATTTTTCTCATCAGTTCTAGGTGTAAGCGTTTTATTTTTCCAAGTATTAAACATCCACTGGCTAGTCAGCTGAGAATACATTTTTAATTACATGACTTCTCCTTTAAGCTTCCAGAGCAGAATTTGCTTTCCTCAAAAGGCATATTGTCCACGTTGCCCTGTCTCTTAAGATCCTGATGTTGGTTTCTAGCCAGCTAATATAAACAAAAAGAATTACGTCTTGGTATTTTTCTAGTGATCTACCAAAACTTGACTTGCTTCGGTATCAAACCTCTATCGGCCCTGAAATTCTGGGCAATTCTTCCACCAATAAATTCCTCACATTCCTAGTTACATTATAAAGTATTTAGCCGTGTGTTGTGAGTGTCTAGTCAAATGACCAAGGATGTGTGATTCCCTCCGGATCAAACAGGGGCTCTTCTTTCTGATCCAATATATTTTCTGTCAATAATTACATTACATTTCACTATTTTCTGACTTTTTTCCTTTTTCATAACATAAATCTAACATCATTATTGTTAAATTTCCCTCAATCTGAAGAACAATAAGAATTTAGTCTTTTCTATATTGACTTTTAAACAAAAAAAAATATTTCAGCACAGCCAGAGAATATTTGGCAGGAACAATTCTGCACACCTGTCAATACTCTACTGTTTTGATAGTAAATTATGTTTGGGTTTGTTCATCAGTGTTTCCTATTTCCCTAATTTTACTGATCACCCATGGCTAGATTTCTAGGAAGTCTTCCTAAATTTAATATTGCCCTAGACACCTCTGGCAGTGCCAACCCAACCCTTCTTGGAATAAGATATTTTAGTCCACATTTGTATATTTAGTTCATGTGGTGACGTCAAAGACTTTCTCTGTTTTTGATTTATAATTCATAGTACAGAACATTAACATAAGAACTTTAATAGAACAATCTACTTATGCCGAATCTGCTTCTCTAGATAAAGTTCAGTACACTACATGCACGTTTTCCATTGACCTGGAAGATAGATTTTTCAGATGCACTTTTTATTGACCTTTTATGATAATTCATTTGCTCTTAACAAATTGTATTCATGTTATATATTTGGGTGAAGGAGAAGCCAACATTAAATGTTTTAATAAATTCATTACTTTAAAATATTATAATCTGGGATGAAACCTATTGACTTGTATCTACGTACACCAGAGACGAGGTCGCAATAAGTCACCACCAGTGTTTGGTCTATACGAGAGTGTTTCGACAGCAATTTATGCATGGGCTACAAAGAGTTGCTGCCAAGCAGATCGTCCCATTACTGCATAGACCAGCCCCTGTTTTTGGGAGAGCTGCCCCCCTTTGTCACTTTTGACAGGCACAGGGTCACTGGTACACACCTTAAAGCATACTCCCTTCTCTGACTTCATACCTCCCCATGTGAGGTATGCCATTATAAATAAAAAACAGAAACACAACGAAATGTACTAAGTAGAGCAGTGCATTTATAGTGAGTTCGGTATTTTAGAGGAGTTAATGTAAGCACTCGAGTATAAACAACTTACTCAATGCAAAGACCCCATTTACCTGTACATAGTGGCTTATAAGTTCAACAATATGCGAAATTCACTTAATCTATAAGACTGTCCCTCTGACGTCAAGGGAGCTAGTTTCAGTGTCGGAACAAATGTACTGAGGGCCTTGATGCAAGAAATCAGCCATCGTCATCTAGCGCAAGTATGGCCAAAGGTTAGTTCAGCATCATACAACTCCCACAATGCTGTGCCAGCTGGGCATCTTCCATTTGATTGTACTCATGTTTTTGTATGGAGTATGTGTGTGCATGTATGGTTGTATATGTATGTAATTTTGCTAAATTAATGCAGTGGTGTACTTCTATGTAATGTTTCCAATTAAAGGACCACTATAGGCACCCAGACCACTTCAGCTTAATGAAGTGGTCTGGGTGCCAGGTCCTTCTAGGGTTAACCCTTTTTTCAGAGAAACTGCTATGTTTATGTTAGGGTTAATCCAGCCTCTAGTGGCTGTCTCATTGACAGCCGCTAGAGGGCTTCCGCGTTTCTCACTGTGAAAATCACAGTGAGAAGACGCCAGCGTCCATAGGAAAGCAAACAAGTATGTTTTCCTGGCACTATAGTGGTCCTTTAAATTAAATGGGTGTATTTGTAATGTTTGCATTTAAATGCAATTGTGTTTGTATGAAGTGTTGGCTTTTAAATGTGGGTGTATGTGTGTAGTATTGGTGTGAAGAAGTGTGTTTGTATTTAATTTTGGCATTTGCAGAGGTGTGTTTGCAAGTAGCGTTGGCGTCTGACTCCTGGGATGTGTGCACGTAGACGAACACCGCCACATATATAATTACACGGATACACACACACTGATGCATACATATACTCAGGCACACATATAATAAACACACTGACACACATAGATACACACACACACTGACACACAGAAATACACTCAAACATGTTTTATTTGTATTTATATTTTTAACTTCTCTCCTGTTAACAGCTTTTCTTGATAGAGGTCATGCTGCTGGCTGAGACTGTTAGGAGTATGGAGCTGAAGCAGCTCTCTCTCCCCCTTTCTGCCTGTGCCACCGCCTCCTTCACTCTTCTCCTCCCCACATGGGCTCTCCTTTTAGCTGGGAGGAAGTGACCTGCTCTCACTTCCTATCACATCTGCTGAGATTACAGGGGCCCAGTTGCTCTTTTAAAGGACCACAGTGCCCTACTGGACTCTTGTGTACCAATACCCATTGGCCACCCGATAGGCCCCCAGCGTGCAGGCCCTGGTGCAGCCGATAGCTATTTTAACTCTAGAGCTCAAACTGTGGCCACGTGCATGTTCAGATGGCAACTTAGGCAAACACTGTTAAACAGAAACTGTTGGCACCATAAATGTTTCATCTCATTAAAGTGGTTATAGTGTCTGGAGTTCCCTGTTGCTGTTTTTCCAGTCAGTGTTAAGCTGGTTTTAACATTTTAATACTAAACAAGTGCCACCAGCAAACTATCTCCTCTCTACTGGTTCGGCTAATAAGGAAGCATTAGCCTGAACAGCAATGGGACACTGTGTTTGAGTGTGTCAGCTGACTGCTTTCAATCGGGCAGTGCCATAGTGTGTGTATGGCTAAAAGGAAGTGTTTTATCTATCTTAGCCATACCTCCAGTATGGGCAGGGCTGTGGTGGCTGAAACAGGTAATAACATCCATAACAGTGACCAGCGACCCTCATTCAGTGTGAAACTACTTAAAAAGTGGTTTAACACTATCTGCAGGTTCAATGCCAGGGTACTGCAGATACTATAACCAATTCAATGAGATAAATGGTTAAAGTTGCCTATAGCATCCCTTTAATTGTGAACAGGGCTGTGAATAACATGATCTGCAGACCTAATGTGGCAGCTATCAACATTTTTGAGTATTTCCATTCAGTCAGTGGATCTGTGAATACAGGCTACGTATCCTTCAATCTCTTGCTGGAGAAAGCTTTATGCAACAGAGAATAGAATAGGTCAGATTGGGAGGTGTACTTGTCATCTAAGATTACTTGCTGTGCAAGTGCAGCAACTTCAAACACCAAAATCATGCTTTTTGTTGTTGTTGAAGGTTTGTCATAAAAAAGTCCATAGATTTCAATCTTTAAAACATATCTTTTTATGCTGTTGATCCAAAAGACAAAAAAAAAAAATATTTGTAACGATGGCCATTTATAACACAAAAAAAGAAAAAAGCCTTTTTGACTTAATTCCTTGTATTTAATTTTTTTCCACACTTTGATGCAATGGTGTGGTAATTTGAAAACTGATCACATTGCGCCATCTCTTGGGTCCCGGAGTCACTGCAATTCAGATGAGGACATCTGAATAAAATTAATGGCTTATTGTATGTCTGTAGAAACAACTGTAACACAAACCACATTTTGTGAAAATCAACTAATAATGTGAGCCTTTAAGCTCTGTGAAACATAGTGATCACATTTCTTGCACTTTTAGTGATTGATCTACTGACGGTGAGTGAGTCCAGACACATGTCCAGCATGGTGGAGAAGATACGGTCTGAGATGCTAACGGTCAATGACATATACTTCTTGTCAACTCTTCGACTGCCAGCCAAGGCAGGAGGTGTCTTATTTGGCTTCTACTCAAAAAAAGACAACACCAAATGGCTGGAGGCCTCAATTGTGGGGAAAATCAACAAAGGTTAGTGGTCTCTGGAGATGGGACGGGAATTGGTTACAGCAGAGTAAGAGGGTGGTGAAATGTCAAAATTAATGTGCACTTTTTAATTTTGGGAGGTAATAAATCAACATGTATATTCTGTTCTCTATCTCACTAGTCTTGGTACGTTACATGCGTGAAGATTCCAAAGTCCACTCAGTCAGTTTACAGAATGCCAATCTGTCTGATGGAAACACTCACACCATGATCCTGCGTATCAGTGGCCTCCGTGGGGACACTATCACATTGGAGCTATATGTGGACTGCAAGCAAGTGGACACCAGCTTAGGTCTACCTGAGATGATGATCATCCCCCAGTTTGAGGTGGAATCAGGAGAGATACGCTCTGGACACAAAGCATACCTGAGGATGCAGGTAAAGAGCTAGGTAGAAGGAGAAGGCATAGAGCTGTTCACGTTTGTTGGTATAGAGTCCAGGGTGTGAGATGAGGCACAGAACGTAGTGAGGGTGTAATTATAGACAGCTCAGTGTGAGGTGAGGCACAGGACTTTGTGTAGGATGCAGGTATAGATACATGGGTGTGAGGCGAGGCACAGGACTTTGTTAGGATGTACTCAAAGAAGAAAACACAAACAGCACTCTGAGATACAGCTGGTGTAAGTTTAATCAAAGTTTAATCTAAGTTTTGGTGTAATGTTTGAGTCTACGGCGAGCTGATTCGCGGTGTCAGTTTACATGGAACACCTGGGTAGATTTCTGGCTTTTGGTGCAGAACTTGTTTGCAGAGATCTTTGTTTTGTTAGGGTGTAGGTACAGAGAGCTGGGTTTGAGGTGAAGCACAGGAATTTGTAAGGATGTAGGTACAGAGGCCAGGATGTGAGGTGAGGCATTGAACTGTGTAGATGTGAGAAGAGAGCATGACGGAAAATAGAGGGTCAGCACTGTGTGAGTATGATATATAAAGATGGGTGTCAAGACAGGGCACTGGGTATATGAGAACACAGGTAAAAAGTGACACCGACATTGTTCAAACACAATCATTTACCCTGTTCCTTTAGGGATCTGTAGAGTCCATGAAGTTGATACTTGGTGGGTCTATGAGTCGTGTGGGAGCCTTGAGTGAGTGCCCTTTCCAGGAAGATGAATCCATTCACAATACAGGTATGCACTGTATACTAAATGCACAGCCTTAGAAACTTCTGGGAAAGGTACGCAGACTAGGGACATGGGGATGGGCTTACTGCAGCGCAGATTAGGGACATGGCGATGGGTTTACTGCACTTGCAGATTAAAGACATGGGGATGGGCTTACCGCACTAGCTGATTAAGGATATGGAGATAGGCTTACGACACTTGCAGATTAGAGACATGGGGTTGGGTTTACAGCACTCGCAGATTAGGGACATGGCGATGGGCTTGCTGCACTTGCAGATTAGGGACATGGAGATAGGCTTATGACACTTGCAGATTAGAGACATGGGGATGGGTTTACAGCACATGAAGACTAGGGATATGGGGGCGGGGGGCCTTACTGCACAAGCAGACTAGGGAGATGAGGATGGGGTCCTGAATATATGGCTTAGCAACAGTATAAAATATTAACAATATTTCATTTCTTTCCCATTCTAGTGAATGGAGTGGTCAACTCAATTCTTGGTAAGTACATATTATTACAAGTGCATCACACAGCCCTCCTGGTCTGGTTTAGACTGGCATTGCAGGATGTCACCGGGCCTGGCCAGACCACCAGTCTAATCCCATTCACCATGTGTGCAATACCACATCACAGGCACGTTACTATCAGCTGGCAACAACTTTCAATGACCTTACAAGACAGCTCCAAATCCATACAATTACCTTGTATATCTTGCTCAGATCTGGTCCTAATTCTTAGCAGTGATATGATTTTCATTACCGTAGGATTAAAAAGTCAGAATATCCTGTAAGAGTACTTGCCACATCTGAATTAGTTTGTTATGATAGCACTGTCTAACCTTTTTTTGTTTGTTTTTAAGATCAGGGTCTTTTTTTTTTTTTTTTAATATAAATCAAGTTTAAAAAAAAATGCTTTGAGAAGCAATAGCAGTGTTCAGCATCATTGCCTGAATGTGAAGAACGTGAAGATCTTCGTAAATCACCAAATGTAAGCATTACGGTTTCTCAGAAACAGCAATGTCTCACATTGTTAGACAAAAGGGCAGCATTTATGCACCAAAACCCCTACTTTAAGATGTAGAACTTTTGGTGTTTAGTGTCCCTATAACACAACAGTCAATCAGAATGAACATCTCTACCCTGGGGAAAGAAAAATGCTGCACCCATTTAAAGCACCTCCACTTTGCATATAAGGCATGCATTGTGTTCTTGGAAGAAAATAAGGTGATGGCGCAAAAAGTACTAGGTGTACTTCACTTCGGCATCAGTAGATAAAAACCTATAAATATAAACATAAAACCACCATATCGTAGACTGTATAAAAGATAATATCCGTAGAATTAAATATGGAGAACACTCACATATTTCTGAGCCCTTAAGGTCGGCTCTGAACTCAGTAGGTGTTATATAACCACTCCACGTGTTGTTTAATCGATGGGTCCCGTAGGTGTGATGGAAATCAGGAACCGTGATAAAATAAATATAATATTTTATTACAAAAATGAAAATAAAACAAACACACGATAATAAGTAGTAAAATAGATAAGCACAACGCGTTTCGACAGTAACTGGTCTTCCTCAGGTGCATAACCTACTGAGTTCACATCATTCTAATATATACATACAAATAATTAGACAATTCAAAACACATGATGATCAACGTCCATCTAAGGTATTTCCGTTTAGTTCTGCCATCTTGAGAAGGTCAGACATCCTTCATCCCATAAAAAGCCTCCCAAAATACACACAAAACCCACCCACAACACAATCATAAATACTTGTCTTAAGGTTCTTTAACTGAGACCTCCATGATAGTGTTGGATGCTTTTCATGGAGGTCTCAGTTAAAGAACCTTAAGACAAGTATTTATGATTGTGTTGTGGGTGGGTTTTGTGTGTATTTTGGGAGGCTTTTTATGGGATGAAGGATGTCTGACCTTCTCAAGATGGCAGAACTAAACGGAAATACCTTACATGGACGTTGATCATAATGTGTTTTGAATTGTCTAATTATTTGTATGTATATATTAGAATGATGTGAACTCAGTAGGTTATGCACCTGAGGAAGACCAGTTACTGTCCAAACGCGTTGTGCTTATTTATTTTACCACTTATCGTGTTTGTTTTATTTTCATTTTTGTAATAAAATATTATATTTATTTTATCACGGTTCCTGATTTCCATCACACCTACGGGACCCATCGACTAAACAACACGTGGAGTGGTTATATAACACCTACTGAGTTCAGAGCCGACCTTACAGGCTCAAAAATATGTGAGTGTTCTCCATATTTAATTCTACGGATATTATCTTTTATACAGTCTACGCTATTCTGGTTTTATGTTTATATTAATAGGTTTTTATCTACTGATGCCGAAGTGAAGTACACCTAGTACTTTGTGCGCTATCACCTTATTTTCTTCCAAGATTCTATGTATGTATAAGTGTGATGTTGGCATAGCACTTGGGTGATTTTAGCTGCACGGTTTTAGGATACTATTGTGGCGCCATTGTCTTTAATTTCTTGTATATATTGTGTTCTAGCAGATTCCAGATCCCTGCATGTAACTATTTGCAATTAATGAGATGGGATTTAAAGTAACATTTGAAGATGTAGAGCAAAAATTGCCATTAGAATAGGGTTTATTCACTAAATAGAACAGAAATAAAATCAGCGCTAAATGGCCACAGTAAGAGAAGGCTGCACTCCTCAAAAGGGAATCCCCTATAATTCCCTAATAATTGGAAGAACACAAGACAAACAGTACAGTAAGGATGCGCCTAAAATATATACTAAAATATATATAAAATACAGTAAATGATAAAACAATATATAAAAAATATGATATAAAAAAATGTCCGAAACTTATCAAAGTTCGTAATGGAGAATCCCACGTGAAGCAAAAGAAGATTCTTAAGATGTGGAGTAGGGTCAGATCTTCATAGTTGTATGCTTAGAGTTCAATGGAACATATGTGAAGAGAAGAAGAGACAAAACTCCAATGGTACAGTATGTAGATACGTTGAGAATAAAATAATAGAATAGGTCTTACTCACAATTTTCAGAGCTGAGGATCCAGCTCTGATATTATGCGCGTGAAGTGGAATAATCCCCACTCAGGGATATGTGGAGTAGATTTCAATTGACGATTCTCTGGTACACATTCGACATCCAAATTACAGACCCAGAAGGAAAGAATAAAATATATAGTCCTCTCTGTATTATGATAAAAGATTAAAAAGTATAAAATGTATATTACTCACATTCTTTTGAGCAGGTATATACTGCTCACTATAAGCGCTTAGGTGGTATAATCCCCACCTATGGATTCTTTATGCTTCTTCTATAAATAGGCAAAATAGGTAGTCAGGTGAAAGAAAAGAAAAAGAAAAATGGCAATAAAGTGTTTTATGCCAAAAATTCTTTATTATAACGTAATAAAATGATATCTAGACGCGTTTTGCCTCAAGGGCTTCTTCAAGTAGATAAAAGTACAAAAATACTTGTTGGCTAAATAGTTAAATTTGTTTTGAACCCCTTGTGTGACATGTCATGATTCCCTTTTATTCCAGAAGTTTGGTCCTTAAGGGATTAAAGGGACACTATAGTCCCCAACACAACTTTAGCTTTTATGAAGCAGTTTTGGTGTATAAATCATGCCCCTGCAGTCTCACTGCTTAATACTCTGCCATTTAGGAGTTAAATCACTTTGATTATGCAGCCCTAGCCACACCTCCCTGCAAGTGCCTTACACAGCCTTTCTAAACACTTCCTGTAAAGAGTCATCTCATGTTTACACTTCCTTTATTGCAAATTCTGTTTAATTTAAGATTTCTTATCTCCTGCACTGTTAATAGCTTGCTAGACGTTACAGGAGCCTTACGAATTTAACCACTTAAGGACCAAACTTCTGGAATAAAAGGGAATCATGTCATGTGTCCATAAGGGGTTAAGGAACACTATAGGGTCAGGAACAAAAACATGCGTTCCTGATCCTATAGGGTTAAATTCACTATCTAGGCCCCCCCCCACCCATAAATATAGTAAAATCTTACCTTTATTCTAGTCTTCCCTGCTGGCTCTCCCCTGATCTGCCTTGTTGGCTGACATAATCAGAAGTGATGATCTGAGCCAATACCAATATTTTTCCACAGGAAAATATTGGATTGGCTGAGATTGCCAAGAAGGTGGGGCAAGGGGCAGAGCCAAACACCACCCTATCCAATCAGCATCTCCACTTGTTCTGATGACTATAATGTCTCTTTCAAGTTCAATTTACAGAACGGAAGATAAACACTTTTTAATTAAGTTACATCTGATTAAAAATGAAACCATTTTTTTTAAATTTTTTATTTATTTATTTATTTTTAAATTCTTTATTTTTGGTCGTGCATAAGAATACAAGGTAGCCCGCAATGCCACAACAGCAATTGCCGGCATACGTCAAAAACACAATTAAATAGTGAAACATGACAACAGTCGTAGTGAGCAATAGCATTACGTTTCTACTTGAGTAAACAGCACGGTATTTATAATAATGGTTTGGTAGTTAAACTACGCAATCTCAATTGTAGAAATGAAAAATAAAAAATAAAAAATATACAATAGAGGTCAAATTACATGCTATGCAAGAAGCGGATCGATCAATGGCAGTGATATATTGGGAGGTACACGTTGGGCAAACAAGTGAGAGATCATTTTAATTTTTAGTATTCCCGCTTCCTACCGGGATGTGGAGCCCTGTTTGGACTAAGTAGTAGGCCCGAGAAATAGTACAGGGTGAGGGCACGTAAGTAGGACCACTGTGGTGTAGGGTAGCTTAAAATAGCGGATATGAAACCATTTTTGTCATGAAGGCTGGGTCAGTCACAGCCAATGGAGGTGTGACTAGGGCTGCATAAAACAGAAACAAAAGTGATTTAACTCCTAAATGGCAGTGAATTGAGCAATGAAACATCAGGGGCATGATCTATACACAAAAACTGCTTCATTACGCTAAAGTTGTTTTGGTGACTATAGTGTCCCTTTAAATTCACTGCAGTTTCATATACAATGAAAATAAATTTATTCCTATTTGTTTTTTGTTAGAAGTTTTAATTTTGGACTATTCTGTTCTAGTCCCAGAATATATGGTAACACAGTTAAGACTTTTTTTGCTGCTAATACATCCTGGTGGCGGTGTTCTGTAGTGTGTGTGCTGAGACCTACTTTTTCGAATACCTTTTTTTTTGTCCGCCAGGTGAGCACACAAAGGCTTTGATAACACAGATGACTCTCTTCAATAAAGTTCTGGCAGAGCTGAGAGAGGATATACGAGAACAGGTAAGCTTGGAGGAGCCCAGGTTACACAGCCATTTAGGACGTGGCATTGGTCATATTGGGGAACACACGTATTAAACCTTAAAGGACCAATAACAGGCTATGCAATAAAAAAACATTTGTTCTTTAAACTCTTCATGGAGCAGATTGGCAAATTTAATCTTTAGTAATGTTTAACACATTTTGCTTTCTGATATTTGTTTTTTAAACTGTTATACATATGTTGATAAGGGATTAGGTACGTATTGTGATCTTGTATTGCAAATAGCACGGTCCTCTAGGGCAGGGGTAGGCAACCTTTTAGTAGCACTGTGCCGATATAGGATTGTGATGTCCCGTAGAGTGCCGGTCCTATTTTTTAAAATTGAAGTGTGTATGTTGCCGTATTCTGCTTGTGTTATTTATACAGTAATTGCTTTGTATCGCTGAATATTTGTGCGTATATGAGCTATTATAATGTGTATGTTCACAGGAGTAGTTTGTGGTATCATGTATGATACATATGAATGTGGGCTGTGTATGGGGGCTGCTTGTGGAATTGTGTGTGTGGATGGATATGTCACGTTGTGCCTTTGGTAGTGTGTGTATGTGTGGGGGCTGTCTGGGGTATTGCATGTGAGAGACTGCATGTGGGGTTGTGTGCATGTATGTGTATTGTTAGCAGGTTACGTTTCTGCGGATTGTGTGTATGTTTGTGGGCTGTTCGTATTATTTGTATGAGGGGAGGGTTATTGTGCATTTCTGTGTTTATCTAGCAGTGTGGTTGGCTTCCCTGGGTTCCAGTGGGGTCCAGGCTGGCCAGGTACAGGTCAAGGACAGGAGCTGCAACAGTCGCTGCGGGCTGCTCTACTACAGTGTGGACTCCTATTTAAGTGCTGGGAGGAAGTGATCAGAGATCACTTCCTCTATGTGTTGCAATGCATAAATTGAGGATTGTCCTTCACCACCTCTTCGTATTAGCAGATATCTGAAGTTTTACTGGGACTCCTAATAGGCCAGAGCCTGTTTGGCTCTAGCAGCCTTGAGTGCCGTGCAAAGACACCTTGAGTGCCGTAGGTTGCCTACCCCTGCTCTAGGGTATAAACATGCACAGTCTTTTGAATTAACATAAATCCAGGCACCTTATTGTTGAAATTCACCAAGGAGACAGCAGCAAGTGAAAGAAATAATAATGTAACAGAAATCCCTGCAAACAAAATCCTAGCTCGTCTGAGCGCTTACTAACATTAAATTCCCTATCTCTCAAGGGTTACACAATAACAATACAGGCTTCACCAACCTAGTGTCTTGTCAACTGTCTGCACTCCAGAGGCCCACATCTAAACATTCATTTATGTTACATACAACACATACTCTCCCTGGGGTTAAATGTCATATGCCTCTCTGAACAATTTAGCAGAAATTTAAAATCCCTAACAAACAACACATAGTTACATAGTTACATAGTTACATAGTTACATAGCTGAAAAGAGACTTGCGTCCATCAAGTTCAGCCTTCCTCACATTTGTTTTTTGCTGTTGATCCAAAAGAAGGCAAAAAAACCCAGTTTGAAGCACAATTTTGCAACAAGCTAGGAAAAAAATTCCTTCTTGACCCCAGAATGGCAGTCAGATTTATCCTTGGATCAAGCAGTTATTACCCTACATTGAAAGATTATATCCTTGAATATTCTGTTCTTGCAAGTAAACACCATTCACCTTATCACAGTATGTAGAATTATTTTGGTGTGTGTTATCACATTAAGTTTTCTTGATGGCCTTGGACTACAAGTAGTAAAGGTGTAATGATTGTTTTGGGGAACATGTCATTGTTCTGTAGTTGAGTTTTGGATACTTCAGGACTATTTCAGTCTTGGGGCAGCTAGTGTCACAGTACAGTTGTGTATATTGACTCAGGACACAGGAGAATGATTTTTATGGCCAAACGTGACATGGTGGCTTTTCTTTTTCACAGAAAAGATCGCTTTGGTGAGACTAGTCTTGGGGTGCAGGTGTTAGTGAACAAAAGTTTCAAAGTTAGACATTTTTGTGAATTTTTTTTCTGGCAGGTGAAGGAGATGTCTCTTATCCGGAACACAATCATGGAATGTCAGGTTTGCGGTAAGTCTGATCCCTACCTCACTGTTCCTGGTTTGTGATCCTCCCACTGCAGTTGATGGGCAAAATGGAACTGTGGGAGATGGTGTTTGTCCCTCCTAGTGCAGGAAGGCACAGGTGGATGGGTATTATGGCACATAGCACCTGCACCATCCATTGCGGGGTGACAGGGGGAGCTATGGACAAAAATGTAGGCTTTCCTCCCACTGCAAGGTGATATGGACAGAGGAGCATGGTGGGACATAATCAGCCCTACCCATCAGGGTGTTAGGGGACACAGTTTCTCTCCCTTTCATAGTAGCATGAGACAGGCAGGGGGAGCATTTGGGACAAGAAATTAAAGACTGTCAGTACCCTGCAAAGTGGCAAAGAGATGCGATAGTACAGGCTACCCACCTGAGTTTTGTGCTATGCTGGGAGGTTCTTATTAGTTGGACTGCTCTACTCCAGGCATCATAATCACCACTGCAAACTGTAGTGGTTATAGTACCAGGAGTGCCACGGCACCCCCCACGTGAGTAGACATCAACTTCTTACCAGAATCCCACTATGCACTTCTCACTGTCTCTCTGCAGCCAGAAGCTCTCAGCTGAGCTAACACCAGAAATGTGGGGCTTAGCTCAATGGTGGAGGAATTAGAGGAGGATGACAGGAAGGGAGGGGCGCCATGTAAGAAGTCAAACAGTTTTTTCTGTACACATTTATTGTAACCCTTTTCCTTATTAAACATACAGTAACTATGTTTGCAAACACAAGTAACTAAATCTATAAATCAGATCTCCCTTGTCTGTTCTGTAAAATACTATAATTAGAATTAACTAAATAACACTTGTTTGTACGCATCTGTAACTTTATATCAGCTGAAAACTGTTGCCATTACCCCCGTTCTAACTCTATATATCCATATCCTTGTCCTTTCACCCCAGGATTTCATGAACACCGCTCTCGCTGTAACCCCAACCCCTGCTTCCAAGGTGTAGACTGCATGGAAACCTATGAATACCCAGGATATCGCTGTGGGCCTTGTCCCCCTGGATCCCAAGGAAATGGCACCTACTGTGCGGATATTGATGAGGTAGGTTACGGTGTGGTATAGAAATAGAGGTAACAATACAGGAGTGGTATAGCAGCTGGGGAAAGCAATACAATAGAAAAATAGGTTTTGGGCACAGCAGTTGGGGTAATCCGGGTGCTGCGTGGGGGTAGCCATGCAGTCAGGGTGCTGCAGTTGGGGTGGTAAGCGAAGCAGTTGGGGTGCTGCAGTGGGGGATAAGCGATGCAGTCAGAATGCTGCAATGATGGGGGTAGCCATGCAGTAAAGGTGCTGCAGTGGTGAGTAGCCATGCAGTTGGGGTGCTACAGTGGTGGTAGCCATGCTATCGGGGTGCTGCAGTAGGGGTTAATCCATGCAGTCAGGATTCCGCAGTGGTGGGGGTAGCCATGCAGTTAGGGTGCTGCAGTGGGTGGTAGCCATGCAGTCGGGGTGCTGCAGTGGGGGGTAGCCATGCAGTCAGGCTGCTGCAGTCGGGGGGTAGCCATTCAGTCAGGCTGCTGCAGTAGGGGAGTAGCAATACAGTTGGGGTGCTGTAGAAGGGGGGGTAGTCATTCAGTTACGGTGCTGCAGTGTAGCCATGCAGTCAACGATTAGCCATGCTGTTGGGGTGCTGCTGTGGGGGCCAGGGGGTAACCACACGGTCGGGATGCTGGGGTGATAGCTATGCAGTCACAGTGCTGCGGTGGTGGGGTAGCCATGCAGTTGGAGTGCACGCAGTTGGGGCTAATAAAACACTTTATGAACAAGACAAATAATGGAACAACATTAAGGATTTCAGTGTTGACACTAGCACTAATAGACTTCTATGTAACTCACATCAATAATGTCCTTATCTCCCACACAGTGCGCTTATGCAAACCCTTGTTTTGCCGGATCAAAATGTATAAATACATCACCTGGGTTCCGTTGCGATGTTTGCCCCCGTGGGTACAAAGGTAACACAGTATCTGGAGTTGGAGTAGACTATGCCAAAGCCAGCAAACAGGTAAGAAAAACCTAGGTGGAGATTGGCATAACTTTGCTTGGGGATGTTGATTAACTGGAGGTATATAAGTATTTAGTAGGGGGCACCAACTCCAAATTTTGGTACCTGTGGCTGTGCAGATGGCCAGAATCCATGCTCCAAGGAATGTTACAGCTTGTTAGAGTCTTACTTTTTCAATTTTGGATAAGCTGGAGGTGATGGTTCTGTCTAAAGGGTAGTGAGTCTGGTGGTGTAGTTATAGTAGGTTCGATGAGTCAGTTAGAATAAACAGAGAGTAGAATTTAATTTTACATTTGTTTGAGTTCACTTGATCTGTTGGTATGTGATTAAAATGGAGATAGGACTACTATGTGGTATTTGGATGACAATAGTGGGAGAGGAATTTTATTGACCTCTTGGTTGCTATGATGACGGTGATGAGATGAGGAGGATGGGTGCACTGGTAATTGGGGTTGTGGAAGGTTTTCGATGGTTTGTGAGTGAGTTACGTATAGTGTTGTTGGGGGTATAATAAAACTCTTTACAAGGGGCACTGGGTTGTGACTAGAGGGCTAGCTAGGTAGTGATCCCAAAATGTGGTGCTAACATTTTATTTTTTTTACTTTAAGGTTTGCAAAGACATTGATGAGTGCAATGATGGCAACAATGGTGGCTGTGCTGCCAACTCAATCTGCACCAACACTGTGGTAAGTGTCCATTTGTACATGGCTCCAACCCCCTCACTGACAGTGTGGAAATGGCTCCTCCCCCTCACTGACAGTGTGGAAATGGCCCCTCCCCCTCACTGACAGTGTGGAAATGGCTCCTCCCACTGCACTAAAAGTGTGGTCATGGCTCCTCCCCCCTCATTGACAGTGTGGAACTGGCTCCCTACACTAGCATTAAGGAAGTGACATAAGTGACATTCTTGCTGGGTATCTCCTGATCTTTCCCCGCTCTTTGCTGATTATATCCTGGTGCAAACAGTGTGCTGTGAATAATCTGGATTTATTTTATGTCCATGTTCTTTCTCTAGGGCTCCTACAGATGTGGCCCCTGCAAGCCTGGATTTGTGGGTAACCAGACAGTGGGCTGCTCAACAAAAAAATCCTGCCTGGGCCCAGGCTTCAATCCCTGCCATGTGAACGGGCACTGTGTGTTTGAGAGGAATGGAGATGTTACATGCGCAGTATGTCAATTTATCTAAACTTAATGAAGCAGGAATGTCATTTTACTACCTATCGCACCTGGATGTTACATTGAACTAGGCATCCACTGTTGTTTAATTCTCATACTGTCTTAGATTCATTTGAGGGAAAATTTACAAGTTTTCCTTGAAATGAATCTGCATTGAACCATGTTTTTCTAGACTTTAAGTGTTTTTAATATGACTAATTAGACATGCAGGTAATCACCTCATTAAGACTTGGTATTTTCTGTTGTATTGATTGCTTTCTTTTTGCAGTGCAATGTTGGCTGGGCAGGAAATGGATATACCTGCGGACGAGACACAGATATTGACGGTTACCCAGACGACCCAATGCCATGTATAGATAACAATAAGCACTGTCGGCAGGTAGGCTGTGTCTGCAATGGATAAAAATACTAAAGTTTCTAAATTAGGAGTAGATGTAATTACGATGTAATCTTGAATTTATTCCTTATAAAATGCACATGGAACATGGGATTTATGTGTAAACCACATGCACACTAAATATAGGATATGACATAACGGGGGGGGGATGATGTTGGCTTGAGTATTTCTTCTGAACAGGAGATTGTGGGATATTTGATGGTGCCTCCTGTGGGCTTCGGGATATCTGGACCCATGGCATGCCCAAGTGTAGGTTTTGTGTTATACACGAGTGCACTGCAATGTACTCTTGTGATTTATTTTTTTTAACAGGATAACTGCAGGTACACCCCAAACTCCGGCCAGGAAGATGCTGATAATGATGGGATTGGGGATCAGTGTGATGAGGATGCAGACGGTGATGGAATCAAGAATGTGGAGGTATCGCTTGGAATATTATCTGTATAATCATGATTTGTATCATAACCTCCGGGTCATTTACCCCCGCTGGTAATTGTGCAGTTACTGAACTAGATCTAGGCAGGTCCTATCAGTGGATATTTTGTTTTTCCCCTTCGACAAACTAATTCAAGCTGCACTTTACATGTTACAGTGTTTCCATGGTTTCTTTGTCCGTCACAGGATAACTGCAGACTTACCCCAAACAAGGATCAGCAAAACTCTGACACAGACTCGTACGGGGATGCATGCGACAACTGTCCTAACGTCCCAAATAATGAACAGAAGGACACAGATGCAAACGGGGAGGGAGATTCTTGTGACAATGACATCGATGGTGATGGTGAGAGAAGTTGTCTGGGTCAGATATAAGGGTTGAATAGGTGTGCATGGTTGTTACATGTGTTGTTGTATATTAACTGTCAGTTTATTCATTGTTTGTGTTTTTCCTCTATAAATGTATATGTGTGCATGTGTACACTACATATCACATCTGTCTACAACCAGGTATCCCAAACATGCTGGATAACTGCCCCAAAGTGCCTAATCCGCTGCAAACCGACCGGGACATGGATGGGGTGGGTGATGCTTGTGATAGCTGCCCGGAGACCAGCAATCCCACCCAAGTAAGTCAGGTGTAATGCCAGAGTGATGATGCAATTATTCGATATGACGTACTTAGTATGCACAAATAGGCAAACCATATAAATTAATATAATAAGGGCTTAGCACTCAATTACAAAAAGGGTGAGAATCATGGCTTATAGCAACATCCCGATCCAAAAAATAATATACTACATCTAAGTGCTAGACTTTGCCAAAATCATTACCAGGTTCTGTTTTCATACATCATGACATTTGAAGTGCTCCAAACCAGTTGGTTGTCCCTGTGTGTGCATCTCTCAGCCCTGGCCAACTTACTAATGCTGCCAATCATGTATAACAATCCGATGCTGGATAACAACCATGCCATTACGTAATCTGAACAGCCATGTACAGTGATCAACTAAACCGCAATGATGTACAATGATTATATGAATATCATTACAGGACTTTCTGTTATATGAATGTATGTATAAAATGTATAAATGAACCCTGGCTTATGAAACTACTAACACACACGTTTTACAAATCTAGTCAAAAGTCAAAAAACATACAACACAAGTACTATATGTGCACATGGTGTTGCTACATGATAATCATGTGGACTAGTGTGCATATTTAATGCTCATTGGTTAACTTAAAGGGAAACTATAGTGCCAGGAAAACAAAGAATAATATGCTTTCCTATGGGGTTTTGGGTGACGCTGCATAGCGTGAGGACGTCCATCCTCAGTTAGGTGACCACAAGTCGTCTAACGACCCAGAAGTCAATCTAGTGGCTGTCTGGTAGACAGCTACTGGAGGTGGAGTTAACCCCAGCAGGTAATTATTACAATTTATTAAAAATAATTACCTTTGCAGGGTTAAAGCACCTGGGATAAGCTGAAGTGGTCTGGGTGCCTATAGTGTCCCTTTAATTACTACAAAACCTCTCTTACTCCTCTATTCTGCTGCTGCTTGGTATACTATAGAGTTGCACTATATCTGTATACAAAGAGGAAAGCTGTTTATATACAGTATCTCACAAAAGTGAGTACACCCCTCACATTTCACACAGCCATCAATGTCTAAACCGTTGGCAACAAAAGTGAGAATAAATGTTATTTTGAGGGTACAGCAAATTTACACTGTTATACAGGCTGTACACTTACTACTTTACAATGTAGCAGAGAGTCATTTATTTCGTGTTGTCACATGAAAAAGATATAATAAAATATTTACAAAAATGTGAGGGGTGTACTCACGTTTGTGAGATACTGTAGGTCTAATCTGTAGGTATGACTTTCAGACCTATAACTAAGTAACAAAGACACTTATTGAAATGTGAGCAAATCCACGCCATGCACTGAATAAAATTGTACATTGCTGTCCCATTTTACAGAAGAATCTGGTTGTTTTCATTTTTTTAAATATTTTACAATATTGCTTAACCCCTTAAGGACCAAACTTCTGGAATAAAAGGGAATCATGACATGTCACACATGTCATGTGTCCTTAAGGGGTTAAAGGGGCACCAAAATTGCTAAAAGGCACACAGACCACTTAATTGCTTTTTAAAAACATTGCTTTTCTTTTGGAACAGCCATTATAAGCACTTGCTCTGCTATAACAAAGTAAAAATCTTTTAACTCACTCTACCCATGATGCATTTCTGCTTGGATACGTCACATGCCAGCTTCTGATTGACTTTAGTTCTTTTTTTTCTCCAGACAGATGCAGACAGCGATCTGGTGGGTGACATGTGTGACACCAACCAAGATAGGTAAGTCACTTTCTGGGTAAAAGAACGGGAGAAACCATGAGTATTAAATACACTATCCCAACCGCCCCAATTCTTTACTGCTGTGTAATCACTATTGTAACCCGCACCAACTGCTTCACACCCCCACAAGAGGAACAGAGTTACCTCAGGGGTAATGCGTTTTTGGTTGTGGATTTTTCAGCATTTCCAAATAGTTGGATTAATATTAATTGATGCAAATGTCAGTCTTTTGCTTTTGGCATTACAATGTGCAGATCAGACATGCCTACGGGTTACAATTACACTATGAGCGTTTCTTGACTTGTACAATTTTACTGGCCAGTCAGGGCTCAAAATTTCCACTTGCCGCTATTTATTGGCAAGTGAAAATTCCGCCCTGGTGAGTAGAAATTCCGCCCTGGTAAGTGCTATAAAATTCCTACATGCTTACAGTGCTAAGTAACTTCGTATGCCTGGCTGGTAGTGTAGGACCTAAAATTCTGAGCCCTGCAGTATAATGGCTGTCAATGTTGTCAATTACGGTCTGTTTCTGTGCTGCAAAACTAGTAATTAGTGGTTGCCGAAGGATTTAAACTTCTGCCATACAGATAATTACAAGTTGACAAAGTAACACCTGTCTTCCTTGCTAAATGTTAAAAAATAAGTAATTACATTTTTTTTTTAAATTACCACCTGTCAATCAATATCGGACTAAGAACACCTGCTGCATATAGGCGTAAAGACACCTTAACAACTCTCAATACATCGTACATTAAACAAACTGCTTTTTAAAAAAAAATAATAATAAATTATTTACATTTAAAGGGACACTATAGGCACACAGACCATTCCATCTCATTGAAGTGGTCTGGTAAAATATCCCTGTCCCCTCAACACTAAAGGAACACTATAGTCACCAGAACAACTGTGGCTTAATTTAGTTATTCTGGTATCTGTAACCTGTCCCTGCAAGTTTTTCAATGTACACAGTGGCTTTTCAGAGAAGAGGCACTGCTTACATTGATGTCTAGGAACACCTCTAGTGGCAGTCACTCAGACGGCCACTAGAGGTGTTGTACAGTATGCAGCACTGGCATTCAGAGTCTCCACGCTCTGCATGGAAGCGCTGAACGCTCCCCATAGAGATGCATTGGGTTAATGCATCTCTAACGAGATGCTGATTGGCACAGAGTGGCGTTTTGCTGCACAAATGCAATAGCCTCCCAATGCTTACCATGTATAACTGACACTATAGTGTTACTTTAAGACAACCTCCAGACAGCCACTATAGGTGCCTCATGCATTTTCACTAAGTTTAACTTAATGAAAGAAAGTTGGACATCTTCACGCCATGCAGGAGAACCTCCAGCATCTTCAAAATCAACATAGGAAAACACTGATTCATTGATGCACGCGCATTAGAGTTTTCCATCGGAGGAGGAGCCAGACCCAGTGCGGAGGGACCTAGGAAAGAGCTATGGTAGAAAAGGGGTTTTTTTTTTAACACTTTTCATGCTGGCAGTGGAGGTGGGGGGACACTAGTAACTTAGGCATATGGGCATACTATAGCTTTAGGAATACAGATTTATGTTCCTTTTAAGCGCTAAAGCCAATCTGCAAGCATAGTGTACGCAGTTTGAAATACTTGTGAAAAGTCACAAAATCTTAGAGGGTAACTACTCAATTCAAACGTAGATTTTATTGAAATATTGAAAGGTAAATGCATAAAAACAAATGGTAAAATCAATGTTTATTAGAGCGTCAAAGTGCCCTTCATTTTACAAGAAGTCTTAAGTAAGGTCCATTAAACATTCATGTTTATTCTGCAGCATCTCATAAAATAAATTGCTCTGAAGCTGCTAAAATGAATTAACCAAATCAAAAGTTAAGGACATGCTACACACAAATGAAATGTACGGAGCTCTGAGGGTGGTCAGCTGTCCACCAAGAATAACATAGAAGTAGAAGTCCATAGGCGTCACAATTTAGGGCGAAAATAAAAAAAATATATGTTTCAGCAGTAATTAAGGCCCTGTGGCCAAAATGTGGTATCTTTTTTTTTATTTTCTCCTTTTTGATCATCAATAAACATTTTTGCCCTTACCTACGTTGTGACGCCTGTGGACTTCTAATTTTATGAAAATCCCTATATCAGTCAATATCTTATAGTTCCTAAAAACCACCTATAGGTGGCTCCCAAGTGCTTCTAGTTAAAAATAGATTGTATAAAGACCAATCCTATATTCTCCACATGTACATGCTAAAAATGTTAATTATTATTATTATTTTACTATTTATATAGCGCCAGCAAATTTAAAAAGTGCTTGGTGCAAAAAGCTATAAATGACGGGAGATATGGTTCATCATTTCTGTTGTGGCAGAGACTGATGATGCTGGGAGTTGTAGTACAAACATTAGATTAAAAGTATTATTATTACTCTACTGTCATTTATTAAGCGCCAACATATTATGCAGTGCTATATTATTATTTATCAAGCACCAACAAATTCTGGAGCGCTGGACTAATAGACACATAATTGTAACCAGACAAATGGACACACAGGAACAGAGGGGTGGAGGGCAGTGCTCAATGAGCTTACATGCTAGAGGGAATAGGGTATAGTGACACAAAAGGTATAAGTAGGGGTAATGAAATAGGTTGCTAGAAAAATATTCACTGAGAACTTTGATTATTTTTGACAGTTGCAGGAGAGGAGGGATGAAAATCCACTAACAGTTTAAATGATATGCTTTCCTGAAGAAGTGTGTTTTCAAAGATTTTTTGAAGGAGAGGAGACTGGGTGAAAGTCTAACGGAGAAGGGAAGGGAGTTCCACAGAAAAAGTGCAGCTCTGGAGAAGTCTTGGAGGCGAGCGTTAGAGGTGGGAGTACGGACAGAGGATAGGCGTAGAACTTCAGCAGAGCGCAGAGGCCTCAACGGGACATAATTGTGTATTAGGGAGGATAGGTAGATTGGAGCAGCATTATGTAGGGACTTGTAAGCAAGCACCAGAATCTTAAATTGAGCCCTATATCTAACTGGAAGCCAATGTAGGGACTGACAGAGGGGGGGAGGCGTGGGAGGTGCGGGCGGACAGGAAAATGAGCCTCGCCGCCGCGTTCATTATAGATTGCAAGTTTAAATAGTGTACAGACATGACATGTAAGTGGGGACCAAGGAAACGTTATTATTTAGACATAAAGGTCTACTTGTGATTCTTAGTAATATTTAAAGTGTTACTCCAACCACCATGACCACTTTTGCAGGTAGAAGTGGTCGTGGTAGTAGGAAAATGTATGTGCAATGTTACTGCTTGAAACGCTGCACATCCAGAGATATTTGCAATTCTGTTCAATGACCTATTGCAATGCAAAGCATGGTTGGATTCCGTGTTCTAGAGCTTACAATCTTCATATTCCTAAGGGACGGAGATGGTCATCAAGACACCAAAGACAACTGCCCTGACATCCCTAACAGCTCACAGTTGGACTCTGACAATGATGGGATAGGGGATGAATGTGACCAGGATGATGATAATGATGGCATTCCTGATTATAATCCTCCCGGACCAGACAACTGCCGGCTAATTCACAACCCTAATCAGAAGGACACAGATGGTGAGTAGGGGGATCCACAGGTCAGGTATTTGCCATTGAGATGGATTTTGACTCCCATGTGTTGTGCTGTTTCTTGGCAGGGGATGGCATTGGTGACGTGTGTGAAGAAGACTTTGATAACGACACCGTGATTGACCCTCTAGATGTTTGTCCAGAGAGTGCAGAGGTCACATTAACAGATTTCAGGGCTTATCAGACAGTCATACTGGATCCTGAAGGAGATGCTCAAATAGATCCCAACTGGGTTGTTCTCAATCAGGTACAGTCAACGGAACCCGGAAACTCAACTATGTATCATGGTACTAGTGTCTGCCTTCTGTATTTTTTTTGCCCTAGACAAGGAACTAATTTGCTGCTCCTAAACTCATAAAAGAACACTATCATTATAACTATGTTTTTAAGCCTGCTTTGACAGCTAATTTCCTTAGATTTAGGGCCCCCTATAAAAACGCAAGTAAACATGCCTATATTCCATTGCCAAGACACTCCTCACCGCCGTCCACCTTGAATCATCAATCTTGAAGACTTTCAACCAACCAAATGCTTCTCATAGGGAAGCATTGAAAAATACACTGTCCTTGTGTGTTGTGGGTATGTGTCTTGCAAATGCTTCTCATTAGCTGCATTGGGATGTTGTGAATGGACAGCCACTCTGGGTGAGGAAGGAGAAGCAGAGAAGATTAGGCTCCTACAAGGCCCTAGTCAGGTTATCAATTTGCACCCCCCTTCATTCTTCACATAGGGATCGTTAATGGGGGGCCTATCAAATTCATGTTTCCAAAGTTCCTGTCTAACTCAATGGCTCTCTGTGACTGCCAAGGATTGGGTTTTGTTGTTAATTCTGCTCTGGGAATAGGAGGGCTTGCAAAGGCTGCAAACAATAGATCTGCAGCTTTTGTGAGATCTTTTCAGATATACTAGACCTTCCAAGTGTCGCTAATTAGGAGGGACAGTTTCTTATTTATGGGCCCAAGTCCTTCTGTCCCTTTTTTTGTATTGAAATGTCCCTCCTTCTCTAAGAGCTCCATATTGTTGTCTGAGTGTATACCAGAGCTTGACAGAAATAAAACAGTAATGTATCTTTAAACTACGGTAGATGTGTTGTGAAAACAGTCTGACATTATTAGTGGCAGATGTTTTTTATTAGTAAATCACCTAAATTTCCCAGAAAGGTCCCACCCCTGGCCACACTCCTAAAATTAGTGTCTGTCTTTGTGCATTAAAAATGTTAGAACACAAAATGCATGAATGTTTTCATTAGGGCAAGCACGTCAAACTCAAAGGCTAAGACGGGCCAAATAAAAGTTTAAGTTTATGTGGGCCGCAAAAATAAACAATTTTATTTAGAAAAGTACAGTATTAAAAAAAGTTGCCTAGCTGACACTGGATGTCCTTGCGCTCGTAGGGCTTCAAAATAAATAAAAGAGCGAATTTATTTAAAAAAATGCATTTGCATATAAACAACATTTCAGTCCAACTACCTTGACATATTAAGAAATGTTTGGTAATGGGACTGAAGTGGTGAACAGCTGTTGCACAGCTGTAAAAAAAACAAATGACGTTCTATGAATGTGTTCTTTACTTTGCCTGAGATCATCAAAACTGATGATCTCAGCCAATCCAATGCTTTGCTGTGGGAAAGCATTGGGAGGCTCTTGTGCATGTGTGGCAAAAAGCTGCGTGGCCAAACAGCATCTCCATGGGAAGCATACACTGCCCACAAATCTAATACACTGCCCCAAATCCAACACAATACCCCTCCTCCCTTCACTCGACCATACACTGCCCCCTTCATCCAATCTAATACATTGCCCCTCCTCCCTCCCACTCTAATTGAATAGATTGCCCCCACTCCCACCACTCTACTTTAATACACTGCCCCCAACACTCTAATACACTGCCCCCTCCCTAACTCAAATAAATACACTGCCCACCCTTACCCAATTAAATACAATGTTCCCCAGACTTCCCCAAATAAATACACTGCACCCTCTCTTCCATTAATACACTGCCCCTTCCCTCTCTTAAACTAATACAATGCCTTACCCCCTACTTTTACACACTGCCCTTCCCCAATTCAACACACTGGCCCCCTCCCTCAAATTAATAAACTGGCCCCCTCCCTCCCCCAAATTAATACAGTGCCCCTCCTTCAGATTAATACACTGCCCTCCCTCCCTTAGATTAATGGACTGCCCCCTCCCCCATGCCCCTCTTCTCCTACCTTACAATTTGCTGTCCGTCCTGCAGTTCCAGCTCCAGCCCTGGCACTGGGAGCAGGAGTGAAGGGGGAGTGACTTCTTTGGTCTGCTCAGCAGACACACAGCCACTCTGCCCTCTTGTGACCTGGAGAGCAAGAATCAGGAAATATTTTTCGCAGTCACAGCTAAAAGCGGCCCCAGGGCAGGCGGGCCGCAAATAAGTTCACTGAGGACCGCATGTTTGACATGCTTGCAATAGAGTATATCTATTAAATAGTGATTTTTTAAATTTAGGCAGTGGATTATCCCTTGAATATATCTATCCCCCAAAACACATAGACCATGCCTCCAAAGTCACACTGCTCAATTATCTGCCATTTAGGAGTTAAATCACTTTGTTTCTGTTTATGCAGCCCCAGCCACACCTCCCCTGGCTGTGACTCACACAGCCTGCATTAAAACAAAATGGTTTTATATTCAATCACATCACATCACATCACATCAATGTATTAACTGCTCTGTAAACTGAACTTTAAATACATACAGGAGGCATCTGCATGGTCTAATCAGCTATTAACCTAGCAGGAGATAAGAAATTCTAAATTAACCCTTAACCTTGAGATCCTGCGATAGAGGCTAAAGATGAAAGAGACTTCTTATACCATTTTAAAATTATATACTTCTTTTAAATCTTAACCATTCATTTGGATTTTGTACCAATGTAAGAAGGGTAATTACATAACTAAACTGCATATTACAAAACGTACTCATTAAATCTGTTGTATCTTACAAAGTCAATCTTTCAACATTGTTCTTTCTCTAACTATACGCATTTCCATCTTTAGCTGATATACCACTTGTTCTTTAACTACCTCCCAAACTGGGACTTTAACAGATTTCCAATTTCTTGCCACAAGTATTTTAGCCGCTAATAAGATGTGCATAATTAGTGTAGAAAATTGCCTGAAATTTTGGGCTACTATATGTAAATGCAACAAAAAAATACCCGGAGTTGGATCTAAGGGTTAAGGCTTTTATGTTTTGTAAAGTATGTTATCTAAATGGGCTTGTTATAGTTTTAATAAAGAAGACAAGTAATATATTTAAAAAAAAAATCTAAATTAAACAGAATTTGCGATAAAGGAAGTGTGAACATTAGAGGACTCTTTACAGGAAGTGTTTAAGAAGGCTGTGTAAGTCACATGCAGGGAGGTGTGACTAGGGCTCAATAAACAAAGTGATATAACTCCTAAATGGCAGAGGATTGAGCAGTGAGACTGCAGGGGCATGATCTAGACACCAAAACTGATTCATTAAGCTGAAGTTGTTTGGGTGACTATAGTGTCACTTTAAGCAAAATGTTTAACACACATGCATACAATGTTCAGGCAAGTTGGCCACACACTATATAATATATACAGTAGACAAGGAGCCAATACACAGTGCGGGTAGGTTGTTGAAGCACACGGTACAGGCAGGGGAAATACAAACAGTGCCAGTGTTAAAATACACATATAACTGTACACAGTACACAATAGGTTAAAACACAATTGCTAGAATTTTTTCAATATAATGTTTTTGAGCGCTAAAGTGCGGTCTAGTTCTCAGTATCATGGCTGAGGCAATAGCTATATAAACATTAGACAACAGGATCTGGTTGTATGCAGCCTTGTGGTCTACAGCCAGTTCCTGTGTACACGGAGAATCTCAGCCAGGAAGGACAATCCCTGTATTGCAGTAACTTTACACAAGGCCAATTTGTTTCTCTGCACCCACCACAATAAACTGCCATGCCTGGCTCTCAATGTGGCTGAATTACCATGAACCTCCAGGCAGGTTCCTCCTGAAGCTGCCCATCAGCAGAATGCTACACTGAGCTGTTTGCATTAGATTATTTATTTTCTTGGAAATTAAGGAGCAAGAAGTTGCCCCCTTGTGGTTGCAGGCTGTTCCCTCCAGTCCACAAACCCACAAAGAGAGATCTTCTTGCTGTCTGGAATTGCGCCCCCTAGAGGCTTACACCGCTCAGGCGCCCTCCTTGTATAATGCTATCTCCCTCCCTGTTTTTTAGACCTCGTATTTAAAACTGGCATTAAAGGGAAACCAGAGGACGCATGTCTTTTTATTTTTTGTGCCAGTGCAAACTGCTATACTCCTGCGGTCAACCAGAAAGGCAATTTTCAGATATATCCCCAAAGAAAAAAAAAGCATAAATGTATGTTTTCATTGGGGGTAGATCTACTAAATGCATTTCTTATATTTTGGACAAAGGAGTGTTTAACCGCTTATGGCAGATTTCCAGCCTTGTCGGTAAATAACACTAGTACTGGGCACAGTGTAAGGATATTTCGCCAGTTGTAATTGAACGGTTAGCACCGTCTAGTTTAGATGCAGAGCGATGTATCCAGCAATCTCTGGTTCCCCTCACTCACTATAGACTTACACCTCTCCATCTAATGAAACTCTTAGTCACAACTGATTAGCTGCAAAATTTATTGTTACTTTGTAAATAATAATTAAATTGTTCATGCATACCTTACATTGTCCTTGCCTTACAGGCCCAGTATCCACATTCAACCATCACATCTCCCAGCAGCCACTGCTCACAAGTTAATGTTATTGTGCCAGTACTATCAACTCGCCAAGGTCTATGGTCATTTACAGAGTACAAAATCCTGACACAGTATTTTAAGAATTTTACAGAAATAACCAGGAATTGATATCTTGCCATTAGTATTAAATAGGTAGAATAACAAGTATCCTATTTTAATTTTTTTATTTTTTATTTTGTAAAACAACCTGTTACACGGCTCTTGCTGTCAGTCGGTCCTGTTACTTCTTGGTTTGGTTAGCTCGGTGGAGCTAAACTCAAGATGCAGCAATTGCTCAGACTCAGAGCACCTGCCTTGCAAAGTTTTCTAATTGAGCTGCATTGGGAAGTCTGTGATTAGACAGCCACATTAAAGGAACACTTTAGTGTCAGTAATACAAACATGTATTCCTGACACTATAATACTGGTGTGGCTGTTTAGGTGACGAGCCCTGCTCGGATCATGCTGAAAGTGATTTTACTCACCTTTCTCACATGCTGCGCCAGTCTCACCGCCGCTGGCTCTGCCTCCATGTGTAAGATCATTAGTTTTGATGATCTAGCCAATCTGGTGCTTTCCCATAGGAAATTAGGAAATTATTGTGCATGCACGGCAAAACGCCAGCTTGGCCAATCAGTCTCCTCATAGAGTTGCATTGAATCAGTGCATCTCTATGTGGAGTGTTCAGCGCTTCTATGCAGTGCGTGGAGACACTGAACGCACCTCTAGTCTGATTGACTGCCACTAGAGGTGTTACTAGGCAGTAATGTTAACGCTGCCTTTTCTGTTAAAAGGCAGCGTTTACATTGAAAAGCCCGCAGGGACAGCCTATAGACACCAGAACCAATACATGAAGCTGTAGTGGTGCTGGTGACAAAAGTGTCGCTTTAAGTCTGTATTGGGAAGGAGAGTGTTAGCTGCGCATAATAGAGTAACTATTGCAAGCCAAGGTTTCCTATGCCCTCAAAGAAAACATGCAAAACAAATCACATGCATATATTCTTTAGAGTAAATTTACTAAATTGTTTAGTGTTTGTCTGAATGCCTTTTTAAATGCCTATAACTAGTGATCTCACCTGAAATTTATGTCTTGTCCCCAGGGTATGGAAATTGTGCAAACAATGAACAGTGACCCAGGTCTAGCAGTAGGTAAGTCTTCCCGTCTGCACACTTACTGCGCTCAGAATACATTCTCCTTATAAAACCACATGGTTTCTCAATCTGTATTCATGCATTCATAATGCTTTCCTATGGACGCTTGCATGCTCTCACTGTGAAAATCACAGTGAGAAGCACGCAAGCGCCTCTAGCGGCTGTCAGTGAGACAGCCACTAGAGGAAATAGGGGAAGGCTTAACCCATTCACAAACATAGCAGTTTCTCCGAAACTGCTATGTTTATGAAAAAATGGGTTAACCCTAGCTGGACCAGGCACCCAGACCACTTCATTAAGCTGAAGTGGTCTGGGTGCCTAGAGTGGTCCTTTAAGTCCTGTTATGAATTAGGCTCCCATCTATTGCAGCTTCTTCTGTCACATGTTATTTTAATATCTGTACATGTCCTCGCAGGTTATACCGCCTTTAATGGTGTGGATTTCGAGGGCACCTTCCATGTGAATACAGTAACAGACGATGACTACGCTGGATTTATTTTCAGTTACCAGGACAGCTCAAGCTTTTATGTAGTCATGTGGAAGCAGACAGAGCAGATGTACTGGCAAGCTACCCCTTTCAAAGCCGTGGCTGAGCCTGGCCTGCAACTTAAGGTAAGGTAACTCTGATCATCCTCTGAATCCACTGCGCCACCAAACCCCACTTAACCACTACCTCCACTGGTCAATCAAAATCCTCTATCCACTTCCCAATATTAGCCTTACTTATGCTGTGTCCATCATGTAATCCCAGTAACAGCCCCACACATCATCTGGATCCATCAATATAGAAACATAGAATGTGATGGCAGATAAGAACCATTCTGCCCAAATTTTCTAAATACATTTTAAGTCCCTGGCCTTATCTCAAGTCTAGAATAGCGTTATGCAAATCCCACGCATGCTTAAACTCCCTCACTGTGTTAATCTCTACCACTTCAGCTGGAAGGCTATACCATACATCCACTACCCTCTCAGTAAAGTAATACTTCTGGATATTATGTTTAAACCTTTGCCCCTCTAATTTAAGACTATGTCCTCTTGTTGTGGTAGTTTTTCTTTTTTTAAATGTAGTCTCCTCCTTTACTGTGTTGATTCCCTTTATATATTTAAAAAGTTTCTATCATATCCCCCCTGTCTCGTCTTTCCTCCAAGCTATACATGTTAAGACGCTTTAACCTTTCCTGGTAAGTTTTATCCCGCAATCCATGAACCAGTTTAGTAGCCCTTCTCGGAACTCTCTCTAAAGTATCAATATCCTTCTGAAAAAATGGTCTCCAGTACTCCGTAAAGTACTCCAAGTGAGGTCTCACCAGTGTTCTGTACAATGTCATGAGTATACAACCAATGTATTCCTATACAACCAAGCATACTGCTAACATTTCCTGCTGCTCTATTACATTGTCTGCCTACCTTTAAGTCATCAGAAATAATTACCCCTAAATCCCTTTCCTCAGATGTTGGGGTTAGTACAGTGGCGTACACATGACCCATGGGGCCCCGGTGCAAAAATTGATCAGTGGCCCATCCCCCCCGCGCACTTAGTCGGCCGGGTCAGGGCCGCAACACAAGGCGGCCACGGTATGCACACACACTTAAAGGACCACTACAGACACACAGATCACATCAGCGAGAAATGGCTATGTTTCACTGAGGGTTAATCCAGCCTCTAGTGGCTGTCTCATTGACAGCCACTAGAGGAGCTACTGCGATTCTCACTGTGAAAATCACAGTGAGAAGACACTGAACGTCCATAGGAAAGCATTGAGTAATGCTTTCCTATGGGCGGTTTGAATGCACGTGCGCCTCTTGCAGCGCACGTGCATTCGGAGCTGAGAGGCGGATGGATCCCCAGCGCCAATGGAGTCCGGCGCTGGAGAAAGGTAAATGCTGAAGACACACACTCTCACGAACAGACGCATACACACTAGCTAACAGACACACACATTTACTGACAGAGACACACTCAGCGACAGACATACATACATACTCACAAAACATACACTCTCACTGACAAACACACACTCACTAACAGACATCAAACACACTCAGTAACAGACACACACAGTAACACTCACTGACACACGCTAGCAGACTCACACTCAATAACAGACACACTCACCGACACTCACTAGCAGACACACACACTAACACATACACACTAACACATACACACTAACACTAACACACACACACATGTTTTTTTTTAAAATTTAATCCCCCCAGCCTCCTTACCTTTTGGAAAGCTGAGGGGATTCCCTGGGGTCCAGTGGTGCTGCTGGGCTCCTGGGCGGCGCGTAGGGATGCCGGCGCCGGAAGATGACGTCATCATCCGGTTCCGGTATCAGTGCAGTGCGCAAGGGAGCTGAAGAGGAAGCACTCACGGGAGAGTGCTCCCTCGCGCACCCGCCCGACTCCCGGGTGTCAGCAGGGCCAGCCTCGTGGGGGCCCTGAGGTGGCCGGCTCCTGGGCTCCCCCAGGAGAAGAGGCTGGCCCAGTGGGTACATACAGGGTTCACAGGGGCGGCTGGGCCCCCTGGTGGGCCGGGGCGGTCGCAGCCGCGACCCCTGCATGTACGCCACTGGGTTAGTACTGTATCAAATATTCTGTACTCTGCTCTTGAGTTTTTACGTCCAAGATGCATTATCTTGCACTTATCCACATTAAATGTCAGTTGCCACAGCTCTGACCATTTTTCTAGTTTACCAAAATAATTTGCCATTTGGTTCATCCCGCCTGGAACATCAATCCTGTTGCAAATCTTAGTATCATCAGCAAAAAGACATACCTTACCATCAAGACCTTCTGCAATATCACTAATACAAATATTAAAGAGAATGGGTCCAAGTACAGATCCCTGAGGTACCCCACTAGTAACTAGACCTTGCTTTGAATATACTCCATTGCCTACAACCCTCTGTTGCCTGTCACTCAGCCACTGCCTTACCCATTCAACAATATTTGTATCCAAACTTAAAGACTGCAGTTTATTGATAGGCCTTCTATTTGAACAGTGTCAAAAGCCTTACTGAAATCTAGGTAAGCAATGTCTACTGCACCACCCTAATCTATTATTTTAGTTACCCAATCAAAAAAGTCAATAAGATTAGTTTGGCATGATCTCCCTGAAGTAAACCCATGTTGTCTCTGATCTTAAAATCCATGTGTTTTTAGATGTTCAACAATCCTATCCTGTAACATGATTTCCATCACTTTTCCCACTACTGAAGTAAGGCTTACTGGCCTATAGTTGCCCGACTCCTCCCTATTACCTTTATTGTGAATGGGCACAACATTCGCTGATTTCCAATCTTCTGAGACTGCAAACCCAAGAACAAACACACTCATTCTCCAGGTCCATCATGCAATCTTAAACCCACTTATAAACGGGCTCAATATGCATTAGGGCCTGATAATTTGTACAGTTTTGTTTTTGCTTTGGTTTCAGGCTGTGAAGTCTAAAACAGGCCCTGGGGAACAACTGCGGAATGCGCTGTGGAACACAGGCCATACCCATGACCAAGTCCGGCTGCTGTGGAAGGACCCACGGAATGTAGGCTGGAAGGATAAGACTTCATACAGATGGCAGCTAATGCACAGGCCGCAAGTGGGCTACATCAGGTAAACTGACAATTTAAATATTGCAAGGTATTTATTAACAAATACATTATTATTATTTCCCTCTGCCACCCCCCTCCCTCCCGCCGCGGTAAATAAAGGGTTAAAAACCTTTTATTTACTTACCTAATCCTAGCGCCAATGTCCCTCATACATTAGGCCTCCTCATAGGAAAGCAGTGAATCAATGCTTTACTATGAGGAAACAGCGGACACTGATTGTCCTCATGCATAGCGTGATGACGCCCATCGTCAGTTACTGGACCAAAAGTCTGTTAACATCCCGGAAACTCCTCTAGTTGCTGTCTGGTAGATTTACATTGCAGCACTAAGGGCAATTAGGACACTGCACTCAGACCACTTCAATGAGCTAATGTGGTCTGGGTGCCTATAGTGTCCCTTTAAGTATGTTAAAAGGTCACTGGTTCTTAAGTACTTTTTTTTTTTTTTTTGTAATTCAAATTTTTATTGAGGTAATTTCCCTCATGACAAGTTAAATAGTATTACAATGAGTATGCAACAAAAGCATATCAGGCACATTAGCAACAGAAATCCTACCTATTTTGTTTGTTTTGCGTAACAAGAAGAAACAACATGCTTATAGTAAATCATAGGATGAGAAATAGCATGGTTTGCACAAGTAGTTAGAGGGTAGACAACATAAAAGTATTCAAAACACATGCATTGAAATCATAACATAAGCACACAGTTGAAATGTGACTACGGTGAGATGTCCCAAACTGTTGGAGGGTATGAAGGCTGAGGCCCATGCACTAATGTGGGGTCAACCTATGTCCTGTGAGGGTAAAGCACTGTCCTGCAAATTGAGGGGCAGCCATTGAGAGAGCATCTAGAGTACATAGGGAGTCCCAAGTAAAGAAGGGCATGAGAGAAGCCTCACATGCTGCTGTACAGATGCCGTTGTAATAATAATTGCCAGTTGCCCGGCAGGCAGTATGTCTAGGCCCCCGTTTGCATGAGTGGCATCGACAGAGGTGCCAAATTCGCCACAGTGGTTCACTCCGAACATACTGCCCTTTAAGGGAAGCCTCACCTCCAGATACCTTCATATGGCCTTCAAACTTGGGCCAAAAATCCTGGAACATCCTGTCCACACTCATGGCGTGCACCATTTTGCAAAGGACAAGGTGACTTCAGCCTGTCTGTGGATGCTGGCAAGCACTTACTGCAGCACTAGAGATAGATGTCGGGATAACCCCTACTGGCAAGGGGGGTGGGAGAACAGTGGAAGACCCTCTGAGAAACATTGTCAGCAGGCGCATGGATCGGACGCATCTCCCACACGTTAGTTAGTAGGCCACAGGTCTGCCCCACTCTCTGTCGAACACGACTGGACGAGCAGCTGGATGCACTCCACCATAGCCCAAAATAGTGTATCTTCAGTTTAGTAGAGTTAAAATCGTGGGATGCGTGCAATAAGGCTTGGAAAACTGCTTAATTTTCAGCATTTACCCAAAGCTTTCTGGATATGTGTCCTATCATCATGGCTGTTAGTCTCCGCCCCCTGACTGCTTACTTTTTATTGCAGTTAACTATGTTGCTGTTAGCAGGAAAGTTAAAATAGGATGTATCCCATTAAAGCAACACTATAGTAACTAAAATAACTTTAGCTTAATTTAGCAGTTTTTCTATATAGATCATTCCTCCGTAATCTCACTGCTCAATTCTTTGCCATCTAGGAGATAAATTACCTTTGTTTCTATTTGTACAACCCTAGCCATACCTCCTCTTGCTGTGACTGACACATCGTGCATGAACAAAAGGGTTCATTTTCAATCAGATGTTAACTTACTTTAGACATTTTTATCTCCTGCTCTGTAAATTTAACTTTAATTACACACAGGAGATTCCTGCAGGGTCTAGCAGACTATTAACAGTGCAGGAGATAACAAATTGTAAATTAAATAGACTATGCAATAAAGGAAGTATTAAACATTAGGTACGCTTTGCAGGAATTGTTTAGGAAGGCTGTGCAAGTTACATGAAGTGGTGTGTGACTAGGGCTGCATAAACAAAGTGAATTAACTCCTAAATGGCAGATAATTGAGCAGTGAGACTCCAGGGTCATGATCTATACACTAAAACCGCTTCATTAAGCTAAAGTTGTTTTGGTGACTATTATAGTGTCCCTATAAGGTAAGTTGTGTGGAGGGGATTTACCTATAAACTGTGAACTGCAAGTCCTATCAGTGCCAGGTGGTAATAAACTATTTATTTTGTTTATCACTTTTGTGTGTGTTGCTTTAATAGATGGTTTGGAATTTAGTAGCAAGTTTTGCAAACACAGTGTTTACTGCCACAAGCCTGAAGGGAATGATTCTACTCCGCAGAACAAATGCATTAAGCTATAGTTGTTCTGGTGACTATGGTGTCCCTTTAAATGGTTACTAGAACTATTTTCTCAAATTATTTTTTTTTTTTTTGCGTTATGCTCTAATGGAAGCGATTGATCTTTTCCACTTCCCTTATTAAATAAAAAAGAAAACCTATTAGATTAAAATTTACCTGCAAGGGAAAATCTCATTACATCTGTCTCCAATGTGCAGCGCGTGCTGACAGATGTCATTATTGCACAGAATTTAAATTAGGCAGCCCAAAGCAGAGTTCTGAGTTGCCCACTTACAGGATTTTAAGCGGATATACTGTACATACAAACTCCTTCTAAAAGCAGTAGTAGTCATGGTAGTTGGATAACCCTTTAAGTTCACTTTTAATTCCTGACAATTCTCACGTTTCCAAATAAGCCTGTGTCGGTAACATACTGACATACAGCCAACTCGTTATAATACAGTGAGACTGTTAGCTCTCATTACTCTGCAAGTTCAACTTTGTCAAACTGGTGTACAATGTCCTTAAGATTTACGTGGAATCTCCTTTCCCTTTCACAAAAGACTTGCATTCCAGAGTCTTAGGAGTTATCCCCCCTCTTTCCCCACTAAATCTACAGAGGGTGTTCACTTACTGGAATGGGAGAGCACTGCTCCACTTTTTTTTTTGTTTGGTAAGCTGGTGATGTCAGCGGGGAGATGGACATTGCCAGGGCAACTCAATCCCAGTTAAGAATGCTGCGGCGATCGAGGGAAAGATCTTTTCATATGAAAAGAAGCGGAACAAAAGACCCGAGAAAGAAAGCGGGTTCCTGGGTCTGGGAACTGATTCCAGGCAGTGACCCCGTGCTGTGCTTCCCAATTAACATCCCCTCCTCTGTGTATCCCCCTTCTTCCCCCCGCACTATAGAAAGTGAGGTCATGCAAAGGGAACTGCTAAATCAGAATCGAAGTGGAGGAATTGCACAAACATGTCTCATTCACACTTTTTTTTTCTTGCCCAGATTCTAATGTTTCTACAGTTACCTGTACTATTAATGACTGAATGAATTAATATGAATTACATATTTTTGAAGTTGGTGGATTATGTCGGGGTCCTTCTGTGGGGTTCTGGGGTCCTCAGCCAAGGATTAATGGGGTTTTTACCCCTCTCACTCAGGGTAAAGCTATATGAAGGAGTGGACCTGGTGGCTGATTCTGGAGTTATCATTGACACCACCATGAGAGGGGGTCGACTGGGGGTCTTCTGCTTTTCCCAGGAAAATATCATCTGGTCCAACTTGCAGTACCGGTGTAATGGTAAGTTTGTGGAAAGGGTGGTGTAGTTGGTTATAGTGATGGATATTCCGGTCCACACAAGTATTGGTGAAGTGCAAGTGTAGTCAAGTGCTACATGATGGAATAGCAAGGGCTACGTGAATACATGTGATGATGGTTAGTGATGTGTAGGTAGTGACCGTTAGGTGTTGCACGGACCATACAAGCATTATTGTAATGCCAAGAGTTGTTCTGGTGACTATGGTGTCCCTGTGGTCTGTATATTGGTGAGAATTTCTACTGAAGGCCACATGAGATTACCTATTTTAACAAAAAAGTATTGAGGGCCACACATATACAGCTGGTTGTGGCAGATACATGGGAAGTCAGCTAATAAGGGGAAACATGATTATTCTAAGGACAACCCAAAAGCCGTGATATTCCCCTGCTTTCATATTAGATTTATTCTTACACTAGCCAAAGAAATTAGATATTTAAATGTCACATAATTAGCAAGATAGAACCAGTGGCTGTACTGATAGGTGAAAGCCAACTGCCCTGTCTAATCTGCCTTTTATAAAAGCACTCATGTTTTTCAGGATTTAGTTTTCTGGGAATACCTTTAACCATCTCAAGCTCTCCTACGGCTAGCAATTGTTTTTACAACTTCTCGATGAGTTGAAGTGTAAGTTCTTGGTTGAAGACTAGTTTCAGTGATCTAGAAATGAAAAGATTTTCAGGGTCAGTACTTTTCTGTAATATGCAGATAAATATATTGAGGAGTATAATCTTTCTCTTAACAGACACAACTCCAGAGGACTTCGAGCCATTCAGACGGATTCTCCTGGAAGGGAGAGAGTAGCAGATATACATCATTTATCAAACTATCAAAACTTTTGGAGTCTGTGCCCTAAGAGCGATCACCATACTGTACCAGACATTTGAACCAAAGCTCCACAGACTATGGCAGACTCCTGCAGTGCCCTAGGTGGGCACAGTAGAGGGGATCTTACACAAGCTTTCCATGAATTAGGACATCTTATCTCCTCATAAAAAGCACAAAGAGAACTTGTCAAGCTGGGACTGGGAATTATTACCCTATAGTTGAGTATGAAAATCCAGGGAACTAACCTTCTAAGGAGGTTGACTTCTTCAATACCAGTATGCAACAGCATTCACTAATCCTCAAATTGGCCAGAGTGTAAATAACTATAACGGACTCCCCAATCGACCAGTCAAGCTTACTAAGCAGCAAAGCACAGTAGGTGTCATGCAAACAAAATGGCTGACAAAGACTCTTGGGCCATAATCTATACACATTTATGGAACTGATAAGCATAATGAGGACATTTCATTTTTACGGTTTAATGGTTGCCGTTTCTACGTGTTGCTTAAATTGTATTCCTCCACTGTGCAGTTGATTATAATGTCACATTGTGACCAAAATCAGTACAATTTTTTCATAAAGTTCAGAATGGTTTTCTAGTGAGTGACATCTTGTGCTCTGTTCTATAGGTCTGCATTTATAAAAGTATTCTGTTATAAAAGACACGTCAAGAAATTGAACAGTCTCTTCGTACGTCGGTTCTTAGACTATACTGCAAGTTGGTCTAGTCCTGACAAAATAAGAGCATATATATTGTATGGTTTTTGGAAAAAGCTGAGTGATTTAAGAAGTGCTTAGTTATTAGGTTTACATTTTATGAAACGGTATGTGAGGTCACCTAAGGAGTGGAATGTAGGAAAAAGTTACTGAAAGGTGTTTCAATACATCAAGAAGAAAATATGTTTAGGTTAAAGGAGCCAGATCCTGGTAGAGAATAATGTTTGACACCTACAGCTATGAAGGAAATGTACTGATGCATTGTAATACAGAAAGGATAGCATCCTGATAATGCACAGTGTGTTATGGATGGTTCGGTGGGCATAAATTACATCGACTATGCAACTAGGCACTTGACGAGTTAGAATGGTACAGCAGAGAGTGGACAATGTGCTGTAGGGAGGGAGAGTCTGTGGATGGATGAAGTGGCTGTAGAGGTAGGGACAAGTGCAAGAATTGAGTAAATGAAGGGAGGGCATTGAATGTGAGATGTGAGGTGCTATAATAGGGGTAGGCAACCATTGGCACTACAGATGTGGTGAACTATATCTCTGCTAATGCTTTTGCAGCATTATGGGTGATGAAGTCTGCAACATCTGGAGTGTGAAAGGTTGCCTACCCCTGTGCTTGGATAGGGAAGGTAAATGCTAGAAGAGAAACATAGAATGTGTCAGGAGATAAGAACCATTCGGCCCATCTAGTCTGCCCAATTTTCTAAATACTTTCATTAGTCCCTGGCTTTTTCTTGTATCTAGGATAGCCTTATGCCTATCCCACACATGCTTAAACTCCTTCACTGTGTTAACCTTTACCACTTCAGCTGGAAGGCTATTCCATGCATCCACTACCCTCTCAGTAAAGTAATACTTCTTGATATTATTTTTAAACCTTTTTTTAAGAGGGGAGTAAACAGTGGATGAAGTGCAATAGTGAGTCTTACAAAGAAAAAAACAAGGTACCAGAGAGTGGTTTAGTTTTTGGAGTGGGGGCAGGAGAGGGTGAGCGAGGACCTGGAATGCAGCATTAAAGGATGACCAACGCACTAGAATAGAAAACGCAAGAGGGTTGGCGAATAAAGGAAGAGATAGAATGGAGGTAGAGTGGGTGTGTAAGGAGCTTAGACAATGAAAGTTTCAAAGGGAAGCCTTTCGAGTGCGGCAAAGAGGATCAGCGAGTTACAAGCATGGGGTCAATGCGCTGTATGTTAAACGCTACAATAGAGGAAGTAATGGCTGAGCTTAAAAATAAAGAATCGGTTCAATATAGATATTGGAAAATGATAACATGAGGGCTGTAGAGGATGCACAACATACTGCACAGAGTGTTATGGATGTGTGGTATGAAAATTAGGTAAACCAAGTAAAGAATGGGTGAGGTGTTAGATGGCACTAGTGATGGATGGAGGGGGAGATGTGATCATGTTGAAGCTGGTGGAAGAACTGGCAGAGGGGGAAATATGATGCTATGGAGAGCATATGATCAGTCTAAAATCGAGATGCTATAGATGAGTGGCCCAGGGACGCAGGAGGCCGGGACGAGTGCAATATTGGAAGGGGACAGAACAACAGTGCACAGCATCCCGATCCTTCTGTATCCCCAGAAACCCATGGCTCGTTCTTCACATCCTGCATCATGTAACTCAGAACAGATATTACAGGTTCCACTGCCATGTAAAATAAGTAGCAGCATCATGTTCTAACTCCTTAAAAGCAAATTCCTTATCAACTGTATGGCATGATTGGGACAATGCACTTTCTTAAAACACCTTATAAAAGACTGTATATGTGATATATTATCAGCACATTTTCTCTGCCAGGACCAATATATAGTAACGACTAAGTAGTTTCACGTAAAGTCAAAGGTTGCCTACTTCTGGTATAAGGAATAGAAAGAAAAAAAAAGAAATATAATGTAAACTAGACTCTTCTTTGGAACAGAAAATACAATGTTAATTTTTATACATACCGTGTCCATACATAATTACATTACTCACCTGGGACAGAATAAGGCAGGTGTGCCCAAAATGTAGATCCCCATATGTTTTAAAACTACAGCTTCCATGATGCTTTGTCATTCTGAAGGCATGCAAATCATCATGGGAGTTGTAGTTCCACAACATGTAGGGATCTACCTTTTGGGCACCCCTGGAATAGACTAATCCTGCTTTTCTACAGGACACTTGGAATAAAATACAGAATAAGTAGACATGCTATAATGCAATAGGGTGCCATGCAATATAAGTATTCTAAAGCACTCCTGGAATGTAAAGAATAGCTTGAGAAAATGACATAGCAATTTATTATATCGTGACTATGGATTGGAGAGGGAAACAAAACATTAGAATTATAGCGTCTTATAATGCTGTATAATTATTATTCAGGACTCCAAGAACAATTTACAATAAATTATACCATGCACTAACCTGAGACTACAGTGCAACTTTAAATATCACACGTGGGAAATAATAATGTGTTGATCATATAGTATACCAGGAATACAGTACAGTTTATCTGTTATATAGAGCAGTGTGACAACCGTAACGATAAAGTTTTCGTATATTATTAAACACAATATCAACGAATACTACAATGCTATGCCTACAGCTGCTTGAAAATACAAATACAAATATGTGAGAATAATTCATTAAAAAGTCCTTGAATGCAATGGTAGAGAAGCTTCATGTAATCCCGCGTGTCTTAGGTGTGTCAAAATTCAGATGAACACATAGTACATTATCAGCACTTTACCAGAAAACATATACTAAACATAGTAATTACTGTCTCAAACATTTCATACAACAGTTACATCACAGAACCTTGCTTCGGTCTAGCTAAATGCCTATAATAAGATTTGGATTGCAGTATTACCAGTATGGGTATGGAGAGACTGGCACACCAAGGGGCCTCCACTGTAAGCTAGGCATACAGCTACTGCCACACCACACCGAGTGGGAACCTTCTGCCTCTACTGTTACCTGGGCATGCAATGACTGGCTCACCACACAGAGTGGGCACCTCGTGCCTTTTCTGTAACCTAGGCATGCAGCGACTGGCACACCACACTGAGTGGGCACCTCCTGCCTTTACTGTAACCTAGGCATGCAGCGACTGGCACACCACACCGAGTGGGCTCCTCCTGCCTCTTCTGTTACCTAGGCATGCGAATGGGACACCACACCAAGTGGGCACCTCTTGCCTTTACTGTAACCTAGGAATGCAACGACTGGCACACCTACACCGAAGGAGCTTCTCAAGCTTCCATTAAATCTTGATATGCAGAGACTTCAATATCACCTCAGGGGGTTTCTGCCTCCGCCGTAACCTGGGTATGCAATGACTGGCAAACCATGCCAAGGAAGCTCCTCACTCTTCCATGGTAACCTAGGCACGCAGGGACTGGTACACCGCGTTGAAGGGGGTTCATTCTGCGTCTCAGACTGGTACATCATCCTATCTCTGCTGTCCTCTGCCTTACACTCAAACTCTGGTACGCCACACCAAGGGGGCTTCTCTTGCCTTTATTGTCCTTTTGCCTCGCACTCTAACCTGGGACTGTTATACCACGTCGGGAGGTGGAGTTTCCCCCCTTTAGGATGAAGAGGCCCCTGAAAAGTTTGCATTGTTGAATCCTCCTTGAATATTGAGTAAGTCAGCAGCACAACTAGCTGCCATGGAGACCAGTGCTCGGCAACAGACCCAGAATGTGGAGAACAATGTACCACTAAACAAACTGTTACTCTGTGCAAAACTGTACCACGCAGGCAACAAAGGGGAACTGAGATGGCATCATAGGATAGGTGAACACACTGCGAGAGAGCCGGGAGGAAGAGAACCCTGAGAAAAAAACAGGGCAAGAGAGAGAGAGAGAGAGAGAACACCTAATTATACAGGGCAAGAGAGAGAGAGAGAGGACACCAAATTATACAGGGCAAGAGAGAGAGAGAACACCAAATTATACAGGGCAAGAGAGAGAGAGAGAACACCAAATTATACAGGGCAAGAGAGAGAGAACACCAAATTATACAGGGCAAGAGAGAGAGAGAAAACACCAAATTATAAAGGGCAAGAGAGAGAGAGAGAGAACACAATATTATACAGGGCGAGAGAGAGAGAACACCAAATTATACAGTGCAAGAGAGAGAGAACACCAAATTATACAGGGCAAGAAAGAGAGAGAGAACACCAAATTACACAGGGCAAGAGAGAGAGAGAACACCAAATAATACAGGGCGAGAGAGAGAGAACACCAAATTATACAGGGCAAGAGAGAGAGAACACCAAATTATAAAGGGCAAGAGAGAGAGAGAGAAAACACCAAATTATAAAGGGCAAGAGAGAGAGAGAGAGAACACAATATTATACAGGGCGAGAGAGAGAGAACACCAAATTATACAGGGCAAGAGAGAGAGAACACCAAATTATACAGGGCAAGAAAGAGAGAGAGGACACCAAATTACACAGGGCAAGAGAGAGAGAGAACACCAAATAATACAGGGCTAGAGAGAGGACACCAAATTATACAGGGCAAGAGAGAGAGAACACCAAATTATACAGGGCAAGAGAGAGACAGAGAGAGAGAGAGAGAACACCAAATTATACAGGGCAAGAGAGAGAGAGAAAGAACACAATATTATACAGGGCGAGAGAGAGAGAGGACACCAAATTATACAGGGCAAGAGAGAGAGAGAGAATACCATACTAAACAGGGCAAGAGAGAGAGAGAGAACACCAAGTATACAGGGCAAGTGAGAGAGAGAGAGAACACCAAATTATACAAGGCAAGAGAGAGAGACAGAGAACACCAAATTATACAGGGCAAGAGAGAGAGAGGACACCAAATTATACAGGGCAAGAGAGAGACAGAGAACACCAAATTATACAGGGCAAGAGAGAGAGAGAATACCAAATTATACAGGGCAAGAGAGAGAGAGAATATCAAATTATACAGGGCAAGTGAGAGAGAACACCAAATTATACAGGGCAAGAGAGAGACAGAACACCAAATTATACAGGGCAAGAGAGAGAGAGAACACCAAATTATACAGGGCGAGAGAGAGAGAGAGAACACCAAATTATACAAGGCGAGAGAGAGAGAACACCAAATTATACAGGGCAAGAGAGACAGAGAACACCAAATTATACAGGGCAAGAGAGAGAGAGAATACCAAATTATACAGGGCAAGAGAGAGAGAGAATATCAAATTATACAGGGCAAGTGAGAGAGAACACCAAATTATACAGGGCAAGAGAGAGACAGAACACCAAATTATACAGGGCAAGAGAGAGAGAGAGAGAACACCAAATTATACAAGGCGAGAGAGAGAGAACACCAAATTATACAGGGCAAGAGAGAGAGAACACCAAATTATACAGGGCAAGAGAGAGAGAGAAAACACCAAATTATAAAGGGCAAGAGAGAGAGAGAGAGAACACAATATTATACAGGGCGAGAGAGAGAGAACACCAAATTATACAGGGCAAGAGAGAGAGAACACCAAATTATACAGGGCAAGAAAGAGAGAGAGAGAGAACACCAAATTACACAGGGCAAGAGAGAGAGAGAACACCAAATAATACAGGGCTAGAGAGAGGACACCAAATTATACAGGGCAAGAGAGAGAGAGAAAGAACACCTAATTATACAGGGCAAGAGAGAGAGAGAATGAATACCAAATTATACAGGGCGAGAGAAAGAGTGACAGAACACCATATTATACAGGGCAAGAGAGAGAGAACACCAAATTAAACAGGGCAAGAGAGAGAGAAAGAGAGAGGACACCAAATTATACAGGGCAAGAGAGAGAGAACACCAAATTATACAGGGCAAGAGAGAGACAGAGAGAGAGAGAGAGAGAGAACACCAAATTATACAGGGCAAGAGAGAGAGAGAGAGAACACAATATTATACAGGGCGAGAGAGAGAGAGAGAACACCAAGTATACAGGGCAAGTGAGAGAGAGACAGAGAACACCAAATTGTACAGGGCGAGAGAGAGAGAGGACACCAAATTATGCAGGGCAAGAGAGAGAGAGAACAGCTAATTATACAGGGCAAGAGAGAGAGAGAGAGAACACCAAATTATACAGGGCAAGAGAGAGCGAGATGCTTGAGGTACCTTTGCACGGCACTCAAGGCTGCTACAACCAAACAGGCTCTGGCCAATCAAGAGTCCCACTGGGACCTCCGATATCTGCTAATGCAAACCGAGCAGTGATTACAGATGGTGATTACACATTGCAGTACTTTGAAGAAGTAATCCCAGATCTCAGTAGAGCAGTCTGTAGAAGCTATTGCAGTTCTTGCCCTTGACCTGTACCCGACCATCCTGGCCCCCACTCAACCCACACTGCTAGATATACAGAGAGTTGCAGAACACACACACAACACCATTGACAATCAACATACACGAACACAGTCCCACAAGCAGTCTCTCACATGCAATGACACAAGCAGCCTCTCACATACACACCAGCAAAAACACAATATATGTGATATCATCCAGACACACAATTCCACAAGCAGCCCCCATTCACAGCCCACATTAATAGGAATCATACACAACACCATAAACTACTCGTGAATGTATACGCTACAATATAACAGCCAATATACCCCCAAATACAACATTACAAAACAACTGCAGCACTCATAAATAACACAAGCACAATATGGCAACATACACACCTCAATTTAAAATAAATAGTACCGGCATGCCAAGGGACTTCAAGATCTTTTTTGGCACAGTACTACCTAAAGGTTGCCTATCCCTCAACTATATATATCATGCCAATGAAAAGTAAGTACATAAACTTGGTATATCCGTTCTATATTGGTAGTCTATTTGTTGCAATATTTCTGTCCATGTTAAACCACCATAAGATTTCCATCTACGTGCAATACAAATTTTAACTGCTAAGTATAGATGCACAATTAAGCAATTCTGGATATGATTTCCTGGGAGATGAATGTTGAATAGGAACATCCGAGGAGATAATTGAAATCTGCTTAATAAAGATATTAAGAGATTTTGTAAAGACTTGATGGTGGTTTTTAATTCAGGGCATCCCCACCAAATATGTAGAAAAGAGCCATGGTTAGCTACATATCTCCAACACGTTTGTAACAAATTGGGGTACATTTTGTGCAGTCTAACAGGAGTGAGATACCAGCGCAGTGTTAGTTTATACTGGGTTTCTACTAAATTCATCCTATGTATGTTCTTCCTTACTAGCAACAAGCCTTTTATCCACTCCTCAAAGTTCAATTCAACATTCATCTCCTTTTCCCATTTAAT